TAGCCACTGAGGAGTGGGGGAGGCCGGTGGGGGAATAAGCAGAAATGAATACTTGCGTCATAAACTTGCGTCAGTGATGACTTAAAAACAGGAGGCCGCTTATTCAAGGAAAATGTGTAAGCGTTAAAGGGTTCGATCGATATGATTATTAGTAGTAGTAGTAGTATTATTGTTTTAATCTGTATCATTTGTAATAATATATATATTAAGATTTGTACAATCCTGTATGTCTTAATAATTCATTTAGTGGAAATATAAGATGAAAAAATAATCCTAACTTAAAATCTTAAAAGTTCCAAGAAAAGTTCTTTATTTTGGTCAATTAAAAAAAATTTACATTTTGAAAATCTTGCAAAATTTATTCAATTTACAGTTGTAGAATATCTTTAAAAAGATCCTTGATGAATTTGTAAAATTACAAAATGTGCCAATTTTTATTTCAAGTTTGCAACAACTTTTGAACTTCAGAATAGCTATAAAAAGAAAAATTGCCATTTAATAATAATCTGTAATCCTCACAATTTCCTTTTTATAACATCTCTTGTCCTTAAACATTTACTCCAAACTGTTAGTTTATGTATAGTTTGTTTTGTATATAGCTACAGGATGTCCCAGGAAACATGACAGTAGCAAGACGACGTAAACCCCTTTTGATCTAATTTGCTGCATTTAGTTTTTAACCTAGTACCCCGGTAGTAAATGCCGTACTCTTAAAACTTCGTCCCAAACTGTCTCAGTCCAGGTACAACCAGTCCGCTATCAAAGTTAACCAGGACACAATCCACACAACTACAATCACTTGAACTATCAACGCCATTACCACTGGGCCTGATCTCGTTATAGCTATTGGTGTCAATACGGACACTAGCTATTAATCGAGCTCTAAATGCCACACAAGGAAACAAGCGTAGCTAATCAAACAAGCTATTAAACGAACGTAGCTATTAAACAAGCTATTATACACCCCTAGTTTTGACATTTCCAAATTGCAGTCTGCCTTTTTTGTGCTTTCCACATTACCCGAGATATGAAGAATTTCGTTCAGATTTAGATTTAAAATTTATGTAAAAAAATTGATACCTTAACAAAATTCTTAATATCAACGGTAATATTAATAGCACAAAAAAGGACAGACCACAGACAGGACTAGGACAATTTTGTGGTTATTGTTTCAAGAATCACAAATGTTAAAGTAGGTTGATGAATGCATCTCACAAATAAATTTCAATATTAAAGACGACCTTAAAGTCGTCTTGCTACTGTCATGTTTGGTGGGAGACCATGTATATGTACGTGCGTGATGTAAGCTAGCAAATTATTGAGTTAGAAATCTACTTGATAGAGTAAAAAGAGAGAAAGCCTCGAATATATGCAGTCAAAGTGTAGTATTGCTTCAGGCTAGTGACACGTGTGTTGAATTTTAAAAAGTCAGAAAATTGTAAAAAAATGACATATTTAAATGTTTAATACAGATTGGCCCTCAAAACATGCACCATAATGACGACCTAAAGCTCTTTTAATACAACCTTCGGACAGCTGACTTTTGTTTTCCGTTTCAAAAACAAAAATTCGTGTATAATTGTAAGACTTATGTTTTTGGTCTCGAAATCTGTAATGTTTAGAACAATTCTTAATAAATTACTTATCTGATGTTTCTTCTTTTAGCGCTAAAAATCCAGAACAAATATCTACTTTTTCAACTGAGCTGAAAAAAATTAAAACCTTTTCAATATTTAAAGTTGAATTGGATTATATGATTATCTCAGATCAAATACAATTTAATATTTTACAAATATAATTTGTTTGACAGGTCACATGATTAAATGTGAATTTCACTGATTTGACAGGTCAAATGATTTAATGTGCATTTTCATCTTTTTTCTGACAGATCACACGGATTAATGTAAATTCTTATAATATTTTCTGACAGATCACACGGATTAATGCATTCTCATAATATTGTTTGACAGATCATACGGATTGATGTGCATTCTTATAATATTTTCTGACAGATCACACGGATTGATGTGCATTCTCATAATATTGTGTGACAGATCACACGGATTAATGTGCATTCTCATAATATTGTTTGACAGATCATACGGATTAATGTGCATTCTCATAATATTGTTTGACAGATCACACGAATTAATGTGCATTCTCATAATATTGTGTGACAGATCATACGGATTGATGTGCATTCTCATAATATTGTTTGACAGATCATACGGATTAATGTGCATTCTCGAAATATTGTTTGACAGATCATACGGATTAATGTGCATTCTCATAATATTGTTTGACAGATCACACGGGTTTATGTGCAATCTTATAATATTGTTGACAGTTAACATGGTTAATTAAATGACACCAAATGCAAACTAGTAAACTATTAACGTTTAACCAATCTCGTGATTATAAATATAAGGGTTCATGTGTTATGATCGGACACACACACAGATAAACTTTTTAATAATTCAAGCTTGGAAATTCGGGCTACCCAGATTACTTACAGTCACTCCCGCCGTTTACCCGCGCTTGGTCTTAAATAAAGAGACTAGCTATTTTTTACCAAGACAAATTTGACCCAGTCAAGATAGAATTTCAAAACCAGGTGAAGAGCATTTCAGTAGTTCTCCTGAGTTCCCCAATCAAATTTGAGGCAAATTTGTCAAGGGGTTTACGAGTTATGATCGGACATCCAAGCAAACAATCAAAGAAAAACAGAAATTACAACTTTATATATATATATATATAGATACATATGTCTTAAGATATATTGGAATTCAATGTTTATATTTTTAGTACTCCAAAAGATAAGAAAAATAGGAAATGGGAATTCCCTTATTTGTGAACAATCATATATCATATATGAAAATATTTTCATGAAAAATATTCTACAGTTTAAATCCTCGCAACCTTGTTTACAGAACCCAGCTATTTATAATTTTAGGTTTTATATAGTTAAATAGAGCTAAAAGACTGTTGAATTATTTACAAGTTTGCATTTTAAGGAAATATTATTAATTTTCAAAAAAAGTATATTTTTTTCATTAAAGCCTTAAATAGATAGTAAGCGTGATTTCAAGTGACCCTCCATGCAAAAATGACAATGCCCGATATACAATGATACCCTTAAAAGATTTGGCTGATTACGTAAGAATTTTTATATTAATATTTTGAAAACTGATTATTTTAGTTTTTGGTTTTTCTACTGCAAGAATACTCTGAATTGAACACTATAAACACGACAACATTTTCCACATCATTAATCAGATAAAGTGTCAAGGTTATAACGCTGTGAATCGGACATTCCAATGAAAATCAGAAAGTCTGTAATGAAAATGTAAAGTCTCCAATGAAAATGTAAAGTCTCCAATGAAAATCTAAAGTCTCCAATGAAAATGTAAAGTTCCCAGTGCTCCAATGAAAATGTAAAGTCTCAAATGCAAATGTAAAGTCTCCAATGAAAATCTAAAGTCTCAAATGCAAATGTAAAGTCTCCAATGCAAATGTAAAGTCTCAAATGAAAATGTAAAGTCTCCAATGAAAAGCGTAAAGTCTCCAATGAAAATGTAGTCTCCAATAAAAAGTGTAAATTTCCCATTGAAGTTATATCTCCCTTAAATATCTCAGTTTAAATAAGATCTAAAATATTACTAAATAATTATATATTTATGAGATAACAGTACTATATCGACCACAGCGATATAAGGATTTACGATTATTGATTCAACAATTTTTAAATACCAGGCAAACTTTAAAAGTTCTCTTTCGGTCAATCGATTTAAATATTTTAAGTCCCTGTCAGGAAGATTTTAAAGCTGCAAGACGCGTGTTTATTTTTGGTCTGTTTTTTTTTAATGTGTCTATTTTAGCTCATAGTGCTGTCATGAAAATTTCTCAAGTTGTGAAATTATTCTATTCAAATTAGTTTACACCTGACCACAAACTTAAGCGTTGTCTACAACTTCTCAGCATGTTTTAAACGATTATTAAATAAGATTAAAAGTGATTAATATTAAAACAATGACACAAAAAATTCATAATATTTTTTCCCAACCTTATTAGATCTACTTCTGCGTCCGAAGATTGTCACAATCTCTGACTTTATAATACCTATATCTTTGCAACCCAAAGTCGTAAACCTTAGATATTTCAAACTATAAATGTTTTAGACAAAACAATCTAAATTTGAAATATCAAAGGTGTACACCATCAGGTTGCTAAGATATTGGCATTAGAAAATTTCAGTTTGTGGCAAAGACTCAATTCCTTTGTACAATTCACGCAAGAAAATTAACCAAAGATCTTTTTCCATACAAGTGTTGAAAAACTTTTGCCTTTAAATTGTTTTGAAGGCAGTGCGATTTAAAAGTTGCAAGCTCTTGAATTGAGCAAATATCAATGCGAGTTTGCCTATTACGTTTTAGCTGAAAACAAATTCTTAATAGTTTTAAAGTGTACATGTTTATTGTTTAGGGTCACACAAATCTTTATATTTTGTTACCAATCTCTTCGGATTTTGTTACCAATTCTTTATATTTCGTTACCAATATCTTTATATTTTGTTACAATTCTCTTTATATTTCGCTACCAATCTTCTTATATTTCGTTACCAATCTCTTTATATTGTGTTACAAATCTCTTAATTTCTCCTAAACTCTGTTTTGCACAAATATGTTTCTTTATATTTGTTTTTAAAATAGTTAAGTATTATCTATGACGTGATTAAGACATAGTATACACTGTCCAAACATTTGTTCGAATTCCTGGATAGTTTGTTCGAGATTTCGGACATTTAGTTCAAAGTTGTGAAGAGACTGTTAGCTATATTAATACCTTTCTGATCGTAATTTCGAATAAAATATTCTTTATTTCGATATTAATACAACAAAATATTAAAATCATCTCACAAATATGTGACTTCCTAAAATTCTACTAAAAATAGCTTTTGGAGAATAAAATGATTACTAAAAAATATACTTTTTTTCAGAAAAACAGAAACTGCACTAATAGTGAACCAATTAAACGAAAAAAAAATGAAATTCTTTTCAAGAATTATAATGTTTACAGCTGTTAACAAGTAAGTTTAGACTTTCAACTAATTTGGAAAAAAGAAACTGCACACTTGTCACAAACTCAAATTGTCTCATCTCTACATCTTTGCAACCATGTATACCGTTGATATTTTAAACTTGAACCTAATTTATAGTTAGAAATATTAAAGTTTTCCGACCTCATGTTGCAAAGTTGCAAGTATTATTTTGACAAGTGTTCAGTTCCTATTAGTGACGGGAGCGTTCGAATTTTTTTAAATTCGGTTGTTCATCATTCTTTAACGACCCATGCCGGGTTTTTTTTCAGTCGTAATAAAAAAACTTAATTCTTTCATAATTTTTTTCATCTGTTTAGTTCATTTTCCAGCTAAACGATGGCTTAATTAAATAGTTTATTCAATGAAATCGTTCATTTTCTTGAATCGGTGAGATATTTTGCAGAGAATGACTTGAAATATTCAAAGTAGAGTCCCTTTAAAACTTTAAACTGATATTTACTAATTATTTAGTATGTTTGTAACCCCTGAATATACTGGTATAGAAGAGTGCAGCAGCGAGACCATGGAATCTGTCTGGAATCAGACGCGGCAAACTTCCTGTCAACTCAGGCAAAAATAAAACCGCCATTTTTTAAAGATTCCCGCTATTTGCATTGTTGTAATTCGCAATTTTTTGAAATATGGATATTCTAAATATCTATATTTGAGAATCTGTAAAAAGTTTAATTTGTGCATCTTACTCAGAATTCATGGTTGTATTGTGAAATGTGATGTGATCTTCTAAAAGAATTTGGAAAATTGCAATTTTGCTAAATATTATCGTCCAATTCTAAGAACATGAAATTTGAGCCTTTTTTTTCAACAAAATAAATCAATAGTTTTAAAACTGGAATACGAATTTCTTTAAATAAACTCTTTCATAGTAGACGCTTTAAGTTTATTCCATTTGTTTAAACTTTTAAAACTTGTTTATTTTTGCTTAGTCTGTAACTTTTATTAAGATTATTTTTGCAAGTGGTAGGATTTATTATAACATTAAAATCATTCCTATTAATAAACTAGCGGAATAAAAAATTTTATTTGTGTCCATTAGACATGTGACAATCAATCTAGATGCTTCAAACCATACCGGTACTGTACAGGTGAATGCTATAGGTCATGGTCAAGGTCGTGTTCATGGTAATGATCAAAGACATGGTCATGATCAAGTTCATGGTTATAGTCTAGTACATAAGCATGTTTAAGAACATGATTTTTTTATGGTCAATATCATGCTCTAGATCATGCTCATTGCTCATGGTCAAGATGAAGGTCATGGTCATGTTGAATGTCATGATCAAGATGAAATTCATGGGCAAGATGAAGGTCATGGTCAAGATGAAGGTCATGGTCTAGATGAAGGTCATGGTCATGATAAAGATCATGGTCAAGATGAAGGTTATAATCAAGAGGAAGGTCATGGCCAAAATAAAGGTCATGGTCAAGATGAGGGTCAATGTCAAGATCAAGATCATGGTCAAGATGAAGGTCATGGTCAAGATAAAGGTCATGGTCAAGATGAAGGTCATAGTCATGTTTAAGGTCATGGTTGAGATGAAGGTCATGGTCAAGATGAAGGCCTGGCCAAGATGATGATCATGGTCATGATGAGAGTCATGGTCGAGATGTAGGTTATGGTCAAGATGAAGGTCATGGTCAAGATAAAGGTCATGGTCAAGATGAAGATCATGGTCAAGATGAAGACCATGGCCAAGATGAAGGTCATGGTCATTATGAAGGTCATGGTTAAGCTGAAGGTCATGATCAAGAGCATGGCCTTGGTCTTGTTTAATACCAAGTCAAGGATACCTCAAGGAAAATGCAGAAGTCTTAAGCCAAGGTTAAAGGGACTGTGCAGGTATGTCGGGTCAGTAACATTTTGCCTAGTACACATTCGCCTAGTACACATTTGCCTAGTACACATTCGCCTAGTACACATTCGCCTAGTACACATTCGCCTAGTACTCATCTGCTTAGTACACATTCGCCTAGTACTCATCTGCTTAGTACACATTCGCCTAGTACTCATCTGCTTAGTACACATTTGCCTAGTACACATTCGCATAGTACACATTCGCCTAGTACACATTCGCCTAGTACAAATTCGCCTAGTACACATTCGCATAGTACACATTCGCCTAGTACTCATCTGTTTAGTACACATTCGCCTAGTACTCATCTGCTTAGTACACATTCACCTAGTACACATTCGCCTAGTACACATTCGCCTAGTACACATTCGCCTAGTACTCATCTGCTTAGTACACATTCGCCTAGTACTCATCTGCCTAGTACACATTCGCCTAGTACTCATCTGCTTAGTACACATTCGCCTAGCACACATTCGCATAGTACACATTCGCCTAGTACACATTCGCCTAGTACACATTCGCCTAGTACACATTCGCCTAGTACACATTTGCCTAGTACACATTCGCCTAGTACACATTCGCCTAGTACACATTCGCCTAGTACACATTCGCCTAGTACACATTCGCCTAGTACTCATCTGCTTAGTACACATCTGCCTAGTACTCATCTGCCTAGTACACATTCGCCTAGTACTCATCTGCCTAGTACACATTCACCTATTTAACATTTTGCCTGTATAACAGTTTGACTATTTAACATTTTGCCTATGTAACATTTTGCCTGTATAACATTTAAGTTTATTTTTCGCCTATAAAGCATTTTGACAATGTATATTGTATAACTGTTTTTTTGCCTAATTCTGTGACTGGATAAAATTTGTGAACAGGTTTTTCAATTATATTCTTAAAACGTAATATCACATCATTATTTGTCTGCACAGAATGCACAAATTTACTTGGCTGCCCTGCTTAACTCATTTCCAATTTGTTGTATTATTGTATATGAATAAGAATCAATAAAGCAATGCACTGAGTTTCTTAAATATTCAACGAGTCGGTTTTTCTTACAATATATTTATATACAAAAGATACAAACTTTAAATCGAACGATACTTATACAAACTAAATATTATGAATCTAATCAGTTCCATCAAACAGGGGACATTTTACATTTTCATTTTCATCGTCTCACTTATACAAACTAAATATTATTAATCAAATCAGTCTCATCAAATAGGGGAATTCTTGAAAGGGACCTTTAGATCAAGGGAGCTGACGATCAACTGCCTGTCCCCCTTTGATTTTGCTCCATCCTAGGATCGCATTTAACCCTAGCTACCCCGGGGTTGTTCCGCCTCCTCCCCAACGCTTGGGTCTTCAAGATAACGGAAAATTCGGCGTCGCTTGGGTTATTTATAGAATCCAAATGCAAACTCAAATAAATCCGTTTGGATTCAAAATAGGACTCTAAAGTCCAACCGTAGGGTTAAAGATGGGGGGGGGGAAAGGGGGCATGATTCCCCTTGGTAGCTATGATCTCAGCGATCCAAAAAATCCTTGAATTGCTGATCGTAAAAGATCAACAAAACTCGCCCACTGTTACAGTATGTACTCCTGCCTTGGAGTAGTCTGAAATCCTTTAAAAAAACTTGATCCATTCTACGGCTGGTAAGAGAGATCTCTGGTTTTTTGTAGTCTTCTAGAGCATCTTCAATAGATGGTTGTCTCTTTATGCCTCAATAATAATAATCTTTTAGATACTCCACACACCGGACTAACCAGAGTTAGAGGCATTCGGTTTCTTCTAATTGAAATATTTTTTCTATTTTAAACAACCTTTAAACTTACGGATTTGATTGGTTTATACTTTTTATTCAAAATGCATATGCCAACAAAAAAGTATATAAGAAAAAAGGCTAAAAAATGATGTTTAATAGAACAAATTGTGATCGAAAGTCACAGTTTTCTGGAATATTGGCAGAACCGTTAAATCCACATGTCCAGCTTTGATAAGTCTGTCATATTTTCATAAGAAAAAAAATACAACTGAATTTGCAAAATTTTCAAGTCAGTTTAGCGGGCTTTCCTGTTTCAAAGTTTGTGAGTGTTTCAAGAAAATCTGGTTTAGGCGTAAAATACAATCAAATGTTGTATAGGCAAACTGTTATATAGACAAACTGTTTTATAGGCAAAATGTTATGCAGGCAAACTGTTATACAGGCAAACTGTAATACATGCAAACTGGTATTTAGGAAAATGCTATACAAGCGAATGTGAACTAGGCGAATGAGTACTATAGGCGAATGAATACTAAGCGAAAGTTCACGAGGGAAAATGTTACTGATCCGGTATGTCTGATTACAAACTTTTTCTATTTATGAATGAATGACTTCTCTTTAGTGCACATTAATCATTAAACTGGGATAAATTGTCAGTGCTGTCAAATATTACAGTCTTTATTCTTCCTAAAAGTTGATGCTGTACTTCAAATTAACCAGAGTTTCTCCATAAATGCAACAACATTTGTACTTCAGGTAATTCCTTCACAAACAGTCGTAAAACGGTGCGGGGGCTCCTGCCTTTCCCCTTCACATTCATGCTATCCTACTAGCTCAACTATGGTAATCATATTATTGATAATCATATTAATAATAATATTAAAATAGTAATATAATTTATAACATTAAAATGATGATAATAATAATAATAATGATACTGAAGGTGAGTGTAGAAGCTATGATAATCTCTACCAGCTGGAATGAGGGAGAATGGTCAACACTTTGCCAAACATTCAGAGTTAGAGAGGATACAGGTTTGATTCACAACGGTACCCTTGGAAGTTTTGGCTGATCAAGCATGAATTAGAAATCAATTTTGTGGTTTCTCTACAAGAAAGACTCGTGCATTCCTTGCTTTAGAAACAATGGAGAAATTGACAGAATTAAGACTTTTTTACAAGTTGGAAAACAACGTTATTTTTCACATTAACGATCGGATCAAGGACACTGCATTTATGAAACGCACATTTCCTTTTTATAAATGGAGGGTCACTTCAAATTACCAAGTTTTAGCAAAAATACAAATACACTTCTGGTGCAGTGAGGGTGTATGATCCTATTAAACACTTGATTTAAACTTATTGTTTAGCATGTGCTTGTGGTTGTACAGTAAGACCAGAGGACTGTACAGTACATCAGTACTACCAGCCACAGGCCTGTAAGTGTATTTGCAAAAACTGGAAACTCAGAAACAGCTGCGTCAGTCAGGTACAGTACATTACAAGTACAGTACAGCACAGTAGTAAAAATAAAGTTTTGTACAGTACTATAAAGAATAGTACACTATAAGTACATAACAGCACAGTATACTACATTACAGTACATTAAAATACAGTACAGTACAGTTTAATATACTATTGTAAAATACAGTACGTACATTACACTACAGTACAATACATCATACATGCATACAGAACAGTAAAGTACAGTACACTACACTACAGTAAAGTACAATATGAAAATCTATAGTACAGTACAGTCATACTTAAAATCAGTAAAAAGCAGAATGAAAGTCGTCTTCGTGTAATCTTGTTATGGGACAATTGCAAGTTATTTTCTGTGACGACTTGTATCTCACTTTGTTCTGTATACTACAGCATCCTTAAGTGCAATGTACAGTTAAGATCGAGCTGTACTGTGTACAGTCAGTTTTGTATACAGAGATTACTGTACTGTAAAGGGAATCAAAAATTCATATTGTAATTTTATTTGCACAGTTCACATAAACAGACTTAATATATATTATTCATTAATTAGTAGCTGAAAAATCAACTTATTGAGAAATTTAATTCCCGTGTTTTATATTCATTGAAGTTAAGAAAATTATAACTTGCTAACAGTCGTCCTTCTTTTCCACAGTTGTATGTACAAAAAAGGTTTAAATGGACAGGATGTTCGTATATGCAGTAAGAACAGACTAACAAGTCTATGTACAGAATAAGCATTTTATGTATAAAATAAGTTATTGTTTATGTACAGGATAAGTATTGGGACACGGAGAGCTGTACATGTCTGTGCAAAAACTGGAGGTCATGCAGTACAGGTAAATTGTAACAATGCTTTTATTTTAGAAACAAAATTATACCAAAATACAGAGATATTTACAAAAAGCAGAATATGTCAGAAAAATTCTAACGAGATTAAAAATTCTTTTTTTTTGTTTCAGGATATTTGTTTGATGGTCAGAACAGTTGTACTTGTGTTCCAACATTTGTTGTAGCAAGTCCCTCAATAGTTGTAGTTGTAGCAGTTGCTTTATTCTCAGCCCTTGGTCTACTTACCCTACTCATCCTTAGTAGGTAAACCTTAAATAGATGTAGTTGTAGCAGTTGCTTTATTCTCAGCCCTTGGTCTACTTACCCTACTCATCCATAGTAGGTAAACCTTAAATAGATGTAGTTGCAGCGATTGCTTTATTCTCATCCATTGTTTTAGGATTGCAAAATAAATTTCAGGATTCAATAGAATTATAATTATGATTAAAAGTTTTTCTTTTACATTTTCTTGTTTTAGAAAATCAGGGAATGCAAATCTTTCAAGACGAGAAACCTTGGCGCGAGTTTTAACGGTAATATTTATTCTATTTTTTAATTTTTTTTCTCTTCCCTGTGAAATACATATATATATGTTTAAATATATGTTCTCTAAAGCTGTCCAAAATTTCACGAGTAATGTCAGGCGAAGGGCTAAAATCATTATTTAATTCCAAGCGCGGGTAAACGGTATGACTATGAATAATACAAACCTAAGATATAATAAGATATTTGTATTTCAGGAAGAAGAAATATAGAAAATAAGACAAATAAGATCCGAAGTAGTCTCATCCCTAAACTTCAACAACTTCTCACTATCTTCAAAATGCATAATTTTAACATTTAAGTGACCACTGTGCATAGATGGCATGATGCCCTAATATACGACAGTAAACCCGGCCTTGAAACCTTTATCTGATCAAAAATTGAAAATATATTTTCGTTTTTTTTTCTAGGTTTAATTCTGATCATTCTTATTATGTTTTTCTGCAGTAGAAAGGCATAAGTCACTTTTGTAGAGAAACCACATTTAAATTTAATAAAATTCCAAAATTACAAACATCGATATCTTATTGATCCTTGACGAGACTAAGGTTTTAAGGGTTCCATTCTGAATCGGGCATTGTTATCTTTGCATTGAGGGTCACGTGATATCACGCTTACAGGATCTTTAAGTGAATTTTCACAACGCAATTTTTCTAGAAATTTCCAAACTCCCGTTAGTGCACAGATCTTTGCCTTCTGCCTTTAATGGAAAATGCAGTAGAATTATTTGTTAGATATCCCATTGTATTAGATGTACCTGAACTCTTATTTATTATAAAGTTAGAAAATACATTATTTTTTGTCAATAACCAGTGATTAGTTGGAGGGTATGCAGTAAATGTACGTTGGATATACAGGAATCGCTAAGGAAAAGACTGTAAAAACGGCCTGCTTTTTTTAATCTGACGATTACAGCGTTAAATTTAGTCGTCTGCCTTTTTAAGGCCTTTCTAATTTTGTGGAAAAGAAAGAGAAAAGTTTATAGTTGCAGAAAATCATTAATATATAAGAAAAAGACCGAATAAATTCCGAACAGTCGTCTCTAAAGCCTCATCCTCTGTGGGAAACTCCCGTATATCTGTGAGAAAATAATATTCATTATACATAACATATAAGATGTCCTATGAAATATGGCAGTATAGCAAGAGTTCTAAATTTTCTTTTTTTTAAAATGTGGAATTTATTTGACAGTCTGACCCTGGAATTTTCAAATTTGCATGTTCTAACTTTTTGTTCTTTAAAAAATACCGGATAGAATGAGAACCATAAAACTCTGGAATAAGAAGACGACTTTTAGTCTCTAGACTTAGTTTTGACTTGAAATAGTCCAATAAGTTTTAGGCACATCAATTGTGCAGTGTAAACAGGCCCAGTTCACTTAATAAGTGATTTAATAAATTACTAGTCATTTTTTTGCCTTTAATGTAAGTTGTTACAATATAAAATAAACTTAATAATTGCTTTAACGTCATCTTTCCACTCCACAGTTTTCTGGCTCTCACTGTATTTGAAGAATTTTGTTAAGATTTATACAGGTTTGTTGTTATTTCGCAAATTGCAATCTTTACGAAATTTTGAAAATATTTAGACAGGCCAGGACTTGACTAAGGGGAATTTGTAAGAATAAAATGTTAGTTACGAATTGCTGACACACATTATTTCAAAGATCAAGTGTCTCTCAATTCTTTTTTATGGGATTTTAGGATTTTTTCACAGCTGCAGTTTTCCTCACAACATATAAAGCTTTAAATTTTTTATTTAAACATTTTCTTTGTCTAATATATTGAATATAAAACCACGGTAAAAGTTCTTTAACTATATTCGTAAACATATCACATTGAAATAGTTTTGCCACTAAGCAAACTATTTAGTATTGTAAAATTAAAAATTTCTTCTTTTGGTTAGTTAATTTTTTGTTTACTCTTTACTTTTCTTTTTTACTTTCCTCTTTTCTTTGTTCCTTGCTTTCCATCTTACTTTCCTCCTTACTTTCCTCCTTATTTTCCTCTTTTCTTTGTTCCTTGCTTTCCATCTTACTTTCCTCCTTACTTTCCTCCTTATTTTCCTCTTTTCTTTCCTCCTTACTTTCCTCCTTACTTTTCTTCTTACTTTCTTCCTTGCTTTCCTTCTTACTTTCCCTCTTACTTACCTTCTTACTTTCCTCCTTACTTTCCTCCTTACTTTCCTCCTTACTTTCTTCCTTACTTTCCTCCTTACTTTCCCTCTTACTTTCCTTCTTACTTTCCTTCTTACTTTCCTCCTTTCTGTTTTCCTTATTTTCTTTTAGTTTTTTGTTCCTTTTCTTTTTGTTCTTATCTATACTTTTCTTCTCACTTTTTTCTCTTGCATTTTGTGTTTTCTTGTTTTTCTTGTTTTTAACATTTTTCTTCTTATTTTCCTTCCACAGAGTTTCCATGGCTCCAGTAAATATCCTTCCTCGTTCTGGTAAATTTGCTTTTTTATCGAACTTTTCTTTTGGGCAAATTCTAAAAATAGTTTTTAAATTTTAGAACTTTTTTTGAATGAATGAAAACTTTGGGACTTTGTGACAATATTAAATTAATGTACATTTAAATTGCACTATATATATTTCATCAAAGGCGGGATGGATTATATTATCTACAAACAATGTATTTATATCCACCCTTGAAAAACACTATCTTAAATAGATGAAGTTGTAGCAGTTGCTTTATTCTCAGCCATTGGTCTACTTACCCTACTCATCCTTAGTAGGTAAACCTTAAATAGATGTAGTTGTAGCAGTTGCTTTATTCTCAGCCTAAACATAAATTGACCCCCCCCCCTTTAACGATTACCCATCTATCCCCCCCCAAAAAAAAACCTTCCCCATCATCTACTTTACCTGATGTTTGGATATTTTCTTTTCATACATTCTTCCTTTGTCTCATCAGACTAAAACATACAAATTTTAAACATTTGAATTAAAAGTTTTGAAGATTTTATTTCTGAACATTTATTGGTTTTGTTTTTGTTTTTCAATAATATTGATATGTGACACATGTTTTTACAACCATTTGTTAAGGGCTTTTTAAAGTTTTTGATCTTTAGCTATTATTAAATGTTATACATAAAAAATGCAAAGCATCCTTTAACTCAGTTTTTCGTGTAAGTCAAAATATTTCAAGGTGATTGTGTCAAAAATAAATGTGCTAGGACAAATAATCTAGAGATAATCTAGGGGGGAGTGTTAAAGGCACCCCCCTCCCCCCCACATCAGCCTGTTTAGGGTAACGGTGCCCAGCCCTAAATGGCTTACCTTGTAGGAGATGCTGTAAGAAACATCCTTCATTCCTTGAAAGAAAATGTGTTCAAAATAAAAATAAAATATGTTTTTTTGTTCAGAGACAAACTTTAAAGAATTTGCATCGCCTCTAGACGCGGTTCAAACCCGGTTGGTTCAGCTGGAAATTTTAAAAAGCGTTTCGCGATTTGTTATTTTATTAGCGGTTCAGAGACGCGGTTTAAATTCTTTAAATTCTCCCTTAATGTTGTTGTTCAAGGTTACCTAGGTCGCAGAATGAATCTCTGTCATAAGCATGAAGGAACACACTTGTTGTATCAAAGGCAACCGGGGTTGGCTGAATAGTATATAGTCAAATCTGCAAATTATCTTTTCTCCATCTCATAATCTGAGTTTGTTTCCCTTATGTACATTTGACAGCCCAAATTTTTATTTTGAATATTCTTTTTTGTTTGTTTATCTTCTTGTGATTTTATACATTTTTTTTATCGATTTTGATGGTTATTATATCGTTAGAACTGACGAGGGTCAACCCAGACCGAAATATATTTTCAATAAATGTGGAACTAACATCTACTTTTTTACTCTACAGAGGTTTGGTCCATCACCATCACCGAATTTTAAATCCACTTAAATATTGCTTTAATGTCGTCTTTATATTCCGCAGTTGTCTAGTTCTTACTGTATAAAGATAAAAAAAAAATTTTATATAATATAAAAAATTGTTACACAACAAAAAAAACATAAAAAAATTACCAATCTACAATTCCACACAATACTACACCATTCCTTAAAGGGACTGTTGGCGTAACCAGTGAGCCTCCGTATGTAAAGTGGCGTGTCCGATTCATTACAGTACCTTTACAACCTTGGACTGATCATGGTTGTCGGGCTAATCCATTTTAGTCATCAGTAACACTTTTTATTTTCTTTTGAACTTTTGAAAACGCTAATGGACATAAAACAATTTCAAGGGAATAAATAACGGATCAACTGTGTTTAATTTACACATTTTAAGCAGCGTTCACCGGGTTTTGATAGATTTACACACGGAGATCTCTGTATTTGATGAACAGGTTAAATGGGCACCTTTGTAAATCGGGTTTTACCCTCTTTGTGTGGAGGCTCACTGGCTTTTACGCTATAAAACCACTATAGTTTAGCCTGCCTTATTCTGTTGAATAAAACAGGTTTTGTTAACCACATACTGGGTACACTAGACGGGTCGGTACGGCAAAGACTAGACCGTTACACTGGTTCGGATCATGCAGTTTTTGAACTTATGTGATCAATCCCATTAAAAGAATACAACTTACTGCACAAGTATCCAAGTATTGGCAGTTTTGTACTCGGGATCCCAGCCTCTAAACTTTTTATCTTATCAAAGCGAATTGTCATGAAATGTCATGATTGATATGTTTGTGCATTTATTTAACGAATTGTGCCACACCTTGTCTTTCCACCAACTCAGATTTTGTATCCCTATATCTATGCAACCTGATAGTGTAAACCTCTGGTATTCCATATGATCTTGCCAGGGGAAGAGAGGGTGAAACTTCCTATAGTATTTACGAGTTTTTGCGTTCCCCCCCCCCCCTCTTATTATCGGTTTTTATTTACATGGCCCTAATTCCCTTGATTTTTTAGCCCAATTTAATACCGAAACGGGCTTGCAACTTTTAGACTGGGGTGTATACTGTATTTTAAATTTAAATTATTTGATCATAACGGAATTTTTAGTTTGAAATATCTAAGGTCTACTGAACAGAGGCCGAATTTAAAGAATTAGAGCCGCAGCTCAAATATGGTGGGTTCCAATTAAAATTGTATAAAATGTTTTAAGATTTAAGCCGGCGCTAAATTGAAACCAGGGTTTTTGTGGACTTGAGACGGGGCTCAAATTCATTAAATTCTGATGTAAAGATAAAGGGATTAGGAAATCAGAGATTGCGACAAAGACTCGATTCTTTTACTTTTGATTGCATGCAGTTTATACAAAAGTTTTAATGCACAAGCGCTAAATAAATGCACAAATCACAGCACAGAAAATCTTTTTGTTTTTGTTTATTGCAATCTTTTAATATGAAATCAAAATCATAGAAATAAAAAACTTACCAAGTCGAAGGATTCGGATTTCAGTTTTGAATTTTGCTCTGCATTCCCAAACCATCCTCCTCCCAGTGGGTTGGCTATTTCATATAGAATTAAGTACATTTTAAACTATCTGAGTTTCGTTAACGATACGGAGGTTTTTAAAAGTTAAAGGAAGAGTATGTTAACTAACGGCAAAAACCGTTCATTTCTAATTCGTTAACAAATGAAACTATCGTTTTTGTAGAGAAAAAACAGAACCTTTAACTTTAAGCTATAACTAATTTAAATAATTTAACAGTTTTAATTAGTCGTTAACAAATGGTTTAAAAAGTCAAAACATGACATACCAATATCATGGTTAAAAAACAGTTAATCTAATGATGTCAGAAAGATAAACCATACTGGATGTGCTAAGCTTAAAATATCAATAGAATTATCTATATAGAATAATAGATTATCTATATTAAAAAAAAACCATTTTATTATATGGACATTATTATAGCTCGCCAAGCGACTCAATCAATTTGGCTAAACATTTCTTTTGGGCAACGCCGGGTACTTGAGCTAGTATTTAATGTGATTCATTTCTATATTTCCTAGTGGTGTTTTGAATTCCAAATTAACAAGCCCTGACTCGGAGTTCTAAAAGATTATTAAACAAAAAGTTTCATTGGTAAAGTTTCTGGGACCCTGGAGATTTAAAAAACGCAACAAAAAATAGCAGAAGTAATTAAAAAGCACTTGTTTATCTGATAATGATGATAATGATAATTATTTGTTTATCTGCGACAAAGATTAATTTCTATAATTAATATCCAAGCTGATTTTTGTTACTTTTACTATTTCAGATTTTCAGTTAGTCTTTGGCTTTTGAATAGATAGGACATGTTCCTAAGGCTTATTCGCATTACATTCTGCACAACTTCCTCTAAATGCCTAAACGTCGGTACGGTACTTTACATGAACTGAAGTTTCACTGTATTGGTTCAACGTTGCAGAACTCGGAAAAAAAACTTTTAAATGGCTGAACTGATCTGAACTGATCTGAACTGATCTGAACTGATCTGAACTGATCTGAACTGATCTGAACTGATCTGAACTGATCTGAACTGATCTGAACTGATCTGAACTGATCTGAACTGATCTGAACTGATCGTGCTCAAACTTGTTGTGGCAACTCAGATGCCCGCAATGAAGGTTTTTCCTGGTTGAAAGTGATCAATTTATTAACTTTAAAAAGATAGGATTGTTGTACGGAAAAATTCGCCAACATTTTTTTTTGTAGAAAACGATGACAAACGGCAACAGCAACAGTTAGAATATGGAATTGTTATTAGAATTAGAAGCGAAGGCCATTGTGTAGTAATTAAATAATTATCTCCAAAACAATAGATTGATTACCCGTGTAGCGCAAAAATGCACATTTACGTTTACAAAACAATTGTCATCTGCGCACAAATCTTCTTCAACGGAGCTAAAAGAGGTAAAAATTATTGTTTATTATTTACTGAAAGAACTTATTTTTACTCTAATAATATTATTATTAAAACATTTGTATTTGAACATTATCTTCAAAGGAACTTAGTTCAATAAGTTTTTGTCACACTCTGAAATTTATAATCCCTATAATCTTTGCAACCTGGTGGTAGACACTTTTTATTTCCTTATTTAGACTAATCTTAGTTTGAAATTTCTAAGGTCATCAAAGACTTAGGGTTGCAAGATGTATGTAGGGATTACAAATCATTTACAATTTACCTGATCAATTTTAGTTTCTTCAAATACTTTCTTGTGTCATGAAAGGTAGTTAGGTTCCATCTAAAAAATAGTTGTAATGGAGATGGACGCGTTCGGTTTTTTTCATTTTGTTTGTTAATCATTTGTGAACGACCGATTTTCTTGTGTTTTTCAATCTATCAAAAAACTGACCATCCCTGCTTATTGGATCTAAAAATCTAGCTCCATGTTAGGGTGTCCGTACTCCGTCATAACTAGGGTTTTCAGCGAAAAGGGTGTAAATCGTTTATCTTTCGCCGAAAATATCCGATTTTTTTGCTTTTTCCTTGTAATCTCGCTTTAATCTGTTTCGCGAAAAAAATTAATGCGAAAATTTGGGGTAGAAAAAATGGGAAAATGTTGCCAAAATAATACGGAATTATTAATTATGATAAAATAAAACTTCTGATGCTGAGCTCTCAGAGCAGAGAATTCCACAAGTTTTTGCACACCTAATTATTGCAGTTTTTGCACACCTAATTATTGCAGTTTTTGCACACCTAATTATTGCAGCTTTGGTTTTCTTGCAATTATTTTTTACGAAACCAATTTTCGCAAAATTTCGGGAAAAAGTTAGCTTAATAAGAGCGAAAATTTAAGCATTTTTTTGCACCCGTTGACTGATTTACTATGAATTTGATTTCGAAACTCCTTAGTACCATAATTCTTTGTTTAAAAGTTTGTTTAGTTTATCTTTGAGTGGGAATAATTAAGTTTTCAGTGAAAGCTGGGTTCCTTAAGCTAGTTAGAATATTTTTTTTTGCCATGAATAATTTAAAAATAATTCATCTTGCTAATTTGTGTTGCTAAAAAAATATAAAATTATACTTTCCCGCCCAGACAGCATTTGAATAATCCATTATTTTTTCTGCATTTCTTGGCAAACTTGCTGTTCTCTGCTTTCACACAATCAAGAAGGACCTATAAATAATTTTTTTTTAAATGTCTGATTTCAACTTTCCCTGGTCCTCTGGTCTGATTTTTCTCAATGTTTACATCTGTTTTGCAAGTGATGATAAATTTTGTAACATTTTTGTTAGGGAGTGTTCATGAAAGGTTAAAGGTTTTGGAGTGTTCACGACAGGTTAAAGGTTAGGGAGTGTTCACGAAAGGTTAAAGGTTAGGGAGTGTTCACAAAAGGTTAAAGGTTAGGGAGTGTTCACGAAAGGTTAAAGGTTAGGGAGTGTTCAAGAAAGGTTAAAGGTTAGGGAGTGTTCATGAAAAGTTAAAGGTTAGGGAGTGTTCGCGAAAAGTTAAATGGGGGTCAGACTGAATCCTAAAAAGCCAGATTTTGCGTCTCACACAGTGAGAAGTCCTTAATTTATTTGTCCACATTAAAGACTTTAATTTGCAAAGACTCCCTTTAAGTAGAAATAAAATTCAGAAATGAAATATTTACCTTATTCGCTTCTTGCTTGGTATTTTTTGATGCATGATCAACACCATATGTTTCCTTCCAGTTTCTTTTCTTATTCTTCCCTATTCCCAGAGTAGAAAACATATAGAGTAAATCTACAGAGTAGAAAATATATAGAGTGGAATTTACTCCGCACCGGTAGAAAATATATATTCTTCTAAAACTACCTGAACCCACCAATTCACCCCTGGATTTTTCATCAAAGAAGGGGTAGGGAATTATTTTCAAGGCAATATATTGTGCACACCCCTGATTACATTCTTTGCAGTACTGTTACTGCATTGCAAGCAAAATATAAATATATATATATATACAATAGACTATCCTGAAGAGTGCATAGCATGAAACATAATGTGAACCAAGGGTTTATCCATATGTACATAGTATCACATAAGTTCATTGCTCCTAGTTGGAGGAATAATGCCTATCAAATGCAACCTAAGAATAAAGCCAAACATTCCAAATTCAGTCCAAAAAAGGGCATTGAATCCCGAGTATGTTTGCAGCCTTAAATATATAACAGTGTAGGTAGACCAGGGTATTGAACCCTGAGTATGTTTGCAGCCTTAAATATATAACAGTGTAGGCAGACAAGAGCATTGAACCCCAAGTATGTTTGCAGCCTTAAATATATAACAGTTTAGGCGGACAAGGGTATTGAAATTGCAAGTCGGTCTTGTTTAAGGGCGGCTGAGGTAAGGTCAATGCTGGAGAAAGGAGTGAAACGGCATTTTCTTGCCGGCAAAGAAAGCAGATCGTCAGCCATCTCATCCCTGGGGTCCCCTAGGACTAGACAGTCAGCACCAAGCATCTGATCAGAAGAGTCGAATTGAAATATATTCGCACCAAGCGATTGTCATGTGTATTTAGATCAACTTTAGTTGGTCCAACACTAACTGTTTGTATCGTATATAATGTAAAATATAGTTTGTGTGCAACCATGATTTTTAATACTGAATTCTTTTTAAGTCTATAATAATGTTCAAATCATGTTTTGTATATATATATATAACTATATATATATGTATATGTATATATAAATATATATAAATTCTACTTTTCCTGTCATAAGTTTCAAGATTTCGGGATCTTCATAATTCATAAACCTCTTATCAAAAGGGTAAGTTTTCACCTAAAATAAAAAATTTTACAGTTAGCACACTGCCATTTACAGGCGAAATTTGGACGAACAAATAGAATTTGATATTTGAGGATGCGCAGTCAAATTTACATGAAATATTTCAGTGTAATTTATAAAAACATGGAATGTTTAAAGCTTGACAACTAAATAACGTTAAAGTTATTTAAAAAGATGCAAATCAACAAAACAAATATGTATTTTTATGTAAATGTATTGCAAAAACCCCCATTTCTTTTAGTTCCCGGGAAAAGTAGGCTATCATTGTGATGCAAAAAAGTTAGATTCCCCCCCCCCCTTAGTCTTTTGGTTGATAAAGCTTGTGATAAAATATAATATTGATTTATAATTGTTCTTTATGATAGATGGATTCTCATGGAAAAGATGATTAGTATTGGTGTGATTTTATGTAAAATCTAATAAAATAGGATTCCTCTAAGTCATCTTTTACCAGACATAATTTAGTCAAGCAAAGTGAACATTCGGGGTTTCAATGTCTGTTTTGTTGTAGAACATTTGCTTATTCCACCAATAAGAAAAGGTACAAACAACCCATCGTTCTGATGACCCTGCAACAATTGTTTGTAAGTGTGGTGTTTTTAAACTGTGAAATTAACCAAGTGAAAAACTGAAGAACCAGAAGAAAACCTGCAATGTATGTTTGTAGGAAAACTTTATCTTCGAAGTACACTTTGTATAAAAACGCCACAGCTCTGAAAACATTGTTGAATGTTTTTTTATGTAAACAAAAATTAATGCGTGGGAGTTTACGAAATCATCAGAAGGTTCACATAACAAAACTTGAAAAAATCACAAAGATTGAATCTTAACTCCAGTGGATATAATAAATTTTTATCATCTTTGTATTTACTTTCTTTCATATGTTATTTTTCTAGTGATAGAAAAGATCTAGAAGTTGTTTTTATGTAAAAAAAACCTTGTATCAGTCTTAATATGAAAATCTTTGTAATACACTGTAAAATCAAACAAAGGTTACAACATTTAATTTTCTTGAATACTGATTATGATGAAATTTCATGCATTTGAACTGCCAATCGCGGGTTCAAATTTAAACCATCTCCTTAAGCAACTTAGCTTAAATTCAATAAATTCGTTCCCTGGTATTTTTTTATATTTCAAACATGAAGAAAACCTTTTTTAAACCTCGGAAATGTATCTCTTTATTTCTATTCACCTTATCAAGTTCTTCCTTTGAAAATAATTTTCTTAAACACCTGAAAGCTACTCATGTTAAAATGCTCAAAAAAATTTAAAAGAATTGAGTCTTTGCCACTAAATCAAATTTGCAATCTGATAGTGTAAACCTTTCAAATTTTAAACTTATATCATTTGATTTTACAGAATTCATAATTTGAAAAATCTTAGGTCTACGATATTGGGTTGCAAAGATGTAGGGAAAAGAAAATCAGAGTTTGTGACAAAGAATCAATTTCCTTTTCAAGATATTTTTTTTTTGTTCTTATTAATTTTGTCACTTTTGCCATGCTTTTAAAAAATGTAAAACTTCCTTTAAAGAAAATAATTCCTTGGATTTTGCATTGACTAGTTCTGTTGGGTCATAGGCTCCCCACTTTGTTGCGTCCTTTTCACTGGTCGGATTCAAACATCTTTAAACAATATTATAATATAGAAGGGAGCTTTTTCACTATTTGATTGCCTTTATCTATCTACAGGGTTACCTACAACGGATGAAAATTCAGAGACGATTCATGATTCCCTGCAACTGTATATCTATTTATATACCTACTAGTTGGGTTGAAAAGAATGTTTAAAAGTCTCAAAAAGTCTCAAAAAATAAAAAATCTTTGCCGAAATATTTTATTTTCCAGCTTCCCTTCAACTAGTAGGTATAGAGGTGGTTTTATTTCTTTGCTCGAGCAAATTCCCTCTTCATTTTTATTGTGTTGTCGATTTCATCCAGGAACACTTTTGCTTTTGACGCCAGATGTTGATTTTTAAAGTAGAAATGTGTTCTTATGATTACATTCTCATTTATCCTGAAACTTTTAACTACACTCACAAAATCTTTAGTAATGTGAAAATACGCAACAATTAATTCCCTCCCTTCCCTACAAGCCGGAATATAATATTGGCAGCAGGGAAGTAATAGATATAATATCCTTGCTGAGAATAGTTCATCTCGGCTGAAATGATTTTATCCCGGATAGCTGGGACAAAATGAATTTCAGAATGACTTAATAACATAGTAGAATAAGCTAAGGGCATCCAAGAAATAAAACCTGTTTCCTTCTTTGCTAAATTATTTAATAATTGCTATTAAAAGACTATATTTAAGATGACTCATAATATTCATAATATTAGATTGTCCCCAATTCTCATCTATTGTGGGTAACCATGTATGTTCTGAAGAGTATTCACCTGTAATCTGGTGCTTTATACAATATACTTGTCAAATAAAAGAGTTCTTGTGCTTCTTGTTTTGAGGATATATTGTTAGAATCCACTGTATTATTATCATTCACAATGTAGTTGGAAAATACAGTGTGTCTCTCTGAAAATAATCAGAATTGTAAAAAACTACACTATAAATTTCAAATTAAAAAACGCTTTTTTAGCAGAAAATTTTGGATAACTGCTAAATAAGTGACATACAAATCGCGCATATGAATTAATAAAGATCGGTCATGTTGGGTGCCAAATAAAGTTTTTTTTTTGTTGAATAAAAGCAAATTTGTTTTTATTTCAAAATTTGAAGTTTAGTTTAAAATAGGGCTGGACACGTTTCAACTTTTTCTAGTCGTTTCGTTAACTGTTAGTTCCAACCGTTAAAAATGAAAAATTTCAGATAGCCGTTAATTTTAAAGGCTGGAACGGAACTTTTGTTTCATTAACGGCATTTACCAATTATTTTTTTAATTACCGTTAGTTAACAGCTTTATTAACAGCTTTAACGGAAACTTTTCAACAATCGCTGACGGCTCCAGTCGTTAACGGTATAACATTATTAACGTCAAGCGCCAAGAAAAATTGTTCACGGTTAAAGAAATCGTTAACGGCGCAGCCATTAGGGGTCTATTACAGTATTAACGGTCTATTCCAGTTCATAACAGTTATTAATTTTTTAAATGCACTAGCATTTGAACTATATTTATCCTTTTCTGTGGACTCAGTATGATCTCGATATCCAAATCAACTATAGTTATCCTATTCTGAGGAGAACCCAGATTCTTTAACGGCTGGACAAACAATTTTTTATCAAAATTCAAATATTGGCCAATTCATTAAATAACATCCTCTATGTTATTTACAAAAACAAAATCCTAGGATTTGCCAGTTTACCACACCAAGACTCAATTTACAACTACAAGTAATAAAAATTAACTTGTTAATTTTAACAAAGTTAAAACTTCAGAAAGGTTCAACAAAACAAGGTTTCAAAGGTTGTGAACACAGAAGACGACATTTTTAAAACATCAAAACCCATTAATTTTTTTTCTTTTACTAGTTTAAAGCAGAAACCAAAACGAAAATCACCGTTTAAAAAAATTCGTTCCGTTTTCGTTTTCAACTGTTAATTATTTTTTAAAAACAGCTAATCTGTTTCGTTAAGGGTTAAAAAAATTAACGGTTTTTTGCAGTTCATTAACGAAATCTTCCGTTAATTTTCTAAAACCTCCATTCTATTGTCTTTGCCCAGCCCTAGTTTAAAGTGTGATTTGGTCACCTTAATAAAAAAAACAAAAGTTTTCGAAAATGGACCAATTGGCTTCGTGTAATGGTTAATACTTTAATCATTAAAACATAAAAAAAAAATTCAGGTTTCAAAGGTTATGAACACAGAAGACGACAATTTCAAAACATCAAAACACGTTCAATTTTATTTTTTTTGCAAGTTAAATGCAATTTTAAGCAGAGACAACAACAAAATTCACCGTTTAAAACAAATCTGTTCCGTTTTCGTTTTCATCTGCTAATTTTTTTCAAAAACGGCTAATCTGTTTCGTTAAGGGTTAAAAAAATTAACGGTTTTTTGCAGTTCATTAACGGACTCTTCCGTAAATTTTCTAAAACCTCCATTCCGTTAATTTTGCCCAGCCTTAGTTTAAAGTGTGATTTGGTCACCTTAACAAAAAGATTAAAAGAACAAAAAGCTTTCGAAAATGTAACAGTTGACTTTTTGTAATGATTTAGTAAATACAAATGCAAAAAATGTAATTTTAAAACGTAAAAAATAATACCCTTTTTATCAGTATTCATCGTGCACATGAGCATTGTGCAACAAAATCTACACTCATGACAGTTTGCCTTATCCCGCCTGATATAAATATAACTATATATTTTTCTAAAGGGAGAGACCGGCTAGGTAAAATAGTTAAACTAAGACTGCAGTTTAAGTTTGTTTGTAAAATTTCACCTGAAGTTATGGTCTGCAAAAGAAACTTTTTTACAATTATTTAATAAACCGGAAGAAAAATGTGATACAAATTTAGATGCAAACTAATTGGTTTTTTAGAAAATGAAATTAAATAGGTCATTTTATTAAGTCATCTTTTTCTCAAATTTATATTGTTCCAAAACAAGTTCCTTAGATTTCCTGAAATTGCATTGTAAATAAGAAATCTGCAAACATTTTAATAAAGAATAAAGCAACAATCGATTCTACTATTGATTTAATTTCTTCTGAGAAATATGTTGCTAAACAACAAATTAATTTACAGGCTTAAGTTTTGTTTTATACTTTCCTGATGCAACATTTAAAAAATCCTCCGTCTTTCTTGCAATTTGTAGCAAATGTAGATTTTTCATATTTTTCACAATCTTGTTGACAAATGCTAGCATCCAAACCTTGAAATAAACTTTAAACAAATAATGAATATTTTTGATAAATGTTTGGGATTTACTTGTATTAAGTGAATGACAAGACTCGTATCCTTTAGTTTTTTCTTTTTCAAGCCATTTTTTCTAAAAAGAATTAATTTGCAAAAAGGATATAGTTATTTAGGGCTGGGCACATTCAGATATTTTATAGATACTTTATTAAACAAAGCTTTTAACGGTACAGATTTGAATCAGGCATTGTCATCTTTACAAGTAGCATGAAGGGTAGCTTGAAATCACGCTTACTTTCATTTTAATATATTGCTATTAATATTATATCTAAAATTCACACACAATTCACAAGTGATTATCTTGAAAGCTTAATAATTAAACCTTAATCTGTTAATGAAGATTTTTAATTTCTTTTTCAACATGTTAAAAAAGCAGTATTTTTGTCCCTTAAATGGTGTTTGGAGGGTGGGAGTGTCATAACCTGATCTTTTAGAAAATCAACTGCTGTTTTGATGAAATGATCACTAATGGCGAGCCAATTTTCCACACAGGTAAAATTGCTGGAACAGCACATTGTCCGCTGATCGTTCTTACAGAACAACAATTTTCCAGCCTTAACGAAATTAATTTAAGCTTAAAGCAATGCAATATCATTATAAATATATTTTTAATTTAATTGATGGGTCGAATATTAAATTTTATATGCATAAGTAAATAACTGACAAGGCTTTGTCACAAACTTTGATTTTATATAATCCATTTATGTTTGAAACCCAATGTGGTACGTATAGACTTGAGGCATTTCAAACTATAAATTTGAATAGATCAAAATATTTAAGTTTTAAAGGAAAATTTAGGTTTTTGATAAATACTCAATTCCTATGTAAAAGGAAATGAGTCACAAACAAACTCTGATTTTCTAATTCCTATATCTTTGAAACACAATGTTGTAGACCTTCGATATTTAAAACTAAGATTATTGTTAGATCAAATGATCAAAGTTTGAATCAAAGATCTACATACATACAGGTTACTCACGGATATAGGGATTAGAAAATTTAAGTTTTTGTCAGTGTCGAAGACTCAATTAATCCTTTGTGAAATTTACAGGAATTAACAATTCAAAAGTTTCCCAAAAGAAAACTGATTACAGGTTGTCCCTCTATAGTCTATACCTCTTCTACTGCTGTAGATCCACACAGTCCTGCCAGAGTTTTCCCCAAACTAAGCTTACATTCATGAAACACCTGAACATTTTCATCAAGTTGATCATCTGTTTCATGAGTTATTTTTCTTTAAAATTCTTATTAAAAGGAAACATGAAAGGGCGTATAGGCTGAAACCTACGCATTTTAGGAGTTGATCAAGTCCCATAAGAGTTCTATCTGATATGCTCCTGTCCCGAGAAAACTCTGTCAAAGGAAATGGGTTTATGCCACAAACTCTAACTGTTTTATCACCTATATCCTAGCAACTCGATGTTGTAGACCTTTAATATTTCAAAATATGAATTTCTGTTAGATCAAATTGTCTAAGGTCTAAAGTTGAAATATCATCGGTTTACACCATCTGGTTGCAAAGATATAGAGATTAAAAAATTTGAGTTTCTGGCAAAAACTTAATTCCTTTATGTTGTAAAAAAGTAGTAGGTTTAATTACGGATCATATTCACAAATGCACAACCAATCTGAAAACAACGATATCCCAAAGGGGCCTAATAAACTTAAGTTTGCTCCTATTATTATTTGAATTTAATAATTTTTTCATGCATAAAAGATATATAGATTTTCCTATGAATTTGACACAGTTTTATATCAATTTATCGAAACAGGAAAATCTGCAGATAGAGCCTCATAGGTCTCGATTACCTTCTAAATAGTTTAGGTTTTGGCCTATACCCCCTTTCATTTGTCCTTTACAGTCCCTTTAAATACGAATTTTAAAGAAAAACATCTAAATAACTCAGTTTTATATCAATTTCTCGAGACAGGAACATCAGATAGAACTCTCATGAGTGTCGATCAACTCCTAAATAGCTCAGGTTTTAGCTATACCTCCTTTCATTTTTCCTTAACAAACCCTTTAAATAAAAGTGTTAAAGAAAAATATCTAATAACACATTTACATATATATTTTTCGAGACAGGAACATTTGAAAGAACTCTCATGGGACTCGATAACCTCCTAAAATTCAGCCTACACATCTTTACTGTCCCTTTAAAGTATTTAAAATAATATACAAAACCAAAAATAAATCTTTAAACCCTTGAACTAACTAAAAATATTTTATTTTAGATAACAATTCCATTGTGTTTAAACTTTTGTTTTCTGTACCTGTGAATCACTAAGATTTCCATCAGCTGCCTCGCAAAACCCCTTTACCTATTTTGAAACTTTTTATATTCATAGTTAATCATTAATAAACTGAACAATTCAGACATAAACTTTAATATTTTAGGAGTGCAACGTTCATTAAATTAATGATCAACATTATAAAATCATAGAGGTGTATTTTTTCTTTACTTGTTGAAGGACAACTGGTTTTTCTATGGAAATTTTCCCGGATTTACATATTTTGACATGAGACAGAATTGCAGTTTGAAATTTGATAATTAATCCATCCTCCATGGTAAAATCTTTTATGCAAATTATGCAAAAAACCAGCCGTTCTGCGAAGTTTTCATGACAAAAATATGCATATTTTCATCTCAAATGACCATAAAATTGTGTACAACTATTTTTTTCGAGAAATTAAAGTTCAATGCGGGTTCTCCAGACCAATTTTACTACAAAACATCCTTTGTTGGGCTCTGGATGTTTGTAGGCAAAATTGGTCTTGGGTATCCTTGGTAAAGTAAAATGCTCATAACTTTCCTGTAAAGTAGTTGTAAATAATCATCTATTCAAGACATATAACCATTGATTGAATAGAAAAGTTAATTTTAAAAAAATTAATGTAAATTAAAAGAATTTTTAGGATTGTCAAAATGACTAATTTGATTAGTTATTAATGAGTAATGTAAAGTTTACAAGCTAACCTCTTTCTTTTCTATTTTAACAATCAAATCTTCATCCTGGCAATTTTTCCCTAAAAGAAATCTTCTGGTAAAATTGATGAAAAAATAATATTTTTAATGAAAAATATCAGATTGAAATTTTTATTTGAATAATTGTGATGGAAAAGTTAGCTCTTGAAAAAAATATTTATGTTTTTTTCTAATTTTAAATTTACAAATAAAAAATCAGTTGTCTTGTCCAAACTTTTAGTTTTAATTCTAATTCGTTAAATTTTTTGCTCTAAAAGTTACCTTTCTCGTAATTTTAATCTTTAATAACCTTTACAAATATATATTCAATTTCACATTTTCTATTTTTTCTTTGTAAATTTATGAAAATCTAAAATCTAATCCATAGGTTACTTATAGCTCGCAAACGAAATTTGGTTTCAAAATAAAATTTAAAAAATATGTATAAAATATTATAACATATTTATAATATTTATGTGAAGTATAAGTAAATAATTGTTAAATTTAGAATTATGCTTAAAGCAATGAAAATAGCACCTTGATCATAATCTTCAGACCAGTAGTCCGGTACACAGAGAATGTACAAGTTCTATTTATTAAATGTAAGAAATCAATGTACAAGTTCTATTTATTAAATGTAAGAAATCAATGTACAAGTTCTATTTATTAAATGTAAGAAATCAATGTATAAGTTCTATTTAAGAAATCAATGTACAAGTTATATTTATTAAATGTAAGAAATCAATGTATGTTTTAAAAAAAAATAAATGACTAAAACTTCAAAGATTTCAAAACTATATTATGTCAAACTTTGATTTTATTAACCTTAACAATAACGCTCCGACACATTTTGCATCGGTTTTGGGTCGTTTTAGAGTCGTTTTTGCATCGGTTTTGGGTCGTTTTTGACTCGTTTTGGGATTGTTTTTAAGTTATTTTTGGGGTTTTTTGGGGTTGTTTTTGGGTCGTTTTTGGGTCGGTTTTAGGTCGGTTTTGGATCGGTTTTGGATCCTTTTTGGGTCGGTTTTGGGTCGTTTTTGGATAGTTTTTGCGTCGTTATTGTGTCGTTTTTGGGTCGTTTTTGGATCGTTTTTGGGTCGTTTTGGGTGGTTTTTGGCATATAACTTCTGCTAGGGCTAAAATTTGACATAGCGTAAGAGAATTTAATATTTAGAATATCTACACAATTTAAAATACATTTCGTTTTGTTACACTATACTAAATGTTGATCCAGAAAGAAAATATAAAGAAAAAACAATCCGAAAACGAACAACCCCAAGGCACATCAGTAGATCCTTCTAGTACATAAATTCATCTATGTAAATGTGAACACAGGGTTACGTTACATACTTAAATAAAGAAAAAAACATTGCTTTAATCTTATTCTGGTATTTCAAAATATGGTCTAAATTTGGTGTGCCTTTAACAGTTATGGATATATATGGTGTCTTTCTTTGCCAAATATTTGATTTTATTCAAACCTGAGCCCGCGATTTAGAAACTTCGGCTTGAGTCGAAAATAAGGCCCTACGACAGCTTAGACCCGAGCCGTATTTTTCCAAATTTTTAACTTGCTCAAAAGACTTAATTTAACTTTGATCGTCATATCTTTAATAAATGGAGTCGTCTTTACAGTCGAATCCTTTGTGGGTAACCCTGTATGTTTTGTTTCATGTTTAATTCACAAACAAATCAAAAACTAAATAATAATATAACAAATACAAATTGGTTTAGATACAAAGACGACATTTTGGAAAGGTTGCGATACGCAGAAAAAATCTCTTATTTAATTTAACACCCTGTGTTTGGTTTGCGTAACAAGTTGTATTTTCAATACAGATAAACGATTTTCCTTGATCAAACGCCTGTCAATATGAAATCACTATTACTTAACAGACAAAAAAAGTATTAGTATGTTTACTGTGTTAGCACAAGGTTGAACTTGAAAATAGTGCTTACATTTTTTCAGTCCTTAAATTCTTGAGTTTCCTTATTTTAAAAAGATTGTAAACTTGACATTAAGTGAACCTCCATGAACAAATGTCGATGTCCGATTTACAACGATACCCCTGAACGATTTGTCTGATCACGGTGCAGTTTACATTTTTTGTTTTAGAATGTATACAAAGAGAAAATGTTTAAAATTGAAATAGAATATGACCTACAGTAGTGCATATTTGTAAGTCTGATAAATATAGATAGATAGATAGAATATGACCTATATATTTATTAGACTGATAAATGATTAGATTAAGTCTTACACAATCCTGTTTTATGATAAGAAGAAGAAAAACTGTTTTGACCATAAAGTCCATTTCTTAGAGAAATTGTAGACTTCAGTGTCACACTCACATCTTACTACAACTAAACATTGTTTTATATAATTTATAATTTGCTATTTAACTAAATATCAATTTTACTATGTAATTCAATCTTAAAAACAATTTAAAGCATATCATTTTACCATCGATTAATTAAAATTTAACTTTGTTTAGATGCAAAAGGGGAAAAAATATTTTTAGGGTTTAATTGTGATCTTTATAATTTTCAATTTTTCTTTTTAACACAAAAAATAAAAATGCAATTTTTACAGGTTTTTCCAAGATTTGGTTTATCAGTTTATTAATACATACTGATTTAGATTTATAGCTCCAAACACGTTTGTAAATGTTTGAAATTTACTCTTTCATTTTATATTATATCAATAATTTTCCTCTCACATTTCTATCTCTATCATTTTGGTTTTCTGTTTTTTTCCTGTTTCTGATATTTTCTTTTTCAATGAAGGGGAACAAACTAGCTTCAAAAGTATTAGGAGTGTAAGATGAAAAATATTTAAAACGTTTTAATTTTACAGGAAAGATATTTTTTAACAGGGAAAGTTGGGGGGCAACGGAATAAAAGGTGGGGCAAAGGGATGAAAGGGATTTGGAAAAACCATAACCCCCCTTCTCGTATATGGATGGATGGTTTGGGTTCAAGAAACTAAAATGAACCCAAGATCTGGAAATCTTAAAGGGGGATTCCCCCTAGTAGAGATGTCAACGATAGTGTAACGTAACGTAAAATGTACGTTTTTGTACGTTACTTTACAATAATGTGTAACGTTTGGATATATTCTATATAACGTGTTTTTCTGTTATAAAGCAAATGATTTACTAATTGCAAAAAAATCAACTTATTAAGTGGAACGGGTCTGTGAACAAACACAATTGCTGGGTTTCATGTTTATTTGACTACTTGAAATCATACCTTCAGTTGGCATGGTTCATGTTTTAGGTTGAAAAATTTAGAAATGTAGATACTTACTAAAATGCAACAATATTTTATCAAATGGAAAATGCGTGTTATGTTTTATTCATAAATAGAGTTTTATGAAACTTTAGAATAGAAAAAAAAAACTGAAAAGTTAAGATAAAACGTAACGTTAACAAAAAATATTCTTTGCACTGAAATGCATTGTAACGTACAGAACTATGCCCCAATGACGTTTTATTAAAGCAAAACGTTTGTCATCTTTTAGATCTTAAACCAAGTAAAAGTGTAACGTAGGGTCTCTGAAAATATTTACCTTGCATGAAAGTGGAACGTTAAAAAATTGTGGTTATATTACATAAGCTTTAACGCAACGTTGGGAAAGTTTTTTAAAACATCAAATGCAAAAGCTTAACGGAGCTTACTGTTTTTTCAATAACATTCACTAAAGCTTAACGTTGTATAAGGTATTCAAGTGCAGAAAATTCATTACGTAACGTTACTCTATACCATAGAATTTCATGATATGCAACGTAACGTTTCAAACGTTAATAATTTTGATGGACACTATCGTAACGAAAGCTAAAATCTAAAAAAATCAAAACGTTGACATCTCTACCCCCTAGCATGGTTTAGTTTTGGTTCATTTTTAAGGGAGGGAGGGGATAGGAGGCTTTAGTTGGGCAACAGGTGAAACTCAGGAAATATGTTAATATGTTACCAAATACAAATCCTTTACTCGTACTTCTGCAAATTAAGTCAAAACTGGTAGTCAAGAGGTGTCACACAATAGTTTCCGTAATATCGCAGTCTGTCTAGTTCACAGTGTCAAGGACAGAAATTAAAAATTTGATCCTTTGGTTATTTTCTAAATAAAACTACATTGATAACCAGAAAACTCTGAAATAGGAAGACGGCTTTTAGCTAAAGATTTATAAAAATTTAAATGAGCAAGAGGCATAGAAATTGTGCAGTGGAAACAGACCCATTTCACTAAATTAATGATTTAAGTCATGATTTAAGTTTGTGATCTTGTAAAACTATTTGCTTTGTATCACCATCAAATACACTTTAGTTTTGTTATGATATCGTCTTTTATTGTTTTCTGGTTCTACTGTAGGTAGGTTTGTTCCTTATAAGGATGTTCCAATGTGCGTAACATTGTTCTACTGTAGGTAGGTTTGTTCCTTATAAGGATGTTCCAATGTGCGTAACATTGTTCTACTGTAGGTAGGTTTGTTCCTTATAAGGATGTTCCAATGTGCGTAACATTGTTCTACTGTAGGTAGGTTTGTTCCTTATACAATAAGGATGTTCCAATGTGCGTAACATTGTTAATTGATTTAACTTCGTTTAACCTCAAAGCTCTTCTATTTTTGATTTTACAAGTATAAAGAAAAAATATATTTTTGGCTACCAGAGTTAAAAATTCAGAACATATTGTTTCTACTCAAATACTCGTTAAAAAAAGAAAAGTTATGATGGAAAACTTATAATATTTCAATCTAACGAAAAACTGTTTTACTGTTACCCACATTTTATGAGACCTCAGAGACAACTGTACAGAATTATTTAGGTCTGTAAGCGTAATTTGATTTCAAGTGCAAGATGAGATGCAAAGATGAGAATGCCAGATTAACAACGGTCCATTCTAGTATGAGTTAGATATCAATATTTATAATTTTAAAAATGATTTCTTTTTCAATTGTGGTTACTCTACAAAAGCGACTTGAGCAGTGAATCGGGTGTTGCCATCTCTGCATGACGGGTCACTTGAAATTGCGCTTACAGTCCCTTTAAAATCCACGGTACGTTTCAACTGTATACTTTTCTTCATTAAACTATTTAAGATTTCATCAAATATACATTTAGGGTATAAAACAAAATAAATCCATATATATATATATTTATGATTTATCTGTTTATTTGATTTAATAATAAATTGATTATATATATATATGTATTTATAAAACCAAACAAATCCATTTATATACATATATACATAATATACATATATTTATTATTTATCTTTTTTTTTGATTGAATAATAAATTGATTAAATATATATATATATATATATATATATATATATAATGATTAAATTATATTTACAGAGTTTCAGGTCGATATTATAAAGCCTAATTTTCATTGGTCAAAAGAATTGAATTCGGCATAAGAGTAAGACATAACATAAGGAGATTCACCAAACATTGTTGCTTGGTTAGGATAATGTGGAAGGTGGGCCCGTGGCCCGTGGGGGGGGGGAGGAGGGTTACAGTAAACTCTTCTTTCAGTTGTTTAGTAGGTTCCAGTGTTGACTGCCTATATAGTGCTGCAGGTGAAAGACCCCAAATTTATAATTTTAAACTGTGTGCCCTGTGTACACTTATGTAGGCAGAACGTATTCACCGATTGTGAAATATAGATAAGGAAGAATATTTTAGAGATAAGAGAAAATTTTAAATATCCATATTAAAGGGGATCTCCAATGAAAATATATGGGTCTGCAATAAAAATATGGAGTCTCCATTGAAAATCTGGGGTTTCCAATGAAAATATGAGGGTCTCCAATGAAAATATATGGGCCTCCAATGAAAATAATGGGGCTCTCCGAAAAAAATATGGAGTCTCCATTGAAAATCTGGGGTCTCCAATGAAAATATAAGGGTCTCCAATGAAAATATAAGGGTCTCCAATGAAAATATAAGGGTCTCCAATGAAAATATAGGGGTCTCAAACGAAAAATCGGGGATTTTCCAACTAAAAGTCCACGGTGGTCTCCAATAGTAACTCAATGATGAGGATTTTTCCCAGACTCTTAATAAATAACATATAACAATAACATAACTTGAAAACACTTTGAAGAGATCTGATTTGCTTTGATAGATTATATGTATATCATATATATGATCTATCTATATAATAAAACAAGACATTCGTATACACATATGTTGCCTATAGCCGGCCAAACGGCTGGACCGATTGGGATGAAACTTTTTGTGGACACTTATGGGTGTCCGGGGAGTGTTATAGGCTAAAAAAATTCGAAACTTTTTTTCTCAAAAATTAAAAAAAAATGTCAACGGGCAATGCCGGGCCCTTTAGCTAGTATTGTGTAAAAAAAGATTATGGTAAATCAACTTATTCAAACAGAATGCTAGACACTTATTTAAATCGAATATAAAACATATTCTGTATAAATTATATGCCCATGCAGGTTTTATTTTTTGCTTGCCCATTGCTTACGTACACCAATATAAATTTTGGAAAAGTTTTGCTCTTGTTCAACATATATCATAAACTAACTGAAGGGCCCGGCGTTGCTTTATTGATATAATGCCTAATCTATGCAAGAAATTTCTTTATTATTATTATCATTTTTAATAAATTACCAACTTCAGTCAGTGATTGTTTCTATGTAATGCACAGTAGGCTAAAATCAGGCTCCTGACATTTTACTAGTTTTAGAAAGCTTTTAGAATAAAGAATCTTAATTAAAAATGTAAATATTTTTTAAGAAAGAAGCAACGCAAAATATTTTAGATGACTTAAGTTTACATCGTGTCCCGAAATCAAATAAAAACTGCCATCACCATCTCCAGCTTCTCTTGACTCTCCCCCCTCACCATCTCCAGCTCCTCTGGATCCGCCCCCCTCATCCTCACGACAGGCAGTCCTACATTTGAAGATAGGCTATCCCCTGTGATTAAACAACATGCCAAGTTAGATTAGGCAGGGATAGATTGATATTCAAAGGAGGTTGCTTTCAGAAGGATCCTTAAAAACGAAAAAGCGAAAAAATATGAATATTAAAATTCACTGAAATCTCCGAGGATTCAATGGAAAAACATCTTATTATTGTTGTTTGGTAAATTTTTAGGCTAACTCTGATTATCTATTCTTTTGTCCCAAGTGTTGCCCACTGTGGTAAGGCTGTGCGAGTAAGTACATTCACAATTTAAATATTTGAAAACTTGTTTAGTTTTCGTGTAGTAGTTACCTGAGCAGAACTGAATTTAGTTAAGAAATTGTTAAGTAAAATATTGGATTGATGGGGGGTGTTCAAGAAGAAAGATATAGAGACTGAAACTACATATTGTTATTGGGAAAAGGTAAGATAAATATTACATTTTAATAACACTATAATTTGTGTACAGTAAAAGTATATTTAAATGTCATAAATTCATGATTACATTTACAAAACATATGTAGATTTACTGTAATAGTTTATAAAATCCAAATTTAGAGACATTCACTTTCCATAGTTGAAGTGTTACTGTTTTCCATCCTTTTGTTGTAAACGGTAGGGGGGTGCAGACTAAAAAAGACCAAAACTGAGCTATTGGTAAAAAATGTGCATATTCGTTCAAAGCCCTTAAATAATTTATATTTCAACATAAACATCGAGTTTGGAAAAAATGAAGAGATAATTTTATGAATAGTTTTTATAAAACCTCTTCAGAAAAAATCATAAACAATTTTAAACTTACGGTTCTAAACTTGTTAAAAATTTTGAAGGTTTTTTAAAAATTGAAAAATTGACATAAATAAAACCTCGCCCCCCCCCCCCCCCAACAACCTTTTTTTGACAAAAATAGCCCAAACCTAATAGTGTTAAGATACGGTGATAGACGATTATATCAATAAAATAAAGACGACTTTAGATTTCAATTTTGATTTATATCAAGCTTTTAAAAAGCATGAATACACAAAAAAGTGGAAATATAGATATTCTATCAATTGATTTAATTTAATTACTTGTAAACTTGTAGTTTAAATACAGCATTTTAACCAGGGGGGATGATAGTTCTCTACCTTGTGTGCTCAGTTAGCTATACTGTACACTTACAAATGTTTACTAATATTGATATAATATAGGTTAGGCCAGAATCAACTCATAATAAACAAATATGCAGTACGCTCTCGGTATAGTTTATGGCCTATAACATTAGTAAACGATTAGCGTACATCATCACTCTATACACTATAACCTCGTTAATTTTAACAATAAAAACTTAAATAAAATATCATCTTCACTGTATTGATATTATTGCCTACGACTGTAGCTCAATGATGGACTGGTCAATCAGCATCCGGCCATTTTTGTTTTTCTTCAAGGCTAAATTCTGCCTTCTTTCAAGGTTTCTTCTGGTCACGTGACCTTGTTTATTTCATCAATCATATCAAATCAATGAAGAAGGATATTAGAACAGGGGGATGGAGTCTCCATTGAAAATCTGGGGTCTCCAATGAAAATATAAGGGTCTCCAATGAAAATATAAGGGTCTTTGGGTCGTTTTGGGTGGTTTTTGGCATATAACTTCTGCTAGGGCTAAAATTTGACATAGCGTAAGAGAATTTAATATTTAGAATATCTACACAATTTAAAATACATTTCGTTTTGTTATAATAATATTCCATACTTTTTAATATTTATTTCTTGTATCAATCATATCTGAAATAATATTCCATACTTTTTAATATTTATTTCGTCCTATGCAACTTCCATTGTAATTTTTCTAAATCATCATTCTTAGCATTGATGTTTAAACTGATTTTGACAAATGAAGACGACATTTATTCCAATATTTCTTGTAATATATATTAGTTCAGTTTATGTTTGTTTCAGAACTTGTGAACAATACTTGATTAGGATTAATTCAACCTACACCTGCACTACCATATACCAGGAACTTGAAAATTTTAAACGAATAGCAAACCTCTTGGTACAGGGTGTCCTAATAAATATTGGAATTAAATGACGACTTCTACATTTCGTCTTTGTTCCATTCAGGATAATTTCGTAAATATAATGTTGTAGTATCACAGTTGAAACATTTTACACCGAAAACTCCAAGTCTTAGGATTACAGTTTATTAAAACTCAACAAAACTGTTCAAATGTTTAATATCTCCGTCAACCTTAAAGATACAAAAAATGGTTGACCTCATGTTGCAAAAGCTCATTAGACTTATAATCTTTTATTAAGCACTTTCTGTCATTTATCAATTATCTTAACAAAGACGACATTCAAGACGTCTCTCAATTCCCATGTTTATCGGGATAAATCAAAACGCAGAGATATCAAAAACATTAAGCTTTACACCGAAAAACCCTGTCGATGTAGTTTAAAACTATTAAAAGGGGGGATACCTGATTCACAATAACGGTACTCTGTAAACTTTCATCTGAGAAAAATAATGAGGATATTCTGGTTGTTCTATCAGGAATATCTTTTTTAAATAAAACAAATTATTTAAATAATTTTAAAAATTATCTATGTTTATAGTCTAACAGTTCAGAAAGCGGAGAAATATTGAAAAAGGTAGAAATCTTCTGTTTACTATTATTTATATTTTTTTTTTTTTTCAAAATTAAAAACATGCATTTAACGAATGTATTCTAATTTACTTACTGCTGATGAAATAACCTTTTAATATTTTAAACTTTGCAAAAAAACTCTGAGGTCTGGATATATTTTTCTGACTTTTTATATTTAAATTATATACAAATGAGGTTTTTACATGAGCCCATTTTATGTCGTTAAGACCCATAAACACTTGGGACTTTAAGCGGATAAAATGCAACATTTCAATTTTTTATATAAGATGTATAATTTAAATGAATTTTTAGATTCAGGAGGAAACCTCACACTGGATCCGATATACAAGTATATGCTATGCTGTCCCAAGGTAAACACTTTATTTAACCATTTTTTTTTCAGAATTCAATAATTTAAAAAAATTATCTCAAATTTTCTTTGTTAACAAGTTTTAAATTGATAGTATTAAAAATGACTATTTTCAAAAGTAGATAAAGAATAAAGGAACAGGGTTGTTGCCACAAACACTGATTTTTTAAGCCTAATATAATTGCAACCCTGCATAGACCTTAGATAATTCAAATTATGAATACTGTTAGATCAAATAATCTAAGTTTGAAATTCGGAAGATTTACACAATCAGGCACGGATTGGAAAATTTGAGCTTGTGGCGAAGACTCAATTTCTTCAGAGATTTTTACACTTTGGAAAATACAGAAATAAATGTCAGTTTATTTATTAGTTTGTTTGTTGATTGCCTGCTGGGAAGCTGGAGTGATTTTTTCGGCAGAAAGGAATTAGTCAATAAAACTTAAATCAATTAATCAATCAAATAATTAATTAATCATTTAATCAATCCATAAAACAATCATCCGTTCAATCAATGTAACTGACTAGAATAAAACTGTTTAATCCATATATCTTATCAGTTCTACAGTGTGAAATGTTTCAAACTATGTCTAATTGGTTTGGTATGAAATGTTAAAAGTCTACAACATGAGACTGTTCAGAAAATTTTTATTTTAAAGTTTTAAGTTCCTTTTCATGCTTGGACATAAAATCAAATAAAAGATTAATTTGTTCTTTTGCAATTAACACATTTTTTTATGATTTTATTGATAAATGAATTGTAAAGTTGCCGCTGATCATCCCATCAATTGGTCAGCTCCTTGCAACTATAATCTATATAGCAAGTAGGTTTATTCACCTCTTCGTAGATAATTTTGATTTCTTTAAAGAGAGTGTTCACGAAAAATGAAAGGGGTAAAGGCTTACGGCGAAATATAATCGCTTTTGATCGCTACTAATCTAACTTCTATCTGTTGCGGTTATAAGGAGAAAATTGTTAAAAACGACTTATAACTGAAGAACGTAGCGTCCGTACAAATTCAGAAAGTTGTAAAATATACACGACTTCGGATCGTTAAAAAATCTATTTGACTTCAAACAAATCATTCAGACATTACAACCAATAGTCATCGCTTCTTTTTCAACTAATTCATGTTAAGTTAATATTTAATATTAGTTTTGTATACAATGCACTTAAAACGCCGAAATAGTTGGCCGCCTGGTGTATCAGCTCTCGATGCTTTGAATGATTACACGTGGCAGAGCTGCACCTAGCTAAAAAAAAGTTGTTTTCAGTGCACTGTATATGAAACAAATAACAAATATTATGAAACTTGTTCGTTCCAAAATATCGTTTGTTTAGTAAAAAAATGATTGTTTTTTCTAAACCTGTTTAAAAATTCGTTCGTTCAGAAAAAAAACTATTTTTTTACAGTTGGTTCTAAGAATTTAGATGGGTTTTTTTTGTGTTTTTCTTCATTTTAAAAAAACGATTGCTATTTCGTTTCTCTGAACAATCCAAGCCATTCGTTTTTTTCTGAACGGCACCATCGTTCACAAAGAAAGTTCGTTCGATCTCAAAATTTTTCCTCGTTCACGAGAGCTGTGTTCATCTCTATACCTTGGTTCATAATTATAGATGTGATTTTAAGGTCTTTTATAGGCATCATGAACACATAATGTGAATAATTGTTTTTGGTTAATTTTTCCATAAATCTGTTCTCAGGGTCCAAAGAAACTGTTTTTTTTTGTCACAAACTCTAATTTTCCAATCCTTAATTATATCTTTGCAACACAATATCATACACCTTTGATATTTCAAAATTTGAATTCTGTTACATCAAATAATTTAAGTTTGAAATGTTGACAAGTTGCAAAGATAAAGAGATTAGAAAATTTTAGTTGGTGGCAAAAACTCAATTCCTTTGGGAGAGTGTTTAAAAAAAATTGAAATTTTTAATACGTCTAATGCTTTATGTAACCTATGTAACCTATATGAACAATTCTTAAAGTAAAACGCTAATTTATGTCGGCAATTACTGATTATATTTCAGTGAGTGAGATATCAAGCATACCAATATACTGGTTTTGTATTGCAAGCATTGTATCAGGTTAGTTCAGGGGTAATTTCGATTCCCCCCCCTCCTCCTTTTTTTCTGCTTTTTAATAAAAAAAAATTCCCTCAATGCAGTGATACAACCTATTAAAAGAAATGTTGGCAAATATATATGTTAAACTAATTAAAAGAAATGAACAATCGCCAAAGGCTTTAATTTCTCAGTTCATATATCTTTGCAACCTGATGGTGAAAACCTTTGATATTTAAAAATTATATTAATTGATCTAACAGAATTCATAGAAAAATCAAAGGTTAGTGTTATCAGGTTGCATAGAAACAACATAGTTCAGCTCCTTAAGATTAAAGATCTTCTGAGGCCCTCCTAAAAAAAACGCTAAAAACTCCAATTTATTTGATGTACCGGCCCGACTTTTAGGCAGCTAGAGCAAGTAGTGTAAATTATACATACATCCTATAGAAGTTAAAACGGAACGGTACACCAAATGAATCATCCCCTTCAACGTAGATTAATGTAAAACAGCTTCATAGTTTCAATTATTAAAATTTTAGGATTTACTGGTGGACCTACATCCTGCTATACAGCCAGCTATTCATTTATTTCCGCAATAACAGACAAATCTACACGAACGATTAGGTCAGAGAATTGTTATTTTTATTTCTCCAAATTTCAAATTTCAAATCTCCAAAGCGATAATTTTTAAGAATCATGTTTTGCATCTACAAAACGCACATTTTAAATATTATAAATATTTCAAAACTTTGCAGAATGAGTATATTAGAATCAATGGCGTACATTGCTGGCACAGCTTCGCCCTTCATTGCCGGAGCATTACTAAATGTGTCAAGTTCAACGGTTGTTTATGCTGTATCAGGTCAGTGTCACATGATTTAACAGCTGTTTATGCTGTATCAGGTCAGATGTCACTTGATTTAACAGCTGTTTATGCTGTATCAGGTGTCAGTGTCACATGATTTAACAGCTGTTTATGCTGTATCAGGTCAGTGTCACATAATTTAATAGCTGTTTATGCTGTATCAGCTGTCAGTGTCACATGATTTAACAGCTGTTTAGGCTGTATCAGGTCAGATGTCACATGATTTAACAGCTGTTTACGCTGTGCCCGGTCAATGTCACATGATTGAACAGCTTTTTATGCTGTTTCAGGTCAGTGTCACGTAATTTAACAGCTATTTATGCTATGTCAGGTCAGTTTCACGTGATTTGACAGCTGTTTATGCTGTGTCAGGACTGTGAGTGTGTTACGTAATTTAACAGCTGTTAACACTGTGTAAGGTCAGTGTCAAATGATTTAACAGCTGTTTATGCTGTGTCAGGTCAGTGTCACATGATTTAACAGCTGTTTATGCTGTATTAGGTCAGTTTCACATGATTTAATATCTGTTTACGCTGTTTCTGGTCAGTGTCACGTGATTTAATAGCTGTTTATGCTGTATTAGGTCAAATTCACATGATTTAACAGCTTGTTATGCTGTGTTAGGTCAGTGTCAAATGATTTAACAGCTGTTTATGCTGTATCAGGTCAGTGTTACATGATTTAACAGCTGTTTATGCTGTGTCAGGTCAGTGTCACATGATTTAATAGCTGTTTATGCTGTATCAGGTCAGTGTCACATGATTTAAGAGCTGTTTTGGCTGTATCAGGTCAGTGTCACATGATTTAACAGCTGTTTATGCTGTATCAGGTCAGTGTCACATGATTTAAGAACTTGTTATGCTGTATCAGGTCAGTGTCACATTATTTAACAGCTGTTACTGCGTCAGGTCAGTGTCACATTATTTAACAGCTGTTTATGCTGTATCAGGTTAGTGTCATGTGATCTAACAGTTGCTTACACTGTTTCGGGTCAGTGTCACGTGATTTATTAGCTGTTAACACTGTGTCAGGTCAGTGTCACATGATTTAACAGCTGTTTATGCTGTATTAGGTCAAATTCACATGATTTAACAGCTTGTTATGTTGTATTAGGTTAATTTTACATGATTCAATATCTGTTTACATCTGCCACATTACCAATGATCTGACCAGTCCCTTTAATTAGTATGTTCTAGGTGGCTTGTTTCTACTCTCCATCGTGTATTCTAGTTTCCTGAAAGAACCACACACAGACATGGTGAGTACTTAACTCAATCTCTTCTGGAGTGGCATCTGCCAAGGTTTTGGGGGGAGAAGTCTTATCCCCCACCCCCCAAAAAATAGGGTTAAGCGGTAGCATACGATTATAAATATAAACTAAAAGAATTTGTATTCTAGAAAAAGATGGAGAGTTATTATGAATTGTTGAATCCAGCACACTTCTGGGCTTCCTGGATTAGCGTGGCTAAACCCAGACAAAACAGGTAATTTTCACATTTTTATATTTTTACATTTTTATCTTCAAAACATTTTGAATTTATTTAATTACTAGTATTTATCATGATTTTCTGCTCGCCTTTAAATAATTTTCAAACTTTTAATGGTGACACTTTTTAAATTGGCATTGTTATAAAATCAATACATGCTATGAAGACGACTTTTTTCAACCAATATATCAAACAGCAGTCACTTAAACATGTTAGCAAAGAGAAGTTGTTAAATAACAGCTTCTCTTTTAATGTAAACTTCTCAGGGATCGAAACATTATTAATAAAATCGTATTCATTTAATTGATATAAACGCCGATCACCGTAGAAAAACAATTTTATTTTATTTTCAGAACTTATATTATTTTACTGATTTTGGCCTTTTTTCTTCTTCAGGTAAGATAATTTTAAATCGCATATTATTTTATAAGCAAAACATATGCATAAATATATTAGACAGAAGGAAATTTTGCGTAATTAATGTCATGTATTTTCAAAAGCTGTTGGTTTCTGTTTTTCTGATAAATATTTAATTTAGTTTGTAACTGCTGGGGAGCTGGACATCCTTTACCTTTTCTTAAATAATCTTAAATACTCAAACCAAGAATTTAGGAAACTAATAGATACTACAAACCCCCCGACCCCCCTTCACAAAGATTGAAGCAATTACTTGAAAGGACTTCAAGCGTAATTTCAAGTGTTCCTCCATGCAAGGATGACAACGGTATCTGGAAAAGCATTGTCTGATCTAGTATTAGATATCCATGTTTTTTTGTTTCTATAAATGTACATTTTTATTTGTGGATTATCCGCAAAAGAGACCTGGGCTTTTCTTACTTATAATTGAAGCAATGGAAAAATGTTAGAATTCTCCAGCGAAATTTGATTCTGCGGATTTCAGTGGCAAAAAACCGCATCTTTTGTTTTTGCAGGGGGAGGGGTTATTCATTTCAATTTCGGACCACCCTATTAGTTTGTCATTTTCATATTTTCGAACCACCCTACCAATACTTTCTTTTTCCGGTTTTGAGAAAATGCCGCGAATCCTTCCCAAGTCAGGATTTCGCCAGTCATTCCGTACGTCTCAGAACCCAAGGACACAGAAGGGAATTTACCAAGAATTGTTCAGATACGCGGTTAGTGATTTATATTTAGTGTTGATCATTATGTGAGAAGAGTGTTCGTGGTCGCATGTTATTCATTGAGTTGAGATAGATATGCCGGGTGTTTTCCTTTTCAATTTTTAGATAGCGCTTTTGTCATGGGTCCACATTTTGCGTGCCGAGAGAGAGTGTTTAGAACGAATCCAGACTACGGCCACTACATGTTTAGATTTTGGATGGTCGATCCAGCTGCTCTTAGCTGAGCCAATCCAGGAGCAGTCCGGAACATCGGTTTTTAACTGAGCCAACTCAGAAGCAGTCTGTACAGCAGCTGTCTTCAGCTGAGCAAATCGGTAGCAGTCCGTAGTTAGATCCGTTCTAAGCAATCTCTCTCCGCCTAGTCTCGGGAATTAGTTAGAAGCCGGCTGATCTAGGTTGAAGATAAGGTTTAGTCGCCTAAGAATTCAAAGAAGCATATGTAGCGGGGAATTGTCATTTTTCTCGAAGCCTCAGCCCCTCAAAACGAAGAGAAAAATTATCTGTACCCACCCTGTAAATTCATAAGATTGATGCAAATTACAAATTAGAATTGCCACATTTAACCTGGTTTGAGAAAGTCCATAATTCAACAGTACATTGGGTGTTAACATGTTTTTCGTTTCAGTAGCAATGGATGTCATGAAAGAAGAGAATTTAACTGCTGAAGAATTGGACAGGCATGAAGCGCAGTTATTGCTAGAAGCTCAGGAAAGCTAAATAAACACCCTTGAAATCATGTTGTTAAGGTCAATGGTTGATGATATAGGTTGATGTCGTTTTTGTTGATATATTCAATGCTTATTTTAATTTTGATGATAAATGTGCAGATCTAGGCGTGTCGCCATTTAGTAATGCAGGCGTGCCGCCATTTAACAATTTGAGCAAGTCGCCATTCTGGCAGATATCTTAATAATAGACGTGTCGCCATTCAATACCTGATAAAACAAGTAGATTGCGCAGCCTTTCAGCAATTCGGGCAAGTCGCCATTTTATAAAAATACTTACAATACTAGGCGTGTCGCCTTTTAATAGGGATTAAATAAGTAGGCGTGTCGCCAATTAGTAATTTGAGCGAATCGCCATTTTTGAAGAATTTCACAACAAACAGGCGTGTCGCCATTTCATCAGTGTTTAATTTAGTAGGCGTGTCGCCATCTAGTAATGCAGGCGTGCCGCCTTGATACTTGAATAGTACAGTAGGCGTGCCGCCACTTGATAATGCAGGCGTGTCGCCATTTAGTAATCCAGGCGAGTCGCCTTGTTTTGCAAATGTTATAACAAAAAGGCGTGTCGCCATTTATTAGCGATTAAATTAGTAGGCGTGTCGTCAATTAGATAGTTGGGCGAGTCGCCATTTGGCAAATTTCACAATAAATAGGCGTGCCGCCTTAATGATTAATTAGTAAAGTAGGCGTGTCGCCACCTAGCAATGCAGGCATGTCGCCAAAAATTTTTGCCAACTAATAATAAATAGGCTTGTCGCCATAAATCATTTGTTTAAACCAGTAGGTAGATCATTAATCATTAATTCGAATGAGTTTGCAATGTCAGCAAGAATTATGCGGGTTGCCAAATAGTTATTATTCAAATCTATTTATTGATCAAAAGTACAAAAATAACAATCAAACTTTTTAACATCAAAGATAGGTACATTTTGATTTAATATTTTACACGCAGAATCTGTTTATTTATGTGGAAATCTTGAAGATTTGATAAATGACACAATTTTCAATTTTATTTTGAAGTTAAGTAAATTCAATAATGACAAATATTGAGTTAAATAAAAATCATGCATTAATCAAGCAGCGTGAAGCGTTAAAATTTATGAGATTTATCAAATGCATAATCGGGCAGTTCTCAGCTATAGCATTGCACTAGGCACGTGGCCATAAACATTGAAAAAATAGATATTTCTCCAGTTTATATTAATAAATAATGGTCATTGATGTATTGATTTTGACACATGGGTTTCAATTGATTTCTTCAATTGATAGAGTGGTTATTTCGTTATTGACTTATTCGATTGGGTGAGGGGCTGATTCATTAATTCAGAATTTATTGTTTGATTGCTTGATTGGTTAAACTTCATCCAATTATGCTTCCAAGCATTCACTCATTAATTCATTCATGATTGATTCACTGATTGTACAAGGGTGTTTATTTAGCGTTAAATTCAGAATTGTTCTAAGCATGACAGTGTCGAGAGTGCTGCCAGGATCATTCTAGTTCAGAAATACCAGTCCAGAAAGGATACCATCGCATCACTGCTTGCTACCAATTCTGCTTGGGTCCTCCCCCCCACAGCTACTGAAGCCGAGAAGAAGGCCAAGGCTGATCAGCTCAAACTACTCAGAAAGCTGGCAAGAGCTGCAGAGGCTGACTATTTGCAGTTCCTGGTGTCTTTCCAATACGGAGAAGAAGGAGTAACCGCACTACCAGAGTCAGAGTCCTATTCTTTAGTCCCGCCAGAGGTCAAAAAGAAACTAGATATGAAGAAAAAGGATGACCTGAAGATGAAGAAGAAGGACGAGGAGTTAGCTAAGAAACAGGACCTGGCGAGCAGAGCTAGAGAAACTTATAGTCAAGGTCAATTCCGTTACAAATCTGCATACAAACCCCGGTATACTGCCTATGCAGGTTCAGGAAGTGGAGGATACACTTCTTCACCTGCGTTTCAGCCATATGGCAATTATCAAGGAAGCGGACTACAGGGGTCAGGGTTCCAAGGAGGTTGGCTGCCGAGTTTCCAAGCCGGGTTTTCTCACCAATCTCCCTACAGTTCGCAAGGATACGGGGGAGTCATTCCCCACGTTCCTGGAATGGCTTCATACGCTCCCGGATCATCAGCCTATGCCCCTGGAGTCGGATCCCTCGCTCCCGGATACGCAGCAGCAGGAGGAGCAGTTCCATTCAAACCGTCTCCGTGGTATCCTAGTCCCTCTCACCTTCAACAATCTCAACCGTCTTACAACAGTAGAGAGTTACAGGACAGGAAGAGGAACTCCAAATGCGGCCGCTGCGACATGTATGGACATTGGCACGGAGATAATCTCTGCAAACCTGATGACATTGAGAGAAAGATGGCCAAACTGCAATTGAGAGACGCCCAGTATCATGCCGAAGCATCGGCCCTACGGCTCACTCAGCACCAGGAGAGAGAAAACCCTCAAGGGAATTAAACTATGCAACTTCGTCCCGTTATGGCAAATTTCTAAACAGTTTTGTCTTCCATCATTTCTAGTCGTTATTACATAAAGATTTTTTTTAAATTGATAAGAAAAGATGACATTCCATAGCTGTATCAGTGTTTTTGTTTTGATATTTCAGTTTAGTAGACGCATTTCTGATTCATTGGGTATAGCGACCCCTTAGAAAAGTTAAAGAAAATTAAGTCTCATATTAAGTTAATCTTTCTGTTTTGAAAATGTTCAGTTAATGAGTTTCAGTATTATTTAAAAATTTTTCGTAGGCAGGGCTCAATGATCAATGTTATTTTCGCATATAGCCTGACATTGCAAGAGCATTATGAACCAAAGAATATTTGTCAGATTATGATCTCGAACTAAATAAAAAATTTACCGTAATAAAGTTATATTGCTGTTGATCCAGTAACCCCGGTGTTATTAAATAAATCTACCAAATACATCACATGTTTTCAATTATTTATTTCAGATATGACTAATTTATTCAACATAGGGTAATTTCAATTAAATTTAAAAGTTTGCCAGCTTTCCAAGAGATATAACTTTGTTGCTAATTGTTACATGACTACAAGTATAATCATTTAAAAATTTAAGTGCAGGGTAACCCACCAGGAACGAGACTTTACAAACCCGCGATCAATGATTATTACAAAGTTTTTAATACATCATGTTTGGTGGTCTAATTTAATTTTGCAAGAAAATAAGTAGAAATTATGGCCGACACGGTCAATCTAACTATTCAAGGAATTGTGTTTTAGGAAGAGGCAATAGTTTAATTTAAATGTTAGAGTCTTGTGGATCGATTATTCAAGAAATAGGTTGGGGAAACCCGGAGTTGGCGGTTACAAGATTAATGAATTTTCTGTCTAATAACGGTTATAAATTGTCAAAGGGATCCCACTCCATTCACAATCCATCCTCCATCCGATTCATGCAGAATATAATCGGTGCAGAACAATGGGTATTAAACATCTTGGTTCACGGAGTTAAATTAGATTTCTCGTCCTCACCGCCCCAGAAGTATGTCGAGCCTAATAATAAGTCCGCCAGAACGGAAATGGAGTTTCTACGCAAGAAGGTCAAGGAATGGAATGATGAAGGTTTTGTGTCTCAAACTCTGGTCAAACCTGATATCGTAAACCCCATGTCAGTAGTTGTCAAAGAAGATTTTGTGTCCGGGACTACAAAAAAGAGACCGGTTATAGACTTATCCCGTTGTGTTAACAAAAGGTTGACCGCCAGACCATTCACGATGGACACGTTATCAAATTGTGAATCCTCAGTTCTACCTAATGATTATCAAATAATCTTCGACCTGGAAAACATGTACTTCCATTTCCGACTACACAAGGACCACAAACAGTTTTTTGCATTTTCGATAATGAATGAACAGGGAGAGAACGTTTACTACAACTTTAACGTAATGTGCTATGGTTATGCATTAGCAGGATACATCGTCACTCGTGTAATAAATCCTATCAAAAGTTTTCTACACAGACTCGGAATCCGATTGTCAATGTACATCGATGACGGACGTATCCTGGCACAGTCCGAGATCGAATGTAAGTTTAAAGCTCAGTTTGTGTTACACATTTTCCAGCTCTGCGGGTTCAATATCCAATGGAAGAAAACCAACTTAGATCCCAGTCAAACGGCAGTATTTCAAGGCTTCATCACGAACACAATTTTCATGAAATACTTCGTTCAGATTGAGAAATTTTCCATAATACAAGCAATGATTGAAGAAACTTTATTCAAGATGAAGGATCCGGAAAAGTGGTTCAAGCTAAGAGAACTAGCCGTGCTCCTGGGAAAAATCCACAGCCTCAACAAATCCCATGAATCCATTGTCTCAGTGATGACCAGGCACATTCAGCATGTTGTGGGAAAAGAAGTTTTTAAAGCAGGCTGGGAGTCTTCGGTCAAGCTGGACAGTCATTGCAAAAGAGAGCTAGATTTCCTCCAAGAACACTTGATCAAGTTCAATGGGAAATTAATCCCAGGAACCAAAGAAGGAGCCAGGACGGTTGGCCACCAGGAGATAAGCAAGTTTATTCAACAGGTCTGTTATTCGGACAAAATCCTGCCGGATTTAATTATTTCAGACGCGTCAGATTCCCATGCGTTCATATTTTATAAGGATAGTTTTATAAGAAGTCAAGAGTTTGAATTTGACGAGGAAGAAAGGAATTTATCCTCCGGCCACAGGGAACTGTTAGCCACCTTGAAATTTCTACAACACTGCAAGGAGACCAAGGTAAAATTCAGTTCGTCCATTGTGTACTGGCAGACCGACTCCAAGAACAACTTCACTTTCTTGTCCAAGGGTTCAAGAAAGTCAAGAATACAGCAAGACATAGTAAAGATTAAATTCCTAGAAATGGAACTGGACATAACAATAATACCAGTGTGGACACCCCGCTCTCATTCAAGAATTGTGCTAGCCGACTTAGGAAGCAAATTTTCTCAATCATCAGATGAATGGGGAATCTCAAGGAATCAGCTCGACAAGGTGTTTAAGCAGTTTAACCTGGTCCCAACTATTGATGCATTTGCTTCAGAAGCAAGTTCAGTTTGCACAAGATTTTTCTCCAAGATCCCTCAGAATAAATGTATTGGCATAAATTTCTTTGCTCAAATTTTGAATACACGGGAGATTTATTTTTGTTGCCCCCCCGTAAAAGAAATTGTATTTACGTTCAAAAAATTAATAAATACCCCACATGTCAGAGCCATATTTATTATCCCTAATTGGTATTCAGCTAATTTTTGGCCATTCCTGCATAACGGTCAGCAATTTAGACAGGAGATCAAAGATTTCATGATATTTTCCCCTGAGTTTATCATTTTCAATGAGGTTGACAGCCTATTTTCCAGAAAGCCCAATTTTCAAATGTTGGCCCTCAAGATTGTGTCTTAAGTGTCATAATATGGCATAGTGTATATGTATTGGTAGAACACCAACCATTGTAAATTAAAAGTAAAGAGTGAAATTATTTAAGAAAAAGTGTTCATTTCATTTCGAGCAGATCCAGATTGATTTATTTATGTTAATGTAAGCTAAAACTAGACCAATAACCTCAAGATGTATCATGTAAATAGATTAAAAACATTTGTTGCGTAGAATTTAGAGCAGAATGTAATAAATGTACAAGTCAAGATTAAAGCATTTAATTTTATTTGGTTTTGTTTGTTGGGGGTTTTTAGTTAAACTAGTTCAGTTATAAAGTTTCAGACTTCAAGGTTAAAGCAATTCAGATTAACTCAAATATAAAAATGTAAAAGCAAAAAATTAAGAACATGGGTAAATTTAGTTATTCCGGCTGAGAATATTTAGAAATTATTTAAACAGTGGGTTATTACAGTGTTCGTTTAAAGATTTAAGAGTTAAGTATTGGTCGATTTAATTTAATCTGGAGAACACGCACAGTGGAAAGATAGAATCGATAAGTACAGGATGTTTAAAGTTTAGATCAATAATGGCTTATTTGATAATTATTCCTGGACGAGTATTGAATTTCATAACAAGCTAAATCAAGTTGTTGAAAATAACCTATCAATCAATCACAGGTGCATGGTCTCGTTATTAAGTATGAAAAATCGAAGCATTTTATTGATTATATTATATTGTACAAATCGGGCAAACAGTTGATTAAGTTATTTTTGTTTTTTAAACAATTTATTAAAAATCGTGTAGATTATAGAAATGGCCGAACATTAAAAACTATAATCATAATTTATTTCAGACAGTATGGCTAATAACCAATTCCCAGATTTGGCCAGAATAGGTCACTCTTATGACCTGGTTGAACCGGAGCTCGGAGTGATAGTTCACATGACAGAACCTTTGGTCGATCATACATATAACGCAAGGCATGAAGGGGTGAAACCACCATTTGGGTTACCGTTATCAAATTTCCCGAAATATCTGGCAATGCTGGATCGCGATCCTTCTCTAATCGAAGCAGTGAACGTAATGATGTGTCCACCAATATCACAGGCAACGATTGCAGCGTATACCCCGACGGTAAATAAATTAGAAACTTTTTGTGAGCGCCAGGGTTACCCATTTCCCAATTTATCTGAACCGTCGATTCTACACTTCTTAGCAGAAGGGTTTAAAAACAATGAAACTTTTTCCTTCTTTAACAAAGTAATTCCAAGTGTTCGAGCGCTGGAAACAGTGTTAGCAGTAGAACAATCAGCAATTACAGATACAGTAAAGGCAGCGTCTAACAGTCTTAAGAGAAAAGTAGCAGAAAGAAAGAAACCGGTAAAGAAAGCATTTGCATTTGATTGTTCGGTAATTTTGGATCTCATCCAAAAAATTATAATTCCCCATGAAGAAGAGTTATTCAAAATCAAAGCAGAAGAGTTCAGAGCACTGGTTAGATGCGTAGTTATTTACCATAGTTTCTGCAGGTTCTCCGATTATAACATACTCCGAGATACTGATCTGGACGATCAAGGATCACACATTGTGATCTTCTTTGCCAGGAGTAAAAACGATCAGTATTATGAAGGCACCTCTAGTTTTATCCCAGCCAGACCGGGATCAGCAGGATGCCCAGTGGCGTTGTTACGCCTATATTATCGACGATTCAACCTCAATTTCAAAGGAAGAGTGTCAACGGGAAAATTTCTGAATTTCAGAATATCGAAGCAGTTTGGTTACCATTCAGCTATGGCAGGAACCCGGTTGTCCCAATCTACAGCAGTTGAACAAGCAAGATCAATGATGAGGAAATATGGGTACGACGGAGCTAAGTATACTGAAAAATCATTTAAGGTTGGCGGTGTCACTGCTTTGTGCGAGTCGGGTGAAGCTCTAGAGAATGTAATGATTGCAGGGAGATGGAGAAACATGTATACCCCTATGCACTACAGGAATACATCAGTCAACTTCCGGTTAGATATTGTGCAGAACTTACCGGTGAATGGATAGTTAGAAAGATTACAATTATAAATGTGCAATATTATCTTGGAAATTATAAATGTGTAATATTCTCGCAGGGGAATGATCTAGATAGTCAATATGGTCAATAAGTTAACACAAGTTGTCAATTCAAAGACTTAAACAGGTTCCATCAGCGCCATATAGCCCCACGGTTAACAGCAGTGTTACATTTCAGATAGGATGGTCGATCCAGCTGCTCTTAGCTGAGCCAATCCAGGAGCAGTCCGGAACATCGGTTTTTAACTGAGCCAACTCAGAAGCAGTCTGTACAGCAGCTGTCTTCAGCTGAGCAAATCGGTAGCAGTCCGTAGTTAGATCCGTTCTAAGCAATCTCTCTCCGCCTAGTCTCGGGAATTAGTTAGAAGCCGGCTGATCTAGGTTGAAGATAAGGTTTAGTCGCCTAAGAATTCAAAGAAGCATATGTAGCGGGGAATTGTCATTTTTCTCGAAGCCTCAGCCCCTCAAAACGAAGAGAAAAATTATCTGAATTTAAATACTTTAAATCAGGTAGCTTCCACGTTTTTGATCAGATTAAGGTTTTAAGAGTGCCGTTGTAAATCGGGCATTGCCATCTTTGCCTGGCACAGGCAGCTTTAATACATTTGAATTTCCGAGCCGGGTCAACTTTTCCGGTTAGTTTGTACTGTACTTAGCTCTATGAACAGGACTAGCCAGTACAACAAGGTTGACGTGGTCAGACTTTATGCTTCACAAAGGTTGAATTTATTTTTACTAAAGGGGCAGAGGTGCGTGCTGGAGGGTTACTTGACATAATGCCTTTAATATGTATTTTTGTTGATAAAAGTTATTTAATAAGAAAGAAAATAAGCAAAAAATAATCTAATTATTCTTATCTTTTCGTGTAGAATATCCAATATCTATAATTGATTCAGTTATTTCTTTGGTTTTAAGTTCTTGATGGCATCAATATCCAACCTTATCATTCTTCCTGTAGTCAAGTAAGTAACATTTACCCTTTTTTCTTTAAAAAATAAGTGTAAACTTTTAATTTTTGATAAAAATAATATAAAAGTGTCAACTAATAATAAATAAAATAGAGCTTTGATTAAGCAAAAGAAATTATTTTTTGAAAATTAATTTGTTTAAATATTAGAGTAATTATATCTTTTGTTTAGATATATGGGAGTTAGTGATCTGACAGTTATGGTTGACGGTACGTTATCTTTTCCATTTATTTTATTTGATTATTTTTAGAGATTATTTCTATTTTAAATATTTAAATTTTTTATATTTAAAAATTATAGAAATGATATTTAAAGAATTATTGCCAATTTGAAGCACTAAATACCCTTTTATCAAAACAATAATATGGAAGAATTGGAAAATGTTAAATTTTTACTTTTTAGATTGAATTCAATGATAACACATCTTTTTGTTTAGACTAAAAATCGAACAGTGCAAATAGATTCTAGTACAACGTAGAATTTGTACACTCTCAGTACAGTTGTATTCTGTCGTCACAAGTGTCAATTCAGTTTTTTTTCCGACAAAATTATCAATAATAGTGATAATTTTATAATAAAGTGTTTTTCTTACAGTAAAATAAGTGTAATTTTATGTGTTCTTTAGTCTCTGTTTTGTTAATCATGATCAATTATCAGACAGAATAATGAAGATTTCTTCATCGATATTAATGTAAATGTTTAAAAGGCAACGTTGCGAATTTTTTCAATAGATGTCAAGTCAGATTACAATATCAATCCTGTAAATCATTTATTATAAAAATATGATTTGTTTCCAGGTCTGATTGCTAAGATGGTTGGTTTGATTGTATTTGGTCTAAGTAAAGATACTCCGTCAATAATCTTCAGTTTTGTTCTGGATGGATTTGGAATCTGGGCTTATTCTTCATTCTTTTCCATTATATCCCAGGTACCGATTAATACTATTTTATATCCCGGGTGCTTTATATCCCAGGTACTGATATAAACAATGTTATATCCCGGGTGGTGTTATATCCTATGTACTTATATATACTGCTTATATTCCGGGTGTTCTATATCCCAGGTACTGATCTAAACTACTTTATATGCCGGATACCGGATACCGGATGCTATATCCCAGGTACTGATCTAAACTACTTTATATGCCGGATACCGGATGCCGGATGCTATATATCTGTTACTATTCTTTCTTTGTAACTTAGTTTTTTTAACCCAAGTAAGAACATTCTCGTCGTTTTACCGAGTTCCCCAGTTTTAAGTAAAGGTCTTCCTGAGTTATGCTTGGACATCCTAACAAACAGACTGACACCCAAGCAGAGATTACTACTTGTTATACAGTTTTACCCGGAACTTTGGAAACATCGAAAGAATTTAACAAATGTCGTCTTCTAAACCCACTGATAATTAAATGCATGCAGATATTTATTTTTTCAATTGAATAATTATATTGAGCTCTTTAAAACTTTTCCCGCATATTTCATTGCTTTTAATATGGCACGAAATTTTACATCAAGCTGAGATTTAGGTAAGATAGTCAAGCCGACAGTTTATATCAAGCTGAGATTTAGGTAAGATGGTCAAGCCGACAGTTTATATCAAGCTGAGATTTAGGTAAGATAGTAAAGCCGACAGTTTATATCAGGCCGAGATTTAGGTAAAATAGTCAAGAGTACATTTTATATCAAGCCGAGATTTAGATAAAATAGTCAAACTGACATTTTATATCAAGTCTAGAAATAGGTAATATAATTAAGCTGATATTTTATATCAGGCCGAAATTTAGGTGAAATAGTCAAGCCGACATTTTATATCAAGCCGCTATTTAAATAAAATAGTCAAGCCGACATCTTATGTCAGGCCCAGATTTAGGTAAAAAAAGTCAAGCTGACATTTTATGTCAAGCCTACATATAGGTAAAATAATTAAGTTGATATTTTATATCAGGTCGACATTTAGGTAACATAGTAAAGCCGACATTTTATTTTAAGCCGAGAATTTGGTCGATTAGTCAAGCCAATATTTCATATCAGGCCGAAATTTAGGTAAAATAGTCAAGCCAACATTTTTTATAAAAACGCGATTTAGGTAAAATAGTCGAGCCGCCATTTTATAATTTCTTTTGATGTCTCAGAAGTTTTAGGTTAAACTGTTTAAATAATATATATATATATATATAGATTTTACCCAAGGAAGTTTAATATATATTTTATTGTATATTTACTCAAATAAAGTGTATTTAATGCATTAGCAATGTGCTTTTTCAACGTGCCTTCAAATGTATTTCTTTGGAAATTGAATTCATAATTTTATCTCTTGACACCCTAACAGTGTATAGTAGACACTGTATAGGCTGGAACCAATGATACTATATATGAATTATGAAAAACAATTTTATATGTGTTTTTTTTTATAAAGCAAAAAGTTTCACAAGTTAATTTTGTGTCATGGGTCTGCGCACCCTGCACCCTGAGTTCCATTAATACACTAAATAAAATAATAACAAAGGAACAGTATTCGTAATTTCCAGTCACACTTTATTTAAGAAGGGACATGTCCGATTCACAATGGTACCCTTGAAGTGTTATGTTCTAATAATTTCTCCACGATTTATCTGCAGTAGAAATGCGCAAATCACTTATGTAGTGCAACTGCAATAAAAATAATCCGTTTTCAAAAGAATAAACATGGACATCTTATGCATACTTGATCAGATAACGCGGGTACCGTTTTGAATCGGACATTCCACTCTTTTAAATGAAAGATCACTCAAAACTACGCCAGACCCAGTCTAAGTATAGAAGTCGTCTTCCTAGTCCACAGTTGCATGGTTCCCACTGTTTATTTAATTATTTAGACTGTTCCTAAAGAAGAGGTTGGCAAGTTGATGGGAGTTGTGGCATTTACTGGTGGTATAGCTCTACTCTTAGGTATAAACACAGGCCTGTGTCACACAAAAACAACAACTCAATTTTGGACCAATATTGAAGACGGATTTCAAAAAGTTCAAACTTGAATGAGATTTGTTACGAGAAGGATGGAAGGCTCTAGTTTACAACATTTGATAAGAAATTTTGAGAAGATTTAAAAAATGTTCATAGTCGTCAATATTGGACCTGTATATTTTTTACTTTAATATTTTGATTTATTGACAAAGTTTTTTGCACGTGTTAATCTAGCTCATCTTAATTTCAACCATTTTCTCTCATTCATTCAATTTTATTAATTTATTTTGTTTTTCAATTATTTATAATTTATCATTAAAACGTTTTCAATAAGTAGGTTTTTAATTTAATTTTTTTAGCATCTTCAATTCTGAACACAATTTATCCTCCCATAACAATTCTTAATCCTGGGGGCACTCATTTCTTCGGTAAGCATTTTTTTAACATAAAAAGTTTTTGATCTCATTGTTCCCCCCCCCCCCTCTAACCATTTTATTCCTGGATCGTTTTTACATTTATGTTAAATCTTAAGCAAAGCGGAGTCAAAATTTTCTTGACTTTTTGTGCAAATGTAAAAAGGGGAAACTTGAAGATTTTTTTATAAAAAAAATATAAATCAAAATTACGCTAGCTTTGTACCTTTTTACCTTTTTTCTGATCAGTTTTCCAACCCTGACATTAAATTTATTATTTTTTAGTTGCTTCTCTCACTTTTCTGTCCCTGTTAATTCTTATTCTCGCTGAATTCTTAAACAAGAAATCCAAGAAAACCAACTCTTTGGACTCCCCTTCACACCCCTGTGAGGAGTCCTCTGTACTCCCCTATACAGCTAGTAAGGAGTACGGGAGTACGGGTAGCCCAAGGTTGGATGCGAGCAGAGCGAGTGATTTTGCACACACAAACGGGGCCTTTTCCCCATAGACATTTAATTTGACAAAATAGGAAAAATATGTATTTAAATTTATGGTCTTAAAAATCTGCTTTTTGATATTAAATGTTAAAAGCAAGTAATTACATGTCTCATAAGCCTTATAACTTTGCAACCTCAGGCCTTTGACATTTGATACAATAAATTTCGCTATAGTAGAAGATTAGATAGTCTACAACATCAGATTGCAAAGAAATAGGTATTATTGATCGAATAAATCAGTTATAAGTTCTTTTGTATAATTTTAACGTTTTCAAAAGATCCATCATTATATACAGTTACCTCAAGTTGACATGAAACCCTTTGTTATCCGATTGTGAAGCATTTAAAGTTACCAGAAGAATTGATATTTTTTTCTTAAATGATATTTTATATTATTTTCGGAAAAAAAATTGTTTGACTTTATTTTTATGTTGATATTTCACTAGTATTTCAACTATAACTAAAAGTATTGTTACCATTTAAAAGTATGAAATAAAGGAAATCTAAAGCCTGAAACTGATGTGATTAAATCTACAGAGTATAGAAAAAAAGGTATTTACAAGTAAAAATAAGAACAAATAAAATGATATATATGAATTATGGAAAGCCGGAGCTTTCTAGCAGACTCTCCACCTTTTATTCGCCTCGTACGACGAGTTAATCTTCCGTTTTCCGACCCTTTGTAATAACTAACTTTCATTTCCTCCTCATTGTGTCAAGCTGTGTTTAATGACTATTGACTTGAATTTAAAATAGAATTTCCGGTCCAACAGATAAATCAAACTTTGGAATAAGATATATTTTTAAAATTTTATTATTTTGTTATAAAAAAAACTTATTTTGTTACCAAGTTGTGTAAATGCTTCAGTGCACTGCACTATGCAGACGGTTGTTTACTTCTCAATTGAAAAATATAAACAGTTAAAAAAGATAACTTTGCAGATTCGGCCCAAACCTGACACCATGATGTAGGTCTGGGCCAAATAATGGTTTGGAATTTTTGTTTCGCTGCATTAATATCTTGTTTCAAGTCCTCGTTAGATCGAAGCAATTACATAACTTCTTTTCCCTGAACTTCTAGTGATGTTTTGCACATCAATGTGTGACAATTTTACATTTTATAAGTTCAAAAATAAAAATGCTTATTATTATTTTAAAAATGCTCATATATATGTAAGATAATGTTAAGATTGATTGGTATCGATTTAGAAAATGCCGTACTCTTAAAACTTCGTCCAGAACCGTATCAGTCCAGGTACAACCCGTCGGCTATAAAATTCAAACAGGACACAATCCACACAGCTAAACTCCCATCGCCACTACCACTAGTAGCGATCTTGTTTGTTATTGGTGTCAATACGGACACTAGTAATTAATTGATCAATGCCTCAAACAGACAGAAAATTTATGAGCTTCTGAAAAAATGCTAAGAAAAAAAATAAGAAGGAAAAAATGTTGAATTTTCAAAAAGAATTACTCTTTTTTGGTACACAATTTCAATTCACTGAAATGGGTGAAAACACAATAGAGGAAACAATTTCTTCATTAAAAACTATAAAATTAAAGAGCTTTCTTGCTCGTCAAACAATATTTAGTAAGTTTTAATGGGAAAAATAAACAGAATTTTGTCATTATTCTGCAATAAATGCCTAAAAGGGTTAGCCCTATCCCGATAAGGCTTTTTGATTCGNGTGTCCCACGAAACATGACAGTTGGTGAATAGTTTTGAATGTCTTCTTCCACATACTGTTTTAGATATTAAAGACTTTTTGAAGTTTATTTATTTTACTGTGAAGTTAATTTTACTATAATATAACTGTCATACAGTGAAACCCTTAATAACAATTACATCGGAAGAATTTATCAAATGTTGTCTTGACATTTTTTCAATGAGTTTTATACTATATTACGTAAATTTTAGTATTTGCAAAAATAAAAAAAATAGCCACGAATATGTGGGAACAGTTTTAAAGAATTCCAATAATCATTTAATTTAAAAACTAAATATCTGCAACATTCCAATATCAGAAAGTGTGAAGAATGCGACATTTGATGAATTCTTTCGATGTATTCGTTATTATAAGGGTTTCGCTGTATAAAAAAGGTTATTAGTCTCTTTAGAATCAAACAACTTTTCTAACTATGTAAGAAGCCATTTTAAACTATTCATCAACTGTCAGGTTTGGTAAGGCCCCCTGTAGCTAGGAGAGAGTGATGAGGGACGGGGTGCTGGGCCACCATGAGCCCAACAAGCCTCCTGATACAAAGAATATTCTCCAAGCCCCACAAAATTGTCTCCACCCCTCTCACTACTTCTCCAAGCCTCCACCAAATTATGTCTCCATGCCCCGCATTTTTGTCCCCGATAAAATATATTTGGCTTTAACATTTTTAAATAATCTTAAGATGTTAATTAGTTTTTAATGATATATAAACAATTTTGTTATAAAAAAGTCAATTTTAATTGATATAAGACTTCTATTTTTGTTTTTTAAATTTCACAAATTCCGCTAAACTTGTAAATAACTATTGCAGTTCTATATAAAGACAGGGAGATTTTATGTTGTTTCATACGTTTATCTTGTACAAATCAACATTAGCACCAATTCACAAAACAAAATATGTTAAGTGAATTTGTGATTTTATTGTATGCTTTTTGTAAACTTTACTCAAGAAAACAAGTTAAGAACAATTGAATAAATTAATATTTAAATTTTTTGGTGAAATTTAAAAAAAAAAATAATGTAGATTCTACTTTGAAGAGACATATTTTGATTTCTGGTTGTTTAAGCCATGACAGGTAAAATAAAAATGAATGCAGCAAGCGGAGATCGAATGGAGGTGTAGCAACAGGCATGTAGACAGTTTTGCGGGGCTCTGCTCCCCCATGCCCTCATGTGATATACATGTCATTAGTCAAACTTTTCAAACTTTTCAATCTTACCTTTGGTGTAAAGTTATATATGTATCCTATAACCCTCCACACCCGAGTGGGGGAAGAAAATTGATAAAGACGTCTCATACCGAAGAGCCCATACAAATTGAGGAAGTTGGAACAAATCGATTATCTTTCGCCACATTTGTATATATTTAATATTTCATACTAGTTTTGATTTTGTTTTTTAAAATAATATTTAGCTTACAACTTGTTTTCGAACATTCCTGGAAAATATGAAAATGTCGTCTATCATTACCAAAAATCCTCGAAACAGGAATAAACGTTTTTATAAGTAACTCTCAGATCATAACAATTAAAACATATTATGAAAAATCAACTATATATAAATGTGGCGAAAGATAATCGATGACTATAGGTTGTAATATCTGAATTGATTTTTATACGGTCTAAGTCGAATGTTGCAATTTTCTCAATTTGTATGGACGCCATGTTATTCGGTATGAGACGTCTTTAACAATCTTCTCCTTATAGACGCAACAGGTAGAAGTAAGATTAGTGGCGATCAAAAGCGCTTTTTTATCGCATTAAGCCTATACCCCCTTTCATTTTTCGCGAACACTCCCTTTATAATGTAATTTGTGTGAAAGATTATACAATGTTGCAAAAAACGGGAAATACCTATTTTTTGTCTCTACCACACCTATTTTTCATCCGATCATCACACATTATTCTTCTATTTTCTTGTTTAATTGTATTTGTATAGAATGCAACTTGTAGATGATAGTTGCTGGATGCTATCCTGTTTGAACTACCGCCGTTTGAACTATTGTTCATTTGAACTATTGTTTGTTTGAACAACCAATAGTTCACATGACCCTTAAAAATAGTGCATATGAACATAAAAATAGTTTAATGAACAAATAAATAATACAAATTAACAAAATAATAGTTCAAAACAATAAAATAGTTAAAATGAACAAAAAAAGTTAAAATGAACATAAAAATAGTTCAATAGAACCAAAAAAATTGTTCAAATGAAATATTCAAAAAACATGAAAATTGTTCAAATGAACAGAAAAATAGTTCAAATGAACCTAAAAAAATGTTTTAAAAAATTCAAATAAATTAATGAGTCTAAATGAAATATAATTTCAGGCCATGCAAATTATTAAACTATTTTTTGTTTCATCTGAACTTTTTTTTTGTTCATTTGAACTATTAACCGCAGGGCTTGGCCCCATAGGCTGTCCTAACTGCAGCACTTGGCACAAAAATTGTCTTAACCTAACCTAACCCTGAAATAATACACATTTGAGCTATTTTTTTGGTTCATTTGAACTATTTTTATGTTTATTTGAACTATACCAGCGGCAGGGCTCAGCCACTAGCCTGTCCTAGCTGCAGCGCCCAGCCCCCCTAGCAGTTGTCCTAGCTCCAGTTTTCGACACAAAAATTGTCTAAATCTAACCTAACCCTAATTCTTATACTTCATTTGAACTTTTTTATGTTCATTTGAAATATTTTTTTGTAATTGTTTAAACAATATCTTTAATTGTATGGCCTAACTTCATGAATTATGACAAAATTTTAAAAAACTAAATTTATAGGAAAATAGTTCAAATGAGCAAGTAATATGTTGAATTGAACTACAGGATATGACATCATGTCAGTTTCAGTTAAAGTTCAAATAAAAAATAGTTCAAGTGAATGATAGTTAAATGGTGGTAGTTAAAACATGTATCCACCTAGTCGCTGGAATTATAATCTATATGAGCTAAGCATTAACACATGTTTTGGTAGGGAGCATAGCAAATGGTTTTGATTTGCTCGAGGTATTATGAATTAAAATTTCCATGAACTGTTTATGCCTATAGTACCTTTTTAGTTTTTAAGATGTTCTTCTTTAGAAAAAAACAGGATAAAATATTTTAAACCAATGCAATATGTAAACAAGACGTGGCTCAGAATACTGTGAAGTATTTTAAAATAGAATGTAAACAATGCCGGACGATAAAAAGTGTGATTGGACATAATAATATTGAAATGTGACATCATTTGTGGTTGGGCGAAAAAATGGTGTGGTGTGCCTTCCCTCCCTCTCCACCCTCTCTACCCAGACGAGGTGCAGGGGGGGGAGGGTCAAGAGGTCGATAGTCCCCCATTTTGAAAAAGGGGTAGTCATGAGTATCTTTTGACCCCACTTTTCTGGAGACTAACCTAATAGTAACTTGTTTTGTTTAAGAGTTTTACCCCCGCCCCCCCTTTTTCAAAAGAGCTGTATTCTCCCCTGTCACTACATTAATGTAAAAACCCTTGCAAGTTATGTATTCTATAATCCTTCCCACCCTCTCTACCTTCAGTATAAATGTACATTGGTACAAAGCGTACAAAAATACTGACTGAGTACAAAGAAACAGTGAAACAATAAAGATTAAGCAGCGATATGGTTAATAGAAACAAATCTTAAAACATTATTAAAACCTCACAATTGTTCCTAATAATTTTCAAACTAAAAATGTGGTTCCATTATTTCAAAAAAATTATTTGTTAATTTTAATAGTTTTCATTGCGTAAATTGAGAAATACGAGAAAATTGTTTTCCTAATACGTTATCACATCAGGAAGATACCGTGTGTTCCACGAAACATGACAGTTGAAGGACAACATGAACGTCGTCTTTAAGCTTTGTGAAATGCAGTCCTCAACCTACTTTTACATTTATGCTTTTTGAAACCATAACCACATAATTCTCCTAGTGCTGTCATTTTCAAAATGTGGTCTCCCTCTTTTGTGCTATCAATATAACCGGAGATATTACAATTTCGTTAAGATTTTAATTCATTAAATTAATTAAACCAAAATTGTCAATCTTAACGAAATTTCTCAAATCTTCGTTAATACCGAATGCAATAAAAGCCAGATAACATTTTTGAAATGCAAAGACTGGGGGCTGTATGTAATTATTAACAATCAGAGTCATTTCAAACATTAAAGACGACCTTCAACTCGTCTTGCTTGTGTCATGTTTCGTGGAACAGCCTGTAATTCCCAATCTCCGTCCCAATATCAACCAAAAATTCGCCGGTTTTTTTGGGAACTTAAAATAATAATAAAAGAGCAATTTAAAATATAGCAGCTCTCTTGAAATTCTCCTAAAATGAACCGGTTTTTCAATTTGTATACCCATTTTATATTGAAATGTTGAAAGATGCTGAATAGTGAATTTATAACGTATATAATATCCATTTTGAAGTAAAACTGTTTTCTAAATGTTTAGAAGTATCTAGTTTGCTAGAACTAAAGTTATAATAACAATAATAACAAGGTGAATATGTATTATCGGAGAATGTCCAAAAATGTGGGTTTACTCTTTCTGATCTCATTGTTCTCTACTGGGTCTTCTTTCCCATTTACAGAAGATGGTAACATTTGTTTTACTTAATTTATATGATTTACTTTTTTAAATATTCATGAAAATAGCTTTATGGTTATAATAAATCTGTTTGATAAAAAATTGATATTATAAAATTTTCGAAAAAAATATATTATGTCTTGATTGATTGATTTATTGATTAATAAATTATTGTTTGATTTATTGATTGATTAAGGGTTGGATGCACCAACCCCCAGGATTGGATCTTGGGCACAGCTGTACAATGATATTAACACCAGTAACAGGTACAGTACAGTATAGTACAGTATACGGTACAATTCATTTAATTAATTAGTAAACTCCATTAGAACGAGTACTCTGCATGCAATTACAGTACAGAGCATTATATTAAAGAACAGTATTGTCTCAATCCATGCATTTCATTACAGCGCATTGCACTACATTTCATTGTACAGTACAGCATTTAATACCAAATTCGAACTATAACGATTATATTACCAATCTAATACTTGTACTTGAAATTTATTTAAATGAGATATAAAGGGACTGTAAGTGTAATTTAAAGCGACCCTGATGCAAAGATGACAATGCCTGATTTTACAATAGTACCCTTGATATCTTTATCTGATCAATCATCTGGAAGATAGCGTCGTTTTTTCTAGGTTTAAAAGTGATTAAATTCAAAGACTTTGATAATAAAAAATTTACGCAAATTCTACGCAGTTTGTCGGTGATCCAAATATTGTAAGAAATACATTCCATACTTTCTGTAATATTTTTTTGTTTAAACAAAATCCCCATAAATCAGTTGAAGAGTAAGATTTATAATACATTAATTTATGCCATATTTTTTCTATGACTAAGATTAAACAGAAGACGACATTTACACAAAATTTATTTACAATTTTAATATTGGAAACTTATGGTTTCCTCACCGCCTAAAATCTAAAAAAAAAATCAGAAAAAATATTTGACGGAATCGGAAAATTTTCAGTAACAATTTTTGGCTATTATTTAGATAAAAAGAGATGCGTAACTTTTTCACAAATTCAGCTTTAATTCACCAGACGATCCTCATATCCAACAAATGATAAAATTCATTTTGAAATACTAATTAACATCGCATTTAGAACAAAACATTAACAATTGTGTAAATATCTAAGGTTTTAATGTCGATAGTTAGACTCTCAAACAACCAATATAACCAATGATGTCAAAATACAGCTGTACAGGCGTACACAATAGTCAGATAAATTTCTAATGCATCGTCTTTATTGTTAGTCTTTGATTAACATCTTATAATTTATAATTGTTTTCCAACGCGAGTCACTATCCTAGTGAAACCACAATTAAAAATAATAAACTTTTAAACATTAATATCTAATTCATGCTTTATCAGACAAGGCTTTTAAGGGTACCCTTGTAAATCGGCCATTTTCATCTTTGTATTAGGGTCACTTGAAATTACACTTACAGTCCCTTTAAATTTGATTTTTTTGTTGATTAGGGTGGACTCAAAGATGTCAGCATTTTCCAGTTTCAAGTCAGCTTTCAACCCAACATTAGTTCAAGAGGTAATAAAATCCATACATTTCTTTCTCTAAAAATAAATTGTATGTGTAAGTCAGGTTTACTCCAAAGAATTTGCTTGTGGATTTATGTTACAATCAATATCTTTCAGCTGTAAAAATGACGATTTTCTCCATAGTTTTTCTGAATTAAGGATAAAATGGTTCTATTGCCAATTGGGCTTGGCCCTTTAAAATGAATAATAATCCGTGTTGTTGTCCCACCTTAAACTTCATAAAGGGGGCCTGTAAATACGATATATATACGATACTCTGTTTAAAAGACACCAATTGAACTTAAACTTTGTTTCCGCTATCCCCAAAACACAACCCTACTCAAAATTAATTATTTTTAGGCTGTTAATCCTACTGGGCCCATTTTTCACAAAGAGGTAAAAAGGAGAAAAGTATAACTATAGAGCTTTTGAAGTTCTACATACTGAACAAACATTTTGTTTGTAAGAAAATAGTTTTCAAATTACAATTTCAATACAAGTTTTTAACTTTATTAATTTTTTATTTTAGTTTAATTTTAGAATATTTTTTAAATAAGATATCAGATGAACACATTTTGAGACTTCTATATTTTTTGTTTTTCATTCTTTCTTCTTGATCATCCATTCCTAACCCATCCTTCATACATACTTTTGTGGATGTCCCTGCAGCTAGCCTAATTGCAAGAGAAAGAACTTTTTTCTCAGACCTATTCTGAGTGGACCAAGGTCACAAACCTCTCCCCATGTTGTGTTTTCTATAAAATTAACAATACAAGTATTAAACATTTCAATTCAATATTCTTAAATAAATTTTTTTATGTCAAATCTGATTCTTGTCCTGGATTTCAAAATTAGAACTTAAAGTGTTTTGTTTCATAGATCCCTCCCCCTTCCCCCCTCCCCCTCCATATAATTGTTTTTATCCTAGGTCTGTGGTCACAAAGTTAAAAAACAAATTTCAAGTTTCAAAAGGCAATTCAAACTTTTATTTAAAAAATTTTAAGTTAGTTTTTTATCATTAAAATAGAGTTTTTAACATTTTCTTTGAAGTTGAAGTTATCATCTGCAGGATCAAGAAATGTTACATCTTAATTTTTGACATTTTTAATTGTTTATTGTTATTGGAAACAAAATTTCAAGTGACCCTACATGCAAGGATGGCAATGCTAGATACCCTGAAATGCTTTGTCTCAGCAAGAATGAATTAGATATCAAGGTTTTTAATTTAAAAACTGATTATTTTCATTGTTGTTTCCATACAAAAATGTCTTAAACATATTAACAGAAGAATAACATATTGGAATTATTAGAAAACCAAGAAAATTTACATCTGCACCTCATTGATTAAAAAAAGGTTTAATGAGTAATCAAGCATTGCCATATTTGCATCGTGGGTTACTAAAGATTACGCAGGCTTACACACTACTTCAAATAAAAGTTTGATTATCAAAGGATTCTTGGTGGAAAAGAAGCAGAGGAAAAGATTCAAATTATTTTATCAACTAATTTTCAATTTTTTTTTCTCTAAAATGTTTTAATGATCTATGTTTTGTTTTCTTCTGAAAATAGAAAAAGGGTAAAATTGAGATTGGATTCGAAACAAAAAGAGGTTTGATTTGATTTTTAGCCATTGTATTTCTCATGGTGTTTATCAAGTTAATTTGATTCACAAAAGAACTAAAGAAGCAAATTTAAGTGATCTTCCCTGTTCAATTCACGATGTTAAATGTTGTAGAGCAAAAATTATGGAAATACTTTTGTTTTTCTATTTATCTCAAAAATTACTATCTTCGTTTTTGTTGCTCTTTTAAAAATGCTTTATGGCCAATTCCATTAAATTCAGCTGTTAAAGATTAGTGGGCCAATAGGGTTAATAAAAATTAACAGAATTAGAATACTTTTTTCAGCAAATATCTGGAGGTGTATATTTTTCAGTAAAAATCATCCCCCCCCCCTCTTTGAAAATCATTTTTACCTTTTTTTATTTATTTTTTTTTATTTTAGGCAAAAATAAATAAATTTTTGGATAAAAAGTATTAAAATGATTGAAAACACTTGCAAGACAAGTTAGTCCAATTTTTCATGTGCTCCTTCTGAGTGTTGAAAATCTCACACATACACCCTCTCCCTGAGAGGAGACAGTAATTCTTGAAAATATTTACCCCGTAATGAAAAAATCTGCTACCTGAAATGGTTCCCTAATCACTAAATCCTTGGTTAACCAGGAAGGATCAGTTCCCTGGCAGGTTGGGGTTGTTCTGCTACCTGAACTAGGAGATGATTCAGTTATACCTACCATCACATGCGGAGGTAACATAAAGTTTAATTTTAAAGGGACTGTAACCAGTTTCATGTGAACCTTCATGTATAGCAGACAATGCCTGATATACACATAAGGCCGAATTTAAATTATTTGAACCATGTCACTCAACCGGTTTCAATTGAATGCTGGCTCAAATCTCGAAACACTTATTAAAATTTCCAGCTGAACCTACCATGTTTGACTTGCAATGATAACTTTTAAACCTTTTACTTTTTATGTAGTAAAGAGAACTCTTTTTTATATCTCCTGAAACCCTATAAACTGAAAACTAAAAACTAAAACTGGGTGGAACATTTTTTGTAATTATCCAAATTTGGTTGTCCTAAACCCATAATTTTTGTTAATTACTTGCTTTTTTAAAATAATACTTTGAGAAAGATTATGTATTTCAGAAAAAATTGAGATAGCAGATCAATGGAAGACTACTCATCCATTTTTTCTGAATTAATCCAAGATTTGCTTGGTTCTGAAAAACCTATCAAGGGATGTTTACTCTTGTTTTTTAGGCACTATTCTCACACCGTATGCATTTCTTACAGCTGCCCATTGCATGCAAGAACCCCCTCATAGGTAAAAGATGAAGACTAAAGATAAAATGAGATTTTAGTTTGGCTATACTATTATTTGTCATAAGTATAGGAAATTCTTGTTTTTACCAAGCTTTATACTAACCATTGCTTAGGATCCATATCCATATCCTGAATCCCCCCGTGAAAAAATGGATACAGTAGAATTTTCAAATCATTTTTTTTCATTTTTTTGCTTATTTTTAAGCTTGAGGAACCATTCAGAGATTTTATCATCTTGATTTTAATAGTTCAGCTTTGGTTTTTAAGAGTAAAAAGTTAGTTTTTCTAGGTTTTTTGGTCCTTTGATCCAGATCCGAAGCATTGCTTTAAACTGCATAATAAGTAATTCAAATTATCAATGGCATTTGTGTGAATCAGGTATGAGGCTGTTGTTGGTCGGCATTCATCTGATCTGTTTGAAGAGGAGTGCAGAGAACAGAAATTAAAGGTGGAGTACTCTTCTGTGTCAATATCATTATCATAATCATATAGTGGACCCTTATAATTCAACCACAAAACTTTTTATTCTTATTTTTAAGATTGTACAAGCTATATAACCTCACTTCATTCAGAGTCTGGAGGGCGGGTAGTGGGATATCCCTAACAGCCTGATTTGATTTGATTTAATGAAATGTGATGAAAACGTCAATTACACATTAGATTTATTGCTTAAGTGTAGTTTTATTAATCCACAGTTTTATGGGTCACATTATATACTACTTTTTAAATTTCACTACTACCTCAACTCTTTATTTTAAATTATTTTTTTATTGTTAAAATGCATATTGTTTAAAAATGGCTTTAACTTGTATTAAGGATTTGGACAAATTTGGCCAGTTTTGGTTGATAAAAGATTACTTAATTTTCATGTAATTTATTTGTAAGATTCATATTGTTCAATCAATATAAGAAGTTAAGTTATTTTTCTTGAGGATGAGAATTAAATCTATTCTAGGTTCTGAGGTACTTCATCTTGGATTTATATTCTAGGTTCTCTGTTACTTTAACCATCTTGGATTTATATTCTAGGTTCTCCGGTACTTTAACCATCCTGGATTTATATTCTAAGTTCTGAGGTACTTTAACCATCCTGGATTTATATTCTAGGTTCTAAGGTACTTTAACCATCCTGGATTTATATTCTAAGTTCTGAGGTACTTTAACCATCCTGGATTTATATTCTAGGTTCTCCGGTACTTTAACCATCCTGGATTTATATTTTAGGTTCTGATGTACTTTAACCATCCTGGATTTATATTCTAGGTTCTCCGGTACTTTAACCATCCTGGATTTATATTTTAGGTTCTGAGGTACTTTAACCATCCTGGATTTACCTCCAAAACTTTAGAGAATGATATTTCTGTTGTATCAATTAGGACATATTATGGTCAGGTAGAAAAAACTTTTTAAAAAATTGCCCGATTTTATAGAATATTTTTTATACAGGGTTTCCCAATAAACACAGGAATTCAGTGACAAATTCGATATCGTCTTTTTTAATAATTCTTTGATTTAGTATAGTGATACCTACCGAGAAAGCTGTAATCTGTAAGAGTTTCGTCTGCTATGTTAACATTTTGTTTGTTTATGTTTTGACTGCATACGGTTGTACTTAGTAAAACAAGAAAATTACAGTATACAAACAGAGTAAACTTGTCTTGACTGTTATCTTGCGGAGACATTATAATTATATTGAATAATAAAGGAATTAATCTGCAGATTAACAAAAGATATAGAGTGAGATCTTGATATCCAAAAGTACAAGAATTCTCAGTTCAGATCACACAAGTTTTTATAATAAAGTCTTAACCCTATCCCTGCTAGACTATTTTTGTCTAATATAGTCGGGGGGGGGGGGGTGTTCCCCCCATCCCCTTATGATTTTCCATTAGAGTTGAGATAGGGTATTTTGATAGTCCTAAGTCCAACTTTTTATATCCTGCTCATTAAAAAAAATGTAGACCTCATTCATGGTTAGGGTGCAAGGGAAAATTTTTAAAAAGTTTTAAAAGTACGATGGAAAAATGTTCAAAAACAATTATTTTTAATTTTGATAAACATTATCATGTGAAACATGTTATTACATCCGTTTTTCAAGGGCTTTTTAAATATATAAATTTTATATTATAAAGTTATCAAGAATTTCTGATTTGTTTGAAACACCGACCCATCCTTGATTGTGCTCCATTCTATGAATCATTCTCTATATATAAAAAAGATTTTTTTGCTAACTTTGTTGAAATAGTGAAGAAGTTTAAGCGTTCTAATGTAAGCCGTTTTGTTGTTATTTATAAAAACAACCGGGGGGTGGGGGGGTGGAAACATCCCCCCCCCCCGTGAAAGGGTTGACTCTAATCTTATTTAAACTATGCTCTAGGCAAAAATTTAAAGAAGAATATTACACTTGAATTCAGAATTTGAAAAAAATAATAATAAATCTTTTATCATTCATTCGTTGTTTTAGGGAATTCAGTTCAGGGAAATATCATTATGTAAATATAGATTTTAAGAACAATTTAACTCTTACATAAATAAATCTTTAATACAAAAATTTCAATTTGAAAAATAATGATAATGTTGGAGCAGTAAATTTGTAGTTCCGGCCTGTTTTGGACATCATCCTAGTTTTTACACCCCACAGTCTCTTGGAACAGTTTCAGGTTTTCTTATATTTAAATCCTAGTTTTTACACCCCACAGTCTCTTGGAACAGTTTCAGGTTTTCTCATATTTAAATCGCTTTTGCTGAAATCTTGTAAATCAATACATTTATTTGCTGACTTCTTAAATAATAATTGCAATTTTAGCATAAATAAAAGTTCTCTTATTTAGATTACAATTTTGCTATAAATATCTCTCAACTGTGAGGAGCTCTTTAAACATCAGAAAACCCTAAATGTCTCAAAACAGGCCATACGATGCCCATTATTACCTGAGAAAAAATATATTTGCAAAAGATATCATGCAAATTTTAGGATAAGTGTATTTTTGATTTAATTAAACGGAAAAATTTTTTGACCAGAAATTTGACAGTTTTTTCTCTTCAGAAATTAAAATTTAAAATGTGTGTTTTATTTATGTTAATACTCAGGTTGGGGACTATTAGAAGAAAAAGCATCCCTGGCTGCTATTCCACTGAATAAGGTATTTTTACTACTTACATCTTTTATTTTGTTTTTCATCTAATCTCATCATTATGCATAAGTTTGTGAAATGAAAGAAAAAGCTTAGGGCTGAGGTCGAATTAGAAAATCTCATTTTAATTACCCAAACTTTACATATTTCCTCTCACAAATATTTCTAATCCGTCCTAGCATCAGTCTTTCTAATCCCTAATTCCATGTTTATTATTCCAACTTTACATCCGTCCTACCAGAAGTATTTCAAATATGTACTCTATCGTATTCATTATCCCATCTTTGCAGTAGTCCTACCACCATAAGTCTTTCTAATCCATTATACCATTTCAATTATCCCACCTTTACATCTTGTGTACCACAAACCTTGTTAACCCGTTCTCCCATGAACCTTTCTAATCCATCCTTCCATGAATCTTTCTAATAAATCTTTCTCCCATAAATCACTCGATTCCGTCCTGATAAATCTATTTAATTTGTCCTTGCATAAATATTTCTAATCCATCCATAGCATGATGCTTTCTAATTCCTAATCTCTAATTTCTAATCCATCCCGCAACAAATCTTTCTAACATACGTAACATGAAAGGTACTGAGTTTTTGCCACCAACTCAAATAGTGATTACTTGATCTTACAGAATTTATAGTTTGAAATATCAAAGGTTGACAGCATCAGGTTCCAAAGATACAGGGATTAGAAATAAGAGTTAGTGTCAAAAACTCCATTTCTTTGTTCTACAATATTCTTACTGACAACCCCCCTTGCCCCTCCCCATTGGCGCTGTGTACTTCAGGTTTTAAGATATTTAATTCAGTAGAAACCTGATATAAACTTTGATTATGAATATCTTTGGACAAAAACCAGATACATGAAAGTGTGAATGCATTTTAGGGCGTAAAGTTTTCTTTTCTTTTAATTGTTACTGCTAACAAAATGTCCTTTCTGGCCTTAAAAATGGTTTAAAAAGGATCAAACTAACACAATTTGAATTTATACAAGTAGATTCATAAAACATGAGTTTTTTTCAATAAGATCTTGATGAAATAAGTTAGGATAATCATTCTCTCAATTATTTTTTATTACATTTTTGAACCCTTTCAGTAGTCCTTTATTTAAATTGCTACATGTAATCTTTATTAAAATTGCTACATTTGTAAGCAAATATTTTGTTAACATGAACAATTTTCGAAATATTCAGTAGCTCAAATGAAAGTAGGTCGGAAGTTGTGACATCTTCTTACACATTCTTGCAGCATAGATTAAATGTCGTCTTTCTTTAACTAGTGCCAATTTAGGGTTTGCAAAACTCATGCATGGTACTGGCCAAACGGCTGGACCAAATTGGCTGAATTATTTTAGGGAACACATGGGTACCCTGCTGATAACATAGTTTTTTTTTCAATATTCAATTTTTTTTTGTCTAGAACTTGATACCTGGGTTTGTTCTAGGTGGATGTTCCAATAGTTAATTCTGAAAACTGTTTAGCTTCTTATGGATTGTATGCTTCAATAGATGATAGCAAGCAGTTTTGTGCAGGTAAGAACGCAGATATTTCCAGCAGGTGCATTCAGGGGGGGGGGGCTATGGGGCTAAGCCCCCCCCCCCCTGCACTAGTTAAATCTATTGATTTCAGGGGGTTTTCAGGCACCAACGGGTGCTGAGGCCCCCCCTTGAAAGAGTAAAAAATGTAAGCCCCCCTGGACAAATCCCTGAATACGCCCCTGATTTCCAGGTAGAACTGGTCAAAGTTGATGAAAAGAAGTTCTTGAAAATTCAGGAAAAAAATTCTAGTTAAGTCATAACCAGAAAGACCCGGAATTAATTGACAGATAATCAGACGACTTTACATATATATCTCTTGTCATTTTAAACTCACAGTAAAGGCAGACCACATTTTGGAATTGGCAGAACTAGGGCTATTTTGTTATTATTGTTTCAATAATAATATTTGCAAAATTAAATTATAAAGTCTTCTGATTAATTATAAATCAATTCAGGGTCTTTCTGATTATGAATGTATGTATTGTCTTAAATTAAAGTAAATTTCTGATTATGAATATAGAATCTGAAATTTTTTCACCAAAAAAGAGAACAAATTATTAATTAAAAGTTTTACTTCACTGGATAGTATTAAGGCTGGGCGAATTTTGATCAATGACTTTGTTTTCTGGTTTAGAACTGGAAACTGGATTGTTTCTGGTGTCTATTCTGTAAACAAGAAAAAATTCCGGTTTCAATTTCTTGAACCCAAAATTTACAGTTTCCATTTTATTTAAGAATTGGTCTGGAATTCCACTTCACCAAAAATCATGCAATTTAAAAAAAGGAATGAATAAAACTGTCAACTTTCTGTCTTAAATCCTAATTTAATGAATTTGATCTGCCTACTGCTACTGGTTCATATTTGAAGTACCGGTTCATATTTAATCATCGGTTCAAATCCTTCCTAAATCTGAAATCAGTGGTTCAAATTTAAAGTGGTAGTGGGTAGCTTAGCGACTAGCTCAATGCCATTAAATTCAGTCCCTGCGCTGACATCATGTAATTGTATCAGGCGAATCCTCAGGAGGTCGGGATGCTTGCTCAGGAGATTCAGGGGGACCATTTACTTTCACACTTGCCAGGTTTATTTTTTTTAGTTTTCGGATTATTTGCCAATTCGAAAAATCAGATAATTCCCTACCGCCAGTTCAAATTTGAATCACCAATTTAAATCCTTCCTTCCTTTAATCAGAAAATTGGGATTTTTTGATGTTTTGTTAAAAATTTAATCCCCAGAAGAAAAAATATGTATTTCATTTTATACATTTTTTATTTCTTATGAGAAAAAGTTTAATAATTGAATAAAAACCACCTTTTTCAGTTCTACTAGTTTTGGAAGTGAGCAGAACTATGTTATTGGAGTTGTTAGTTATGGAATAGGTTGTGGGCGGGCAAAGTAAGTTCTATTTATAAAAGAATTGTAGACACAATTTCAAGTAATCCTCAGGAAAAGCGAAATTAGTGTTTGCAAAAAAATGAAAAGCGGTGTAGGATAAACCAGATTTGAATTTGGAATTAAAAGGTATCAATCTTTTTTTATTTGATGTTTGTTATTGAAAAATATGTAAGAATCAAGTCAGATCCAAATTGAACTTTGAAAGAGAATACTACGGCTAGAAGTCTTTTTCCAACTTATAAAAAAAATTATGTCACTGAATTCCTGATATTTTCATTGCAATCCTAAAACTAGGGTTGCAATGTTAGATTGCATCCCAAGGGATGCAATCTAATTGATTGCGAATTTTTCTGCCCAGAAGTTGTGGATTTTTTTTCTGAACTTAAAACTATGTGTTACAAAGCTAAATAGATTTTACAGTTTAAAAAATCTGAAAAAGTTTGGTTTTTATATAAAATTCAAATGTTACATTTTGTTTAGAATATTACCTCCTGTATGTATTGCATCCCTATTACCTTCCTGTAATAAAGAGATGAATCGTTGTTTTACAATTGTATTCTCATTACTGACACATCAGGTCAAAAAAAAGATTGATACAATTTAATTCCAAATTTAAATCGGACTTAGCCTATACCCACATTAATTTTACACTCCCTTTAATTTTGTCTTTGAAAACTCCCTTAATTTTGTTTATGAACACTCCCTTTTGTTTGAACATTCTCTTTATGATTTTGCTTTGATTAGATACCCTGGAGTATACACGAGGGTTAGTAGTTATTTACCATGGATTCGAGAAATGACAGATGCTTGTCAAGCTGATGCTCCAGAGAAAGGAAGGTAAAAAAATTAGTTTATCTATATCTATATCTATATAAATACTTTTCTTGTCTGTTACCCATAAATGTCAAAACGGCTGAACCAATCCGGCCAAATCTTTTTGTGGGATAAAATTTACCTTTAAAAAATTGATTTATCAAAATCCATGAAAAAAATCAACAATAGAGCAAGAATTAAAAGTTAAAATCAAAGATAGGCGTGAAGCGCCCTGGAAGCCTAGTGAGAAAATAAAGTTAATAATGTAAGTTCTAATTAAATAAAGTAAATAAGGTTTAAACCTACAGGGTGTCCCACGAAACATGACAGTATGCAGGACGACTTGAATGTCGTCTTGATTTTTGATATAATTTGCTGCGTTTATTTGTCTTTCTGATTTTAGAAGTAAATTTCTAGAGATAATAATCACAAAATTCCCCTAGTCCTGCCATTTCCAAAATGTGGTCTGCCTTTTTTGTGCTTTCAATATTGCCCGAGATATGAAGAATTTCGTTCAGATTTCGACAATTTTGCTTTTATTTAATCTTTTAGTTGGTTGTTTTTTCTTAATGTTATGTAATACATTTAAAGCATACTTTCAGTGATAATTACTTTGACGAAAAGTTCTTCGCAACAACTTCCACATCAACTACCACAACAACAACCACCACAATAACAACTACCAGAAAAACAACTACCCTAACAACTACTACCACAAAAACCACAACAGCAAGATCAACCACCAAAATAACCACACCTAAGTCAACAACAAACAATCTGTGAGTGCTAATTTTTCTTTTATAATAATATATTTTATATAGTTTGTGAAGGATTTTAATTAGTATTGGCTGATTATAAAGTTTATCTCTAAATAGTTCCTGAATTAAATATGATATTCTTGTTGTAGACCCTCTTTTAAAGTTTATCTCTAAATAGTTCCTGAATAAAGTAAGATATTCTTGTTGTAGACCCTCTGTTAAAAAGTGTTGGTCCAGTTTATCTCTAAATAGTTCCTGAATAAAGTAAAATATTCTTGTTGTAGACCCTCTGTTAAAAAGTGTTGGTCCAGTTTGTGAAGGATTTTTCAACTGGCTCAGGTAATTTTGATAAAAATAATTTTAAATTTGTTAATTGTTTTTATGAAGATGTAAATTTTTATTTTTTATTGTAGTTGTGAGGAGGGACTTAATTTGGAGGTAAATTTTTTTAAATCGCTAATATTGAACGTTTAACATGATAATAATATGAAATAGGTAAACTTTTGATTCCTTGGATGAATTTCAAGTGACCCTCAATGCATGAATTTCAAAGCCTAATTCACATCGGTATTCGGAACCCTTTAAAACTTTATATGATCAATAATGTAAAAGAAATTGATTTTTTTTAAGGTTTAAAGCATGTTAATTTTGATACTTCTAGCATATTTCCTGCACTAAAAAAGAGCTGGTCACTTTTGCAAAGAAACCACAGTTAAAAATATTTACTTTTTCAAAACTTAAAACATTTATATCTAATGCATACTTGATCTGACAAAGCTTTTAGGGTTACCGGGTTAAATCATTCATTGCCATTTTTGCTTTTAGTAAATTAGCTTTTCTGTTGCAGACATCACTGCACAAATTTGAATTTTTTTAGATTCAGAGTGTCTATTTTGGTCGTAAAGACAAAACTGTTTGTCCGGTTCCTCAGAATTTAGTTCGAGCTGCCAGTCTTGTCAAACCTATAAAGTAAGAACTTTACACTTTACACATCTATTAATCTTAACTTTTTACGAAATAAATGTGAATGGAAAAATAATAAAAAAAATAAACGTTTTCAAGGCTTGACAAACTTTAAACATAGTGTTATATTTGAAAGGATACCCACAAAGGTGGGTAACAATACTCTAGTAGTCTTCAAGTCACACACCAATAATAGAACAAAGTAGTTGAACATTTATATTAAAGAGAAACAAAATGAAGGAATAAATAACTAAAGTCAACAGACACAGATTTGGCACTCAGTGATGGGTTACTCCTTTGGCCGGATACTCCTTTGGTGGATACTCCTTTGGCTAGATACCTCCTTTGGTGGGGGCCAGGTTTGGGTTGGTTTGTTCTGAAGAATTTTCCATGCTCTATACCCATCCTCAGCAGGGAGGGGGGGGGGATGGTTACAATAGAATGACATAGGATGTTTCAAAGGTGTTCATATACATTTTGTGTACAGTCGTTCTTGTATTATTTATAAAAAAAATGAAAAAAGAATTAATTACAATTTTTTTTCTACCAAGCTTTCAATTACAGCATGAATACACATGGAAAAATTATGAAGCTGCCAATTTATACAGCTTCTCCTTGTTTATTTGTAAACTTGTAATTTACAGGTTCTTCTTGTTTACTTGAAAACTTGTAATTTACAGGTTCTTCTTGTTTACTTGTACACTTGTAATTGCCATGCTTCTCCTTGTTTACTTGTAAACTTGTAATTTACGGGTTCTTCTTGTTTACTTGAAAACTTGTAATTTACAGGTTCTTCTTGTTTACTTGTAAACTTGTAATTTACAGGTTCTTCTTGTTTACTTGTACACTTGTAATTGCCATGCTTCTCCTTGTTTACTTGTAAACTTGTAATTTACGGGTTCTTCTTGTTAACTTGTAAACTTGTAATTTACAGGTTCTTCTTGTTTACTTGTAAACTTGGAATTTGAAAAAAGCTGATTAAAATCAGAACTTTAAATAGAAAAGTTGTCTTGTATGAAGAAACCCTATTCCCCTTTCTTTAGTTTACTTACCATTGTTAGATTAAGCTAGATTTTGCAAAAATGCGAAATGCGAAAATTTCGCGAAATGTCTTATGTCTCCCAAAGGTTCTTAAATTTATTTATATTTTGTGTCAATCCATCAATTGGGCTCTTTAAAAATGAGTCTTATATTCTCAAAACATTCGCTAAACATTAAATACACTTTTTTTAAATTCTGTATTTTCGCAAAATTTTCGTTTTTCTGCATTATTTCCATCTTTTTTCTCGAAATTTTCACATTTTTCGCGAAATTCTTTGCTTTTGCATTTTTTCGTGAAATTTTCGCATTTTCTATTTTGCGGAAATTGCGAATTTGTTTTCGTGAAACAGATTGAGGTGAAATTTCGCGAAAAAAACGAAAATTTTCGCTGGATACCCTACTTTAAACGAAATGTCACAGTACCTTTTATAATTAAAAATTCTGTAATAGAAATGATGACTGTGCTTATGAGCGTGCACTTGAAGATCTGCAGAGGTTCTGTTGGGGAAAGAGGTAAAATTTATGATATCTATTCAACACTCTTTAATTTTAAATATTTTAAGTCAATATCTTAACTTGTCTTATCTTTTAACCCTATCATGATTGTTTTCAAATTTTGTAACAACAAAAAAATTTGCTAAATATAGTTATAATTGTTTAAAATGAGCTGGCCTTTTAGAATTGGTCACATCACACTCCCCTTTCTCAACTCTAAAGCCTAAATCTTAGAGGACTCCGATCCCCCCCCCCCCTCCCCCACTCGTTCATCTATATTAGACAAAAATAGCCCGTTAACATAGGGTTAAAACTAGCTTAAATAGTATAGCCTTTTTGTTAGATTATTTAAACATGTGCCTCAAACTTTCAAACTGAAGGATTATGCAAGGCGATTATTTGGCTCAATAAAATTATTTACAATATTTTTTATTTCAGAATCTGCTATGTGAACACTAATGTTGTAGCAAGGTAAATATTGTCTTAATCAGACTTACTATAGAGATATGCATTTTGCTGAAATCTGAGAATCTTAGAAATTGAACGATACATATGTGACATCTCTGTGATGTTCCTGACTCGAGAAATTATTTTCAAATTATTAAATAACAACGACATAAAATGTCAAAAAGTTCTACAATAAACTAACAGACGTCATGTATAGGAACATGTTGAGAAAATAAAAATTAATCTTATCATCGCAAATAAGTAATCTTATTAAATTATTAGTTTCTATTATCTCATTATTCTGGTTTCTCATTATTCACAAAGATTTTCGCAGATTTTCTAGAATTATTATTGAAAAGACGACATTTGAAGAATTTGAAGAAATCTGCGAATAAATTCAAAGAAACAAAGAAATTCAATATAATAATGAAAACGAAATAATCGATTTAAGCATTGATTTATTGACAAATTTATTTTGAGAAATATGTTCCTAACCATATAATTAGATTACTGTATAATTTTTACTATATTTTTCGTTGTCGTTATTTAATAATTTAAAAAAAAAACTAATTCTGAAAACGTATTCACCCCCAAAGTGGAGTTTTGAACGTCGAATTTGCGCTCAAACTCGGGATTTACAGATCTTTTAAAAGTTTAATATTTCTCAAATGTACCCGGAAGAAGTTTTCCACCACACGTAAATGATGATTTGTTCTAGGTATATGATATGTTCTAGGGATTTGATTTGATGTTCTTGGTACATGCTATGCTCTAGGTATATGATATGTTCTAGGGATTTGATTTGATGTTCTAGGTATATGATATGTTCTAGGGATATGATATGTTCTAGGGATATGATATGTTCTAGGTATATGATATGTTCTAGGTATATGATATGTTCTAGGTATATGATATGTTTTAGGTATATGATATGTTCTAGGTATATGATATGTTTTAGGTATATGATATGCTCTAGGTATATGATATTCTCTAAGGTATATGATATGTTCTAGGTATATGATATGTTTGTTCTAGGTATATGATATGTTTTAGGTATATGATATGCTCTAGGTATATGATATTCTCTAAGGTATATGATATGTTCTAGGTATATGATATGTTCTAGGTATATGATATGTTTTAGGTATATGATATGTTCTAGTTATATGATATGTTCTAGCTATATGATATGTTCTAGGTATGGACCATTCTATGAGAATCCTTGTGAGCACCTAAACCCTTATGTCCTGGTGGAGTATGTATGTAAACCAGTTTATCAACAAAATAACTTTCCAAATTATTTTAATATATAATCAGGAACTCTTCTTGAGATTGTAATCATTTGGAATAAAGGAAAATTTCTTATGCTCTTGATTGAAAACTGAAAGGACATACTTTATTTAAAAAAGTATTATTTGCCATTCAAATAAGTTTTAGATAAAACAACAACTGAATTGATTAAAAAAGATTTTTAAGATAATTATGTATATTTTTCATTAATTATATAATCCATGCGTTGTTAAATAAATGTATTAAAGAAATTTAGTTATTATTGAACGTACTGAACTTGGTAAGATGCAGTATAAATCTTAAGTTTTTGGCGGGTCAAAAGTTTTTGATTAACAGCAAGGGTCAGTCGTAATTTTTTTAGAATCTTGACGTAAACATGAAAAATAAAAAGCAAAATATCTGTAAATGACTTTTGACTTTTTAGAATTTTTTTTAGTCTTTAAACATTGTTTAATTAGTAACCAACCTGGTCTTGAAATACCTGTCAAAAGTTTCCTTTAATACATTTTTAAAAAGATTTGAGACTTTTTTCCTTCATATTTTAGGCTCAATTTATTTTTTGATACACGTGTTATGAAAAAATTGATAAATCAACCTTCCTCTAAGTAAGATTTTTTTTAAATTGTTTATTACTGAGCTAGTTTTGATTTGTATAATTTTTTTTCTTTTGCTTTTAATTTGCTAATACAGTAGAATTTGTTTGTTTTTTTAAAACGGTGTTTTCAGTTTTAATTTTCAGTTTTAACCACAAATATAATAAACAAAGGTGTTTTTAGTTTGATTGTAGTTGTCGTATTTGTCAAGTTAATTTAACCACAGATATAATAAACAATTATTTATTTTGCGATTTCCCACACTAGAATCCAGTGGGATACATTAACTACACTTTACATATAACAATTTCAAAGTCATTGAGTCTTTGCCACAAACTCAAGATTTCTATTACCTTTATCTTTGCAGCGTGACGATGTAAACCCTCAATATTTGAAACATGTTTATTTTTTATTTTTTGATAATTCAGATTGGCAATTCATTGTCCCACTCCTACCCGTAGTTCTACAAAACATAGGCTTCTAATATCATCTGTTCTGAGTGACNATAATGCCCAACTCTATTAGTTTCTAGGATACCATGAACCACCCAACCAAAACAATGCAGGTTGCCCGAGGTCTCAGGAAAGCGCAAATAAATTGTATATATTAGAAAGCAGTTTGTTTTATAGATAAGGGGTGGTTAGTATGTATGTTATACTGTATAAGTGTAGATACATATAGGGTGTCCCACCAAAAGTGATTGTCATTCTTCAGGGTTGTCGTCGATCGCAAAGGAACAGCAGTAAGCGTAATTAAAATGACGCTTGACGCGAATGTCCGATGGGAAACGGTATTTTTAAAATTTCCTCTAATCAAGTTTGAAGAATTGTTATTAACATTTTTGTAATGCAAATGATAATTTTCACTTGTGGTTTCTCAAAACAAGTTTCTTTAACATTTTATTGCAGAAAAACACATTCAACAGACCATTCTAAACTTAAATAGAAAATACCTTCCACATAATTGATCAGATTAAGATTAAGATTTGCATAAAGGTATTCGGTCACTAGACGATAGATATTACGCGATTCCTTTAACTATCACTTGTTCTGTAACTTTACAATAACAAAATTGAAGTTCATGTTGGCTACCAGTGCCTACCCTTCCTTAAGAGGGGGGGGGGTCACTGTAGACTAGCTTTTGAATTATAAAACGTCATTGGTTTGCGTGTTACTCGTAGACGGTAGCTAAAGCGCTTTTATTGATTTTACTAAAAATTTTAATTAAGGATGTATGAATAAACTGTAGTATATTATTTAGGATTTAAGAATAAATTAAGATCTACAAACTTTAATCTAATATTAGCAATTGTTTAATATTTTTAAATTGTACAATTTAGATCACCTAAGAATAAGATGGCCGCTATCTCGTGTTGTAAAACTGATTATCAAGAGTTAAACTGCACCACTAGGGCCTCCATTAAAAATGTTCTAGGTACAGAATTACTCACAAAAGATGAGACTATAAGACCACCTAAACAAAATGTCAGCGTATGTTTTTTTAATTGTGACATTAATGCATGCGATGACAATAAAAAGTGTTTAGTTCTTATACAGGGTGTCCCAGGAAACATGACAGTTGGTGAATAGTTTTAAATGTCTTCTTCCATATATTTTATTGAATATTAAAGACATTTTTACTTTTACATCAATTTTATCATATAATATTTTTATCTCTCTCTTTTAGCATCAAATAACAACTAACTATGGAAACATACATTTTAACTATTAACCAACTGTCACGGTTCTTGTGACACCCTGTAATTTCTGTAAACACAAGAAAATTTTCGCGATCAGAAACTTTCTAAAAACTGAGTATTTTTGCATCACGGTCCAGATACAGTGTTTAAGGACACCGATGAAATGTATAACAGTTTAAATAAAAGATCATTTCAAATAACAACAAAAATCAACAACAAACAACAACAACAACAAAAAATTCAATTACCTGAAACATATCACAGGAAGGAACCTCCTGGTACTCTATAATTACTGCTTGATTTCTATGTAATTTATAAGATATTAAATGCGTTATTTTAATCGCGACCTTCCATATGCAACGATGACCATTAAAAGTGTTTCTTTCTGATAATTCCTTCATGCTTTCCCGCAGTAGAAATGCACCATGCCGTCACTTATGAAGAAAAACCAAAATTAAAAATAAGCTGGGTACGGAGGGTACGTAACTTCCTTAGGCTTCTGCCATGGTAACATGCATGATAGAGCCAGTTATATACAGTTTTGAGTCATCGAACGAATTTATGAAATGTCGTCTTGACAATTTTTCAATGGGTTTTAGACAGGGGGACAGGGGGATGATAGTTTCCTACCTGTGTGCTCAGTTAGCTTCACTGTACACTTACATTTGTTTACCAATAATGATATACTATAGGTTAGGCCAGAATCAACTTATAATAAACAAATGCAGTACGCTCTCGATACAGTTTATGGCCTATGCAATTAGCAAAGGATTAGCGTACATCATCACTCTATACACTAACCTCGTTGGTTTTACACTTTTATAAATAAATCTCAGTAATAGCAAAAATAGATAAATAGAGCCATGCGGGAACAATTTTAAAGAGCTCCAAATAATCATTTATTTAAAAAACTAACTACAGGGTGTTTCACATCTTATTAGATCGTCAATCGGTCTAAATTACGATTTTTGAGACTTTTTAAGAAAAATTAATCATTTAGAAAAATTGAATAAAGGCTAGTATCAGAAAATGCTAGGTTTTTTGAGTATTTTGGGTTTATTTGGGCGTTAAAACTTGGAGATAATCTAATAAGACATGGGACGCTCTGTATCTGCAGTGTTCCTTTACCAGAAAGTTAAGAATACGACATTTTATAAATTCTTCCGATGTAACTTTATATTTGAACTTAACTGCAATTAGATATATAGTCTTTTCATGACTTATTTGATGATTGGACAAAGGAAGAAACAACCTAGTTACAGGGCAGACAAAATGTACGAAAACAAACAAAAAAAGTACGCGCTGTCGTCTCTTAAGTCTCATCCTTTGTGGGTAACCCTGTTATTATCCTAATTAGGATTTTTTATTATTCTCTATGAGTTTCTTGATCAATAAAATAATCTTGAGAAACTCATTACTTCTATGTTCTAACTGCAGGATGCAGGACACGCACAAACATTACATCAATGCTTTACTCAGGGATTCACAAATAAAAATGATGTGATTTAAAATTAAAGTATTTTGTTATTTTGCATTAGTACATTGAAGACGACTTTTTATTTATAATGTTTTGATCCCAACAATCATTTTTTAAGATGCAAACTTACAAGTAATGAGAAGCTGTTTATTAATAACTTTTCTTGTTTACCTGTTTATGTGGTTTTGTTGTTTGAAAAAGGTAGAAATCAAAAGTGAAATAAAGAGGCGTCTTCATTGTACTGAGATATAAGATGACGACTGTTTTTAGGGAAGAATAATCTGAAGTTTGAGAAAGGAAGAGCATTCTACCAACTCATGAAACCTGAAATTATTCAGGTGCAGGGGGTCTCAATAATTGGGAGAATTATAAAGGGTGTATACAGGATTTAATCTAGGAGGAGGGCAACAATTGCTTGAAGCCCCAACATTAGTTTGCCCCCCCCCCTCATAAAGATATTTGTTATAAAGTTGGTTTCAATATATAAAACACACATATTTGAGAGAATAATGTAGTTTGAAGGGATATGCATCTTCCAGGCAGAGTGGGATCCCTGTTGTGTGCCATGCCCCGTAAAATTCCAAAATAGAGAGAGGGGGATTGAATTTTGTAGATTCAGAAAAATAATATCTGTGGGATGCCTGCGTTGAGACTGGCCGCTGGTGGGGTCTTAAATGTAAGACATATGGCCACAGCTCTCGGCCCCCTAGCCTGTCCTAGCCGCAGCGCGCTCGGCTCAGAAAGTGTCTTAACCTAACCTAGTCCTAAATAAATACTAATTTAATTATTTTTCTGGGTCTACAAAATTCAATCCCCCTATCTCTGTTGTGGAATTTTACGGGACATTGCACACAATAGGAATCCCACTTTACCTATTTTCCACTGTCCCCCCTCCCCCCAATAAATACCTGAGAATTAAGAAAAATATCTGATAAATTGAAAAAAATTTAAATAGTATATGAGCGTCGACTGACGACTGTACAGAGACATAAATATTAAATTAAACTTATAAAAGAGCTCAGAACAATTACTGAAAACAAATTGTAAGAAATCATTCAAGAAATTGTTTTATCTTTCATTTAGAATGATATAAGCATAGCAGTGACTAGAAAACCGCGGAATGGTTATCGTCTTTTTTTCTCACTTTTTGTTAGGGATTTCTACTAAAAATAAAAAATTGAAATTTGTCTGAAATTTGGTCAGGACAAGAAATAAGATAACAAGTATAACAAGTATTGTACAATTTGTTCTCAGGATTATAAAGAAGTGATTGTTCGCCGGAAAATTGATGGAAACCTAATTTCTGGAGAAAAGGACAGGATTTAACTATCATTAATTAAATAATTTAAATAATTATCTAATTTAACATTTTATTTTTCATGTCTTACCAATTTTGCACAATTTAAAGAATTTGAGAGGCGGCTTAAATTTAAGCCGCTGCTCAAATATAGTTGGTTTCACTTAAAATTGTATTCAATGTTTTAAGATTTAAACTGGCGCTCAATTGAAACCGGTCTTTGGCGGATTTAAGACGCGGGCTCAAATTCATTAAACTCTGACACAGCCTACCTAAATTAGAATACAATTCATCTATTCTGAGATTAAAAAGGATGATGACCAATTACAAAATGGACTTCAAGTTCCCTAGTTTTAAATAAACTTACTTTCCTAAACTAAAAGATGTAGAATAAATTATTACCAACTAAGGAATTCATTAGCAAACGTTTTTTAAGAGTTTAATAAAAACAAACTGCAGTTTTATGCTCAAGGTTCAAAACAATTTTTCTAGCAGAAAAGCCAAATGAAAGTTAGAAATATAATGCACCGCCTTTTTACCAACATTACCCACCTATGATTCCCCCAACCTACTCACTTATCGTCCCTAGGGAGACTGGAGTAAAATTATAAAATACGGGCCCGCTCTACAAAATTTCAGTGAAAAAATGTTCATCTAAAAAGACGGTAAAATTGTGTACAACTCCTTTTTGGGAAATTACAAATTTCCTAAACTTCCCTGTAAAGTAGTTGTAAATAATTTGTATGATTTATACAAATTAAATTAAATTAAAATTTACACTTGTGTGTTGACATTTTGTTAGATAAATTACTGAAAGTTAAAGTAGGTTAGAGATTTGTTGGAGATACCCTTGACCAATCCCAAAAAGTAAGTGTATCTTAGATTATTGTAAAATATCTATAATCCTATTTGAACAAGAGAAGCAAAAGTGTAGACATATGTAGAAAAAAATATATTCTTTCTGCAACCATTAAACAACCAAACCAGAAACTTTCAATGTGAAGACTCTTATATGTTATTGCAGTTTCCAAAGTTATTTTTTTATTAATTTAAAAGTTTTGAAATGGTTCAATTTAATTTTTAAAAATCCTATAAAAATTTTAAAAATCCATAATTATTGTTGTAAAACATTGGTTTATTAAATGAAGAGGAGCAGTTTGAAACAAATTGTATCAATAAATATTACTCATATTGATTGCAGGTTCAAGTTTGATGTGTCTACAGTGCCTGATTTTGATGTATTTATTCAGAGCACTTCACATAACAGGCAAAAAATATTTGAGAATAGATAATAAAGAGAATACAAAAAAGGTTAATTTTTAAAATTATATATTTGCTCTTTACAGAGTCTGTATGCCAGGCACCCTCCTGCTCTACAAAATTACTGGACTGGATGAAGGAGATGAAGCAACAGTCACTGAAGTTTCTGTAGCTCCTAAATCTTCAGGAGTTAAAACCACAGTACCTCCAGCCCCTGAGGTCAGTGGTAAAATAACACGCAAGAGAAAATGTATGGAAGAAATTTCAGAGAAAATTGCTGACAAAGTCACTAAGAGGGGAAAGAAAGGAACTCCACTTAAAGCTGCCAAGGCCAGTGTTGTACCCGAGCCAGTCACAACTTCTGAAACTGCTAAAAAGCCATCTAAAAACAGTCTTGTAACCGAGCCAGTCAAAACTACTGAAACTGCTGAAAAGCCAGCTGAAACCAAAGGAAATGCTCCAAAACCTGCCCCAAAAAAGTCAAATGGAGGGGAAAAGGTTGAAGTGGTGTTTAGTTTTGACACAACAGGTATTTAAGTTGTAAATTTGAAATTATAATGTTTGTGATCCTAGATAAATATTTTTTCCAAACTTATATCTCTAGGTTCAATGTATGCTTGTTTGGCAGAAGTAAGAACAGGAATAAAGATTGCTATAAGAAGGCTCAAGCAGGAAGTACCTGGTAATTAACCCTTGTTGCAAAATAAAAGATTAAGGAAGGAAAGGATTCACAAATAATTATGAAAGTGCTCTGAAGACGGCGCCGTGACAAACTCCTTAAAGACAAACTCCTGAAAGACAAACTCCGGAAAGACAAACTCCTGAAAAGACAAACTCCTGAAAGACAAACTCCTGACGAGACAAACTCCTGACGAGACAAACTCCTGAAAATAAAAACTTCTGAAATACAAACTCCATAATATCAAATTTAAAAAAAATGTTTCACAATTTATATTTAATCTAGCCGCAGCGCTCGGCCCAGAAAGTGTCATAACTTAACCTAACCCATGGCCGCAGCGCTCGGCCCCCTAGCCTGTCCTAGCCACAGCGCTCGGCCCAGAAAGTGTCATAACTTAACCTAACCCATGGCCGCAGCGCTCGGCCCCCTAGCCTGTCCTAGCCACAGCGCTCGGCCCAGAAAGTGTCTTAACCTAACCTAACCCTAAATAATAAAAAATAATTATTATAAAATTTGCTGGTTATTCTGATCATTGTATTACTTTCATGCTTGAAGCATATTCAAATTACTAAAGATTGAGAATTTTTTCTAGAATATTTGCGGATTTTTCTCCTAAAGTTTATGAATTTTATCACAATTTCATTCAGAGAAAAATTTCATAATTTCAGGAGTTTGTCTTTCAGGAGTTTGTCTCGTCAGGAGTTTGTCTCGTCAGGAGTTTGTCTCGTCAGGAGTTTGTCTTTCAGGAGTTTGTCTTTCCGGAGTTTGTCTTTCCGGAGTTTGTCTTTCCGGAGTTTGTCTTTCAGGAGTTTGTCACGGCACCCTGAAGACATTTTAAGTATATTTTTCAACTAAAAGGAAAAAACTTAAGCCTTTTATAATTTTTCAAATTAAATGTGTTTTTTTAACTGCCCATTGAGGCTTAACACATTTTAAGGTTTACTATCCTGTGTTTCATTTTTCTTGTAAGGAAAAGTATGTCATAATTACAGGGATTCGTATTGGAGTAATTGCCCATGGAGATTATTGCGACAAGCACTCAACCTATGTCACAAAAATTAAGGTAAAATCTTATGATCAATCTTGAACGTCTAAGATAGCTTATAGAAAAAACAAATTTAGGAGTTAACTGATAATGAAGCTGAGCTGTGTACCTTTGTAGAAACTGTAGGTAATACTTAAAGCAAACAAAATAAGGGTAAGGGGGGGAAAAAGGCAGGCAGTCACCAAAAAGGATTTAATGTCTAATAGGTTTCAAATGAATCATATAATATGTCTCTACAATATTGCACTCTCTCTCAACTCAACTGAAATGTAAACATGATCACTCCCTTGAAAGTCAAACTTCAAATACAAAAAGACTTAAGTATGATTTATGTTACCGCAAATTCAGTTAAAGCAGATATAGAGTTTTAAAGTTGTCTTCCTATGCCAAAGTTTTCTGTTTATCATGCTGCATATGAATATTATAAAATAAAAACTTAAGTTTTAATTCAATTTTCTTAGCATTTGAGACTAAAAAGTTTATTGAATGCCACTACCAAAGTTTAAATTGATTTTTTTTCAAACTCAATGTTGTTGAACGGAATTGCGCATTATGTTTAAGTTGAATATTCTTAAAAAATTGAAACACAAACGCAAGAAAGTTGGGCGGAATTGTGGAATTGTGCAAAATTCCGTTGCAATTATTGCATGCAATTATATTTACTTGCATGCTTAAGGGCTCGAAATTGAGGGCAAGTAAAATCCACTTGCATTTGAAACCCTATTGTAAAAGCTTGGTCCTAGACCCGTGATCAAATCATTGACATTCACCTTGTCCACATGTGAATTATCACTGGATATTCACGGGTCACTTATATGAAATAAACCAGATAATGTGTTCTCTACGGGTCTTGGTTAGTTGGGTAGTACCGTGTAGAAGGCCTAATCTACTCCTAGATGAATTTCTATTTCTCTTGTTAGGATCGACTGGAGGAGGGGACGCTGATGAATGTTATGAACTTGTTCTTAGAGAAGCCAGAACTAAACTCTCCTGGACAAAGGGATTTCATCTCATATTTTAAATGTTTTTTCAAATTTTTTTCCTTTTTAGTTTTCACACCAATTTAACCCGATCTCAATTGGGCTATTTTTGTCTAATTTTTGCATTTAAAGTTGAAAAGTGAGGAAGTTTTAGCTTTATAATGTTAGCGGTTTTTAAGTTATTTAGAAAAAAAAATACAGAGAGGGTGGTTGACAACACCTCCCCCTCCCTCCAATTGTGATATTATACATTACAGAACCCAAGATTCTATGAAGTAAAACCAGTGCATTTCAAAATATTTCTTTGATCTGATTAATTTGTCATGCCATATTCACATGATCAAAAAGATACTTCACCTTCAGGTCAAGCATTTATTTTTAAATTTAGAAGTACCCACATTGAATATTGAGATCAAGCATTCAAGATTAACAATATCCACACACCCCTCCCCTTGCATGAAAGACAAGATGAAATTTTGGTGCAGGATTCTGCTAAATCCGTTGTCATGATTGGGGACTGCAATCCGCATGAACCAAACTATGCATTAAATAGGGTAAGCAAGCAATACCAATTGGCAGACCTCACCAAACACCTTCACTTGGCATTTCTTCAAGTGTAACACAACTTACAGGCTGGGGCAAGGTGCTGATGCAAGGAAAGTATTTTCAGAGGTATACGCATTTTAGTACTGCAGTGTACTGTCTTTGGGCGGAAAAGTAAACACAAGACGGATGTCACAGCCTGACATGGAATCCATTTTCACAAAAACAATTTATGAAATATTCTGGTCATAGGAAACTGTCATGTAAATTTTCAAAATTTTTCCTTGCATTAGTACCTTGGGCTGGGGGTTGTTCCTGTGGAAAGAACACACCAGACTAGAATGAACAAACAATTTTTCAAAAAAGTAGGAATACGATGTCAAGGGTTGGGCTTTGTTTCTGGGTAATGAACCTCCTTCCATGGGAACGAACAAAACGGAATAGAACAAACGATTTCATTGAAGTATGAACACACCCAGCCCAGGTTGTGCTATGTCACCTAAGAATGATAAATTTCTATTAACTAGCAAGCTTTCCTATTTACTAGAATTAACCTAGAAGGTACTGCCCTGTGTTTAGCCTGGTAAAATTGTATGTGTAAATATACTGGTGTTGACTTTAAAAGTCACTATAATAAAACAAAGATATCTGAAATGGATATTTCTAACATTTATTTAAAAAGAGGAAAGTTTTGAAATATTTGCTTAAGACAGGGTTAAAATTGGTTGGTTTAGAAATTAACAAAGGAATTAATGATGAATATTTGTGGGCACTTCATGGGAGTGTTGTAGAGCTTCATGTAGGTGGAGCAGATCAACAGGAACTGGAACAACAGGGCTTATCAAAATTAGTAGGTAGAGATCCCGGCTTGTCATGCTGGCTTTGAGCGATTATGTTGTCTCTGGAATGCATGTTAAACTGGGAACCCTTGGTTATAAGCACACCTGCTGTTAGCTCAGTATCTGTATCATTATCAGGAAGGAGTCAAGAGGCTCCCTGTGTCGGAGCTGTTACTAGCTCAACTCTCCTAACCTGACTGAGGGGCTGGGGTGTGTAGAGGGGTGGGGGGTGAACGAAGGAGCGAGGGTGATATGTGGGTGGACCGGTGGAAATAGATTCAGACGTCTTGAAAATAATCAACGGCATCTGAGTTGGTAAAATCATCTTCCTTATATTTGGAATTTGTGCTAACAACAGGTCACTCTATGTGATATCGGCCATGTTCAAGAAATGAACAGGACTTAACAGTTTTTAACTAACACATTTTTTTAAAAATTCACAAATGCATTAAGAGCTGAAAAAAATTTTGAATGCTCATTAATTAATTAACTGTTTTTGGAAGGAAGAAGTTTAAATTTTTAATGGTTTACACAATCAGGTTGCAAAGATATAGATATCAAGTTATCAAGTATTAACTCCCAGCGAACAGAACTGGGATGAAATACTAGTTTAAAATTGGTTTAGAAAAAAGTCGACTTTAAATTTGACTTGAAGTCGGATAAAGTTTGACTTTTGTTAACTAGTCCTCACACTTGAAACAAACAGTCATAAAAAAGTCAACTTTTTCATCCCAGTTTAGAACTAGTCACAAACTTGGAATAAAAATTTGACTTTTCCATCCCAGTTTAGAACTAGTCACAAACTTGGAATAAAAATTTGACTTTTTCATCCCAGTTTTGAACTAGTCACAAACTTGGAATAAAAATTTGACTTTCTCATCCCAGTTTAGAACTAGTCAAAAACTTTGAATAAAAATTTGACTTTTTCATCCCAGTTTAGAACTAGTCACAAACTTGGAATAAAAATTTGACTTTTTCATCCCAGTTTTGAACTAGTCAAAAACTTTGAATAAAAAGTTGAATTTTTCATCCCAGTTTAGAACTAGTCACAAACTTTGAATAAAAATTTGACTTTTTCATCCCAGTTTAGAACTAGTCACAAACTTTGAATAAAAATTTGATTTTTTCATCCCAGTTTAGAACTAGTCAAAAACTTGGAATAAAAAGTCGTAAAAAATTGACTTTTTCATCCTTGTAATCTGACCTTAACTTCTGAAAATTTGTGAATGTTTCAGGAGAATATAAACTGGCGAAATGAGTGTGTAGAGCTGAAGAAAGCAGGTATACGAGTGTATGCTGTTCAGGCACTCAATAGGTCCGAGTCAACTCATTTCTACAGGACTTTGGCAGCCATGACAGATGGATTTCATTTGAGGTAAAATATTTTAATCATAACTGATTTTAAGATCTAAATAGTTATTATTGAAAAAAATATAAGCATTTATTCTACATTTGTTAAGACGAATTAGGATAAAATCTTCAATGTTTTACAGATCAAATATTGTCAAAAATATCAGAGAAAATTATAGTAATACTTTAATGATCACATAGAATTAGATTGTATAATCACGAGACATTTCACCATCGCTGTTCCAAGGAATTCTGACTTTACAGTGATTTGAGAATTCCACAAACTTTCCAGAACGAGAAGGTTCCTCAATCATACAACGTGTTGTTAATCAGATCAATGCGGTTATTGAGATCTTATACAGCTCGAGCTTTCAACCTCCTTAAATTTAACCCTATTCCCGCTGGGGGGGGGGGTCAATTTGACCCCCCCCTGTAGTTTTTTTTACATAACTCAAAAAGTATTGGTCTGAGGCTGTTGAAATTTTCTGACTTTTCTTACATACCCAAAGCCCTCCCTTTAGGCCTAAAACCGGGCTTTAATACTAACTGCCTGAGTCCTCAGGCACACTGCCTGAATGACTGCTTTTGCCTGTAGCAAACTAAATCATTGTTTTGACCCACTTTCACTTGTCAGATTTTGATAAAATTTAGCTTTTTGGAAAGCCTATGACATAAGGAAACGGATTGCACAAGTTTTGCGAAAAAAAAATTGCAACTTTTTTGCAAACAACCTGTCAAAGAAAATTTGCACATTTTTAGTTTTTCTTGATTAAAAATCAGGTTATTTAAAATTTTGCAAAAATTTTTGCATATTTGAAATGGCATGGTCAAGGGCTTTTCAAAAATGTATAATTTGTCAGTTTTTGGACAAATTTTTTTTTGCAAACATTTTTACTATAAAACTGGATTTTGCGATAAAAAATTCAATTTTTGCAAATTTGCAAATTTTTTTGCAGATTCTAAAAGTAGAGCACAAGAGCTTTCTAATGATGTATCATTTGTCATATTTGGACATAAAACATGGGATTTAGAGGGGGGGGTCAAATTGACCCCCCCCCAACGTATCCTGGTTTTCAAGTACCCCAGCGGGGATAGGGTTAACTAATGCATTTACTGATGAGGATCTCTAATTGACTATGATGTTGTTCATTTCTCTAAAAGGTTTGCAGAGGTTGTGGCTATAGTATCGGCATTCATTTAAAAAGCAGGGACAACCTCAGTTATAGGAATTGCATGGGAAACGATGTTGTTGAGTTTTCTTGAATCAATAGATCTTGGAGGTTCTTCAGTCTCATCTGCAGAATCCTCTCTGCAACAACCTCTATTTACTACCAACTACTGTAGAAGAGAAATTTTAAATTGGTTGAGTATCTGGTGGTTTGAGTATCTGGTGGTTGATTATCTGGTGGTTGAGTATCTGGTGGTTGAGTATCTGGTTGTTGAGTATATCTGGTGGTTGAGTATCTGGTGGTTGAGTATCTGGTGGTCGAGTATCTGGTGGTTGAGTATCTGGTTGTTAAGTATCCATGGTGGTTGAGTATCTGGCGGTTGAGTATCTGGTGGTTGAGTATCTGGTGGTTTAGTATCTGGTGGTTGAGTATCTGGTGGTTGAGTATCTGGTGGTTGAGTATCTGGTGGTTGAGTATCTGGTGGTTTAGTATCTGATGGTTGAGTATCTGGTGGTTGAGTATCTGGTGGTTGAGTATCCATGATGGTGTATGAGTTGAGGAGGCAGTTAATGGTGGAGTGGTTAAAGGGATGAAGTATGACTTTCAAGGGATTTGGACGGGAAGGGGGAGTGAGTCTCAGAATTGTTTTTGCTAAAAGGAGAAAAAAGATGCTGAGAACAAAATTTTGAACTGTTTCGTGGAGATGGATGTAGTAAATACCCTACTCCATAAACTGCTCTCAAAACCGTATCTATCCAGGTACAATTCAGTTTCACTGTAGAACAAAAAGTAGCCTGAGTGCTGGGAGTAGACACATGATAAGGGGACTTGGAGGCCTTGGTAGTTCTACTAGGCTTATACCTGCAGTGTTGAACTTTTGCTTGCTCTTTTTCGGCAATTCTCCTGTTTTATATTTAAAAGAATTGAGTCCCTGGTTTATCTCCAGTCTGCAGAATATACCCGAAGATTGAGATAATTGTCTTGCAAAGCCAAGACATTCCAGGAAAGGTTCCTCGGTTCTGCAAATGCCTTGATAATCGAGTTGGAGTAAAAACAAGTGTGTATGTTTACTGTAGAGTGTATGAGTTTATGGTTCTGATGTAAGGATCGGCTGTATGGCAGGTCAGCACAGGATACCCAAGACATTTTGTCGGATTAGACTGAACAATTAAAAAAGTATTACCATGGTAATGATTTAGAGTTTAAATGACTCCACTTGAAATTGTAAGGAGGTCTTGTAAAATGTTTTCAGTAATTTCACCAAAAAAAATAGTTGTATTCTGCACAGTTAATGATTTCCTATGCAACACAGCCAAGGATGGGAATTGAAGATAGAATAATGACAATCTCTCTCTGTTAAATGTGAATGGGAATGTAAGATATTAAATGGAATATATCTTGAAATTATTATAACATTCCATATTGTTTTGCAGATTAGATCAGTTCTCCTCTATTGTCAACTTCATGATGGCTATCTGCTTCAGGAACAGTGTCCACACTTAACTATTATGAAAAAAAAATTAAAGCTAAAGTAGGAACTAGGGCTGGCCGTCATTCCTCGGAAACAATCGTTCTTTCATGGGAACAAATGGAATGAACGATTTAAAAAAATAGGAACACGTCAAGCTCAAGGGCTTGGCCTCGTTCTGGATAAACAATAATTCCTCGTGGGAAAAAAAGAAATAAACGATTTTAAAAAGTAGGACCACACCCAGCCCTAGTAGGAACACAGTAGTACAGGGGTGGAGAGCAGGGCATTCTGATCTTGTTCTTTTGTTTTCCAATCATTCTATCCACATTCCGTTCCGTTCCCTACTTGGTGTTCTTAGTCAGAGAACAGTCTGTCCCATTCACCAAATTTCCACTGGGAAATTGTCATTTGGGAAAATGTACATTTGGGTAGATGTACATTTGGGAAGTTGCCGTTTGGGAAATTGTCATTTGGGAAGTTGCCCTTGGGAAAATGCATTTGGGAAAGTGTCTAACACCATTTGGATTACTAGAGAGAGTGGAGGGGATACACTAGATATATAATTAGTTTGGATTACTAGAGAGGGTGGAGGGGATACACTAGATATATAATTAGTTTGGATTACTAGAGAGGGTGGAGGGGATACACTAGATATATAATTAGTTTGGATTACTAGAGAGGGTGGAGGGGATACACTAGATATATTTGAAGATGAAGTATTGACAGGAAGCAACAGTAGAAATAGAGAACTACACAGGTGAGATCACATCTACCCGTGGGACATAATTTAATAAATTTGAGCTAGGTAGATGAATTATTTTACACTGGTTCAAATCTTGATGCACTGATTCATAGTTAAAGATTCATGAGGATTCAAGATTTAAACCGGTTGAAAATAGTTTAGCGACCTCTCCATTGCAATAAGATCTTTCCAAGAACAATGCATTTGATTGGGAGAAAAATAGTTTTCTGATAGGTTGTTTGACACATTGCAAGGACGCCCTTCTTCTGATAGTACAGATTACCGAGCTGATGGTCTTATTCCAGTCAGCCCTTCAAGATTCCAGGTAATAATATAGTTGTAGGTTTGGTTGAGGATTCAGGATATTGCATTAGCATTCAATTTTATTTGTAATTCCTCATTGAAACTTGAATTGTATGTGACCTTCCATGCAAAAATGGCAATGACCGATGTACAACAGTAACCTTGAAACCTTAATCTGATCAAAATGTGGAAGATTCCGTCGTTGTTCTGACTTGAAAACTTAATTTTGAAAATTTCTAGTCTTTCTTAAAAACAGGAAATGCCCAAATCACTTTCCCATAGAAACCGCGAGTGAAAATAAACAGTTTAAAGAAACAAAATATGGATATCTAATTTATACTTGATCAGACAAAGCTTTTAAGGATACCATTGTAAGTTGGACGATATTGCCGTCTTTGCATGGAGGGTCACTTGAAACTACGCTTCCATAAACTTTTAAGAATCTTTTATAGATATTTAAATGTATAGGTTCATACACTAGATATATAATTAGTTTGGATTACTAGAGAGGGTGGAGGGGATACACTAGATATATAATTAGTTTGGATTACTAGAGAGGGTGGAGTGGATACACTAGTTGTTCATTTCTCTAAAAGGTTTGCAGAGGTTGTATAATAATAATAATAATAATAATAATAATAATAATAATAATAATAATAATGATAATAATAATAATAATGATAATAATAACAATAATAACTATCTGAAGGGCCCGGCGTTGTCTCTGGAAAAAAATGTTAAGCCTATAACACCCCGCGGCAACCCATGAGTGTCCACAAAAATAATTCAACCCAAACGGTCCAGCCGTTTGGGCGGCTATACGCAACATATATAAATGCATGTCTTGTTTTATTATATAGATAATAACGAAAATAATAATAATAATTATAATTCTCACAATAATATCCCTGCAAACATTTAGTCTCCAACTGGAGACTCCAAGAGTTCATCAAAAATCAAGAATTTTTTACCCGACATCTTCGACATCAGATATATATATAGTCGGTTTACATATTTCTTGGGAAAAGTAATAACTACCTGAAGTGCACGGCGTTGCCCGTGTAATTCTTATTTTAAATCGAATTTTGAACAAATTAAATTCTAACTTTGAAAAAAAAATGAATTTTGAAAAAAAATTTGAATTGTTGTAGCCTTTGTTAACCCCCTATTGGTCCAGCAATAACATTGATAAAATAATAAGGATAATATTATTAAAAATATTGAAAATAATTATTGCAATATTAAGACAGGACGAGGGTTTTATGAGTTTACAAAACCAGAAAAGATTTCTGAAAAGAAAACAGTTGTTCTGGTAGATAAATCAACAGGAGATATGTTTACAGGTTCTCTACTAGTTCCCATTTACCTACCTTCCTCCCTTCCCATCTATTGAAATCTATTTACCCATTTACCTACCTTCCTCCCTTTCCATCTAGTTAAATCTACTGACCCATTTACATACCTTCCTCCCTTTCCATCTACTGAAATCTACTTACCCATTTACCTACCTTCCTCCCTTCCCATCTACTGAAATCTACTTACCCATTTACCTTCCTTCCTCCCTTTCCATCTACTTAAATCTACTGACCCATTTACATACCTTCCTCCCTTTCCATCTACTTAAATCTACTGACCCATTTACATACCTTCCTCGATTTCCATCTACTTAAATCTACTGACCCATTTACTTACCTTCCTTCCTTCCCATCTACTTAAATCTACTTACCCCTTTACCTACATTCCTCCCTTCCCATCTACTTAAATCTAATAACCCATTTACTTACCTTCCTTCCTTCCCATCTACTTAAATCTAATAACCCATTTACCTACCTTCCTCCCTTCCCATCTACTTAAATCTATTAACCCATAAACCTACCTTCCTTCCTTCCCATCTACTTAAATCTATTAACCCATAAACCTACCTTCCTTCCTTCCCATCTACTTAAATCTACTAACCCATAAACCTACCTTTTTCCCTTCCCATCTACTTAAATCTACTATAAATAATTCCAACCTATATACCTACCCTTACCTATCTACTTACCTACCTAACCATCTCCCTACATACCTACTTATCTAACTATTTTCCATCCCCCCTATACCTACCTACCTAGGACAAGAAGCCTTCAACATGATTGGAGCTGGTGGAAGTTCTAAGGTAAAGCCTGCAGTGCTGGATCAATGGAGAGTATTTGTTCAGAGCACCAGTTATAACAGGTATTTATGTATGCATTCATCCTCCCTCTTATACAGGGTGTCCCAAAAAAACATGGGAATTCAGTGACGAATTTGATATCGTCTTTGTTATGAATTAGCATTGTAATACCTAATTTCAAAAGCCATAATATTATTATGTCTGCTTAAGTTTATTTTATGAAAAGGGTAAAAGACTGCAAAGATGTGTCTATAATGTCTCCACAAGATAAACAGTGTAGACGGACAAGTTTACTCTGTTTGTATAAAGCAATTTTCTTGTTTTATTAAGTACACCCTTATGCAGTCAAAACATAAACAAAACGTGAACATAGCAGACGAAACTCTTACAGATTAGAGCTTTCTCAGTAGGTATCACTATACTAAATCAAAAAATTATTTGAAAAGACGATATCGAATTTGTCACTGAATTCCCATATTTAATGGGACACCCTGTATCTTATAGTCTTGATTTTCATGTATTCAAAAGAAACCAACTCACTAAGATTTTAAATTTGCCCTTCTAGCCAACTATATATGTATATCCAATTATCCTGAAAATCAATCCAAAAATCATGTCGGATCAAAAACACATTAGTGAAAAAACTTGGCGGGATCTGTAAGTTTAATTCCAAACGAAGAAAATAAAACTCCAAAGAAAGAGTTACAAAATAACATAAAGATAGATTGCGCATAAGACGCCATTTTTCATCTTGGAAGATATAAATATCCAGGGATGTTTTAAAGATATTCCTATTTATAGATTAATTAGGTCGGTTGTGAACATTGGCTGTTCTTATGTCATTGAGTACTTGTGGTGTACATGAGTTCTGTAGAGAGAAATTTAAGTTAGTTTAGTCCTTCTCATGTCCTTCTTCAGTTCTCGTCAATATGCTATATTGCTCAGTGAAATATTGTTCAAATATGTTCCATTCCCGGAGTTATTTTACACTCTATTATGAAATCCATTAAAACATCAAACCACCCCACTTATCATTGAAGTACACTTTGACCCCTAGAAGTATGAGTTCGCGGACTGTACAATTCTTGGTGATTTTGCGTACATAAGCTATCTATGTTTATTTATTTATCTATGACAAATACTGGTTGATGCATCGTCCTGTATTTGTTTATTTATTAATCTGTTTTTATTCATTCATATTTCACTTTTTAACTAATATATTTTTCATCCACTGATATATTTATTAGTTATTATTTCTTGTTTCACCATCTTTCTACAGTGAAACCCTTAATAACGAATACATCAAAAGAATTTATCAAATGTCGTCTTGACAATTTTTCAATGAGTTGTATACTATATTTTGCAATTTTAATGTTTGCGAAAATAAATAAATAGCCCTTGAATATGTGGGAACAGTTTTAAAGAGTTCCATATAATCATTTAAATAAAAAAAACTATATATCTGCAACATTCCATTATCAGAAAGTAAAGAATACGACATTTTATGAATTCTTTCGATTTATTCGTTATTAAGGTATTCACAGTATCAAACTTCTTCTTTTTTATAATTATTTTCTTTCTATAGACTTTTTGCAATTCACCTTTAGTTTCAGGAACTGTAAACGTAATTTCAAATGACCCTCCACATACACCGTGATAAACACTAGAGTACCTTAACCTTAATTTGCAGCAAATAAAAACCAAGACGTTCATCATCGTTCTTGATAAGGCTAAAGGTTTCAATCGTATATCATTGTAACCCATAAATGCCACTTCTACTTATGGAGGGTCACTTGAAATTACACATAACATTAATCCGTGTATGTTTAGAATACTAGTTGGAGGAACAGGATTCCTCTACGAAGTTGATCCTGACTTCTAGTAATCATAATTGCAGAGATCCATATAAATATAAGGGAGTCGACTTTAAAGCGACGCATTTCCGTTTTGTTTTTTGTTTTGTAGCCCTGAATATTTATACATTTTAAAACCGAGGACGATTTTTCTGGTTCCCGTTTGAAAGGAGTAATTGAGAAAAATTATCAGCAAAATTTAGAGTGAGAGAACGCAAAATGTTGTTCACATGATGCATAAAGGACATCCATTCGTTTTTTAAATACAAGATCACTAAAAGTTGTTTTGAATGAAAAAAATCAAATTATAATCGTGTGTTCGAAAAAAATAAGATGCGTCTTGGTATTGGTTTTCTTAATATTATGAAAGTACTTTTGTTTTGTGTTTGATTTTGTTCCTAATCAGTGGAAATTGTTGAAATAAATTGTTGTCAAAAATTAGATTATTTTTATTATTATTTAATAATTAATCAATAATTTAATAATTCCTTAGTTCTGAGATTTCCAATGTGTGGTCTGGTTTGTAAATTGAAATATTTAAACTAATTTCAATCTAAATTGAACTGTAATGGGAATTGACCCTTCATACAAGATGGCTTACCCAACCTATCCAACCTACAAAAGTTGTGCATCCGACCTACAGGGTATCCCAATTAACATATAGGAATTAGGGGACGAATTCGATATCGATTTTGTTATAAATTAGCATTGCAATTCCTGGTTTCAAAAGCCATAGTATTATTATGTCTGCTAGAGTTTACTTTTGGAAAAGGTAAATGGCTGTCTATAATTTCTTAATTGATTAATTAAAAGTAGATCTATAGTTACTAAGACATAGTCCTACCATGGACAGGACCAGATTGAACCCTACATCCCATTCAACACTGCTATGGTCGGCAACTCCTGGCTCTTTAAGGCTCACAACTGGTGCGTTAAGAAACCTTTAATACAAGCATTCAACTCCTCAAAAACTTTCCTAAAATGATCATCCTAGGTTTTTCTCAGAAATCTGTTGGATTTTTCAATAAAAACAAAAAATAAAAATTAAGCCTGTTGGAGTTGTTAAAAATTTAACCTAGTAAGAGCCAGTTTCAGACCATTTATCCTTTTGATGGCTTCATACTTTTTGGACTGTTGGAATGCTGAAGTGGCTTGAGCAAAACACCTTGGATCGGAATAAATGTTGGTTCCCCCACATAACAAACAAGTTATCATCCCAACCTTGGAACTCATCCTGATTTTCTATTCCGAGTTCTGGACAAGTTCGTTTATCCTTTCAAACCTCTCTTTTTTGAACAGTGAAGACGGAAAAGGTTTCTCTGTATACTTTAATTTTCTTGTTTTACTAAGTACAAACGTAAAAACCGTATGCAGTCAAAACATAAACAAAAATTGTAAACACAGCAGACGAAATTCTTACGAATTACAGCTTTCTCAGTAGGTATTACTTTATTAAATCAAAGAATTATAAAAAAAAAGACGATATCGAATTAGTCACTGAATTCCCATGTTTATTGGGACACCCTGTACCAAAGTTGTGCATCAGATCTACAGTTAAACCCTGCAAAAACCATACAACGAAATTTATCAAATGTCGTCTTGACAATAGGTTTTTTACTATTTTGCAGAGCGTCCCATATCATATTAGATTATCTCCAATCTTAAACACCAAAATAAACCATTAATACTCGAAAATCTTGTTATTTTCCACAAGAAAATTTTATATAAGCCTTATGTTATTTTTCAAAATGATTCATTCTAATTTAATTTTCTAATTAGTCCCGAAAATCGTAATTTAGACCCGTTCTCGGTCAAATGTGATGTTGGACACCCTGTATATAAAATCTCAGTATATGCGAAAATAAATGAATAGTCATGCTTATGCGGAACAGTTTTAAAGAGCCCCATATAATAGTTTTATTCTAAAAAAAAGTAATGGTGTGCATCCGACCTACAGTCTGACCTACAGAAAAGTGCAACCAACTCAAGAAAGCTGTGCAACCGAAATTTATCCGAAATAATTATCGAAAGTAACCAACCTTGTCAACAACTTTGATCACAAACATTTAATCTAATCTACAATCGTTGTCGTATTTATCAATACAATAAAGACAACTATTTCAATTTTTGATTTGTGCCCAGCTTTCAAACTGAATGGATATAGATTACACATGAACATGGAAACAAAAAGAAGCTGTCACTTATCAGCTTCTTCTCATTTACCTGCAAGAAAGATAAGATTGCTAAAAATAAACTTAAATAAATAGTCGTCTTCCTTGTATTGATATAAACACTGACCACAATACAACGCTATATCTCCTGATATGAATAAATATTAGGCAATAATACATTTTATTCAAATAAAATACTTTCAATTATCTAAACACAGCCGATTAAACTTAATTCATCACGCATAAAACCTTAAGTTCACAACTGAAAATTTTTGCATTAAACTTTAAGTTAACAACTGAAAATTGTGCATAAAACCTTAAGTTCACAACTGAAAATTGTGCATAAAACCTTAAGTTCACAACTGAAAATTGTGCATTAAACAATAATGAATCTCTCATAAAATGTCAACTAAACTTTGTCCGAATCTATTATTTTAAGTTCGAGATTGTTTATAATTTAAAGCCAATATTGACTAGACATAGAGAAGTAGTCAGACTCTTCCGATAGCCAAACATCTGATTAAAATTTAAAAAAAAACACCATTTGTCTGTGCAAGAACGTTAAAATACATTTTAAGAGAGTTCTTTCAAGCATATTTTAAACTCTTTCTAAGTTAATAATATTGCTGATTAATAAAAGTAATAAAACTAGGTCCATTTATATAATATGACTTGCACAGCTAAAGCTTTTTTAGGAAAAAATATCTAAAACCATTTCGATGATATTTTTGCTACTAAAAAGTCCTCAATGAGTAGCAAAGATAGGCAAAAAGCAACCAATATGGCTCCAACTGAAAAAAAAAACAGATTAAATTTTTATTGTCTACAACAAATATAGAGAACGATATGTTGGATATGTTTGTAAATGTTTATTTTGTGTTATATAAGGTTGTATAACAAGGTTAGATGATATGGATGCACCTAAATGTAAGTAAATACGACCTTTATAGCAATGGACACTCTAAGTCCTCATATGACGTCACTGCTTATTTTAAAGAATAATAAATTTTGCGGCTCACTAAATATAAACGAAATCAAAGATTAAAAACTATAATCCTAACGGCATATTTAAGTTTTAAACCTGTTAGCACAATCAATATCCATTAGATGAGATGGTTGTTAAGACTGATAGTTCAGTACCAGTGACCTCATATAAGGATTTCGAGTGTCCATTGCAATAAAGACGACATTTACCTACTTTCTAGCACATACAGAGAATTGTATAACCTTATATAATACTAGCTGAAGAACCCGGCGTTGGCCGTGGAAAAAAACGAAATTTGAAAAAAATATTTGAAAAAACACTTTTAAAAAATTGAAAACAAAATTTTTTTGAAAAAATAACAGAATTTTTTTAGCCTATAACACCCCCGGTCACCCATGAGTGTCCACAAAAAATGTAAGCCCAATCGGTCGAGCCGTTTGGCCGGCTATTCGCAACATATGTATATATACGAATGTCTTGTTTTATTATATAGATATACAACATTGACAGGGGCGGATACAGGATTTAAGTGAGGGGGGGGGGGCAAGATTTTTTAGGAACAAAAAAGTTCATAATTAGGAATTAGGAATAAAAAATCGCGGGGCAGGCGAAAAAAATTTTTTGACTTAAAAGACTCCAAAAAGAGTTGAAATTAATGACTAAAGACTAAAAAACTAGATTTTTTTACTTTTCATACATTATAGTTTATTATGACAGATATTTTTCCTGTTTTGCACTAGGGTTTCTTTCCCTTTAGCATGCTATTGATAAGCTATTCTGAAAATAGGAACAAAAAATTCCGAATTCAGGGGGACGAATGTCCCCCCACTCCCGACCCCCTGTATCCGCCCCTGAACATTGACGACACCTGACATAATTCAAACATGTTGTTTCTAATTCTGAAAAATCAACAAAAGAAAACGTAAAAATCCGCGAAATTTTAAGAAAATAAAACATAATAAAGTGCTGTAAACCAAACTGTAACTCTACCGTCCTCAGAAAACGCTCTAAAACTTTAAACTCACCTATATCTAGGGTAGTTGGATACGTTTTAAAAACAGATATTTGAAGAATGTATGCGGTTACTAGTTCCACACTTAGTAAGCTTATCATTTTACCAGGGTTTGTCATACAAGCTCCTGAAACAGAAAATAATAAAATCTGCCATGAATTGTTCGAAAAAGGAAGCTTTAAATTTAATTTATTTTGGGATATTTGGCAATTTTTAGGTAACAATTTCAAATCAATGAAAAATGAGAGAATTATTGGGCTGAATACCTTGGCCGGTAATGAGAGTCAAATAACTAAATGGTCCCTTTGAACCTTCCTCTGATAATAGATAAATGAAATTTATTTACCATAATTTTTTTTTTCTTAAATTGGGGCTTTTACATTTAAGTAATTTACAAATTGAGACAACTGGAAAAGAAAGACATTTTTAGAATTCAGCAGTGTTAAGGTAGAAAAACGACAAATATGGATCAGATGAGCTGTTTTACATCTGAAAAATTTAAAACATGAATTTTCAAGTTTTAAAAGTGTACCTTTGACTAGAAACATATTACCAGCTAAACCTAGAGCCCCGATTAGAAATCCAAAACACCATTCCTGAAAGACAGAAAAATAAACAGGTAAAGGATGTGGTACTTCTGTTATGAAAGTCAATTTTGTTAATCTTAAGGCCGAATTTAAAGAATTTGAGCCGCGGCTTAAATTTGAGACGCAGCTCAAATATGGTTGTTTCCACTAAAAGTTGTATTCAATTTGATAAGATTTTAGTTAATAAAAATTCTTATGAAACTATTGTGTACTTTATCATTATTACTCACTTCATCGTGAATTTCATGATGAACGTGCTATAAAGTAAGCTTATTTCATCTAGAAATAAGTACACAAACGTTTCATTAGATTACCTTAAACACTATTATTTTGGCACGACGATAAAGTTTTTGGACTTAATTTTGTCCCTCGCTAAAGCTCGGAACAAAATTAAATCTAAATAGACTTGAACCTTCTTGATAAAAGGAAAATGTCTGTCCAAAATCTGTATAACACTGCGAACCAAAGTAACAGTGTTATAAATTATAATTATTAAAGACAGAAGACGACTATGACGATTTTTAGGTTAATGTAAATCTTCTGCCTTGAACATATACTATCGAAAGCTTATTTTATGGTTTAGCAAAGAAGGAAACAAGTTTACAGTGGTAGAACAAATATGAATGTAAGGAAACAGATTGTTATAGTAATTCCGTAAAATAGTGTCTAATGTCTCATCCTCTCTGAGCTGGGAACTTTAGAATGGTGGATATCGTGATTATTGCTTAATCCTCTCTTTTTGTTAATCTTTAGATTATGTTAGTCTCGAGATTAAATATTTAGATCAACAAATTTGATTCTAAGAACGCCAGATGTGTTCGTTTTCTTGATTGGAAGGGCCTTCACTTAATTAATCACCCATTTATTTATTAATACAATAGTTAAAATTGGCTAAAAAAGAATCTCAAACGTATTATCAACTATTTTTGTTAACCGCTTAATTATTAAAATGGCCGACAACATATTCTTTATTTGTTGGAAATTGCTGATTTCTCTCATGGGATAGAATTATTTTCAAGGCTGTAATTGGTCAGTACAATTTATGAACTATATTCCTGGACTCTCATTGGAGAAAACAATTACAGATATCAAAAGAGAGAGAAAAAGAGTGGATTAAGGACTAAAATTAAAAGTTTCCAAAGTGGATATTCGGATTAAGTAGTTGGGATTAAAGGTTATCCATTCTAAAGCTCCCAGCTCTGGGTAACCATGCAGATATAAGTAATATATATTTTTAAATTTCCTAATTTGAATTTGATTTTTACCTCGACTCCCTGGAAAATGTTAACTTGTCCAAGAATAAATAATGCTGGAACTGAGACTCCTAGTCCTCCCAAACCGGTCCAGAATAAGGAAACTAAAAAAATATATTCATCATATTCTTAAGATCAGATTGTGTTCTGCAAACTTTTTAAATAGTCAACAAAGAAGAAAGTTTTGAGTTCTGTGAATGGAAAGGTAAAATCAAAGGTTTAAATGTTGATTTAAAAAGCAACGGAACTTAAAAATCAACCGCGCCTCAAATTCTAACTTTCTAATCGAAACTTTTGTTATTTTATTTTTGCAAAGTTTAATGTTAAAACATGTACTTTTGCATAAGTATTAAAAAATGTGTTAAAATGTCTATTTAAATATATATATACAGGGAGAACCAGAAAACAATGGAATAGAAAAACGTTACATTATAACAATGTTTTTGCATGCTGTTACAAAGCGAATAGTTATACTAAATACTTATTAAATTACTTAGTTAGTTAAATTGGTCTGTTTACACTGCTCATTTGCTGTGTCCCATGTTTATTGGACTTAAGTTTTTTGGTTCTCACTGTATATAAACTTAAGAGTTTTTAAGTGTTTTTATTGCTAGTTTAAGACAAACAAACAAAATGAAAATGTTACCTGAGAAATGAATTATCTGGCACTGTTTCATCAGTATACAGAGATATGCTAGAAAATTTAACCTTTGAACCTTTATCAGATTAATAGCTTGAAAAATACTTAATCCTTACATTTCTCTTTATTTTGAGTAGAAACCCAATAGAAAAGAATCTATTTTCACAGAAAAAAAAACATCAAGTTTCATCAATTCATCAGTTCATCAGTTCATCAGTTCATCAGTTCATCAGTTCATCAGTTCATCAGTCCATCAGTTCATCAGTCCATCAGTTCATCAGTTCATCAGTTCATCAGTTCATGATTTCATCATTTCATTCCAACATAATTTCATTAAGTCATGCTCTGTAAACAGAGTTGCACGTAACTGATGCAATGCCACAAACTCAAATTCTTATTTTCCTATATTTCTGGGAGTCTATGTCGCAGATCTTTGATATTTTAACTATGATTTCTGTTGGATCAAATAGTCTAAGTTTGAAAGGTTTTCACCATCAGGTTTCAAAGATATATAGGGATTAAACTTGACTATTACCTGTTAAAATTGGTGTTGAGAGAGATGCTATTATCCCTATAGCATCAAGGTTGTCAAGGTTGATCTCATTTAAACTAAAATTCGCCTGAACATACCAATATATATCTTGAAAAGGCAATAACTTAACGTAAATTAGGCCTCCTAAGGCTCAAGGCTCAAGAGGCTCCTAAAAAAACTTTGCAGTTCTAAAGGATACATTTTGAAAGAAAAATGATAGGGTGCCTTAAGAAGAGATAATAATGCTATTGTAGAATATGAATGAATGCCCCAGAATCAAATTTACAGCGTCGTCGTGCATAAAGTTCAATACAATAAAGATGATTTTCTATTTAAATTTTGGAAATTGGACACACGAAAAGATGGAAACAAAAACTAAAATTAAAAAAACCACGTTTAATCTTTTAAAATCTTTTTATCATTAAATAAAATAGAAAATATTCCTCATTGTATTGACAAACACGCCTACCACTGTAATTATTGAAAAAAAAATATGTTTAAATATTATTAAAATCTACCTGTTTAAAGTTTATAGGCCAACCAAGAATATTAATTCTGACAAGAAGTGTTGGTAAACTGAAAACAAGAAAATGGACCAATTGTAATCTGCAAGTTTTGTGCTGTCACCTCCCTTTCAGGAGACTTTTCGCCAAAATGAAGAGGAGATACCACTTTTAGGTTTTTGATTTAGGAATATTTTGTCATGGATGTTAATTATTATTTCAAAGTTCCTTTGAATCAAGATTAAACTTTTTACACCAAACTTCAATCATACATTCGAATATAGAAATAGATTTTATCTGCAGGGTGTCCCATGGAACATGACATTTGAGAGAAGACTAGTAGGTCGTCGTTGTACTCTAATATAATTTCTGACATTGATCATTAACCCTTCTTATATACATGTACAATTATTGAAACATTAACCACACAATTCTCCTAGTCCCGGCATTGCCAAAATGTGGTCGGTCATTATTACCCGTGTCATTGAGAATTTCGTTTGGATTGCGATTTATTAAATAAAACCCAAAATCTGACATATCCCCAGTAATATTGACGGCACAAAAAACAGACCACATTTTTGAAATGGCAGGACTAGAGGTTGTTTCTGATTTTTAACTCCAGAATTTTATTTACAATTAAATGACGGAAATTTGATCAAAGACGACCTTCTAGCAGCCTTGCTACTGTCATTTTTTGTAAGAGTCTTAAATACATTTACTTTTAAATATTGATACTAACAAAGAGAAATTTAAATCTATATTCAATTTTGATATTTCAGGTATTTCAGGTCGCAAGGAAATTATTTCAGATTTATCAATTTCATATGGAATTTAACACACCTAATACAGGGTTATCCACAAAGGATGAGACTTCAGAGACGACTGTAGAGAATTTATACTATCAATATCTTTAAATACATGATTCCCTGAAACTGTGATCTTTTTTCTTTCTTTGCCAAATCATTAAATAAGACATTAAAACACTTTATTTTAGGCAGAAGACTTATTTTGAACTTAGAATCGTTATATTTTACAAGTTATCGGTCGTCTTTGCAGTCTCGTCCATTGTAGGTAACCCTGTATTTCCCGTTGTAGGGCGGATAAGTAACTTGTTACATCTCAATAGGTTCGGCGTGAGAAACAAAACTTTCCTAGTAACTAAAAACAACTTTTTTCGCACAAATGCCATTTTAGAAGATTAAAAGATTTTTGAAAAATATTAATCTATATTTATAAAAAACTTACTTTGAAATATCTTCCTCCAGGAGTACTGAACCATTTAAGGGTAAAACATTTACAATCTAGAACAAAAAATCCTCGTTTAATAACAATATCCAACATTGGACCTTTAACTTTTTTTTAAATTGGTACTATGCTCCTTTTGTTGAAAATAAACATGGGACTTAAGAGACAAATATGAAATCGTCTTTGTAATATATTTTCTTTGTTTTACATTATTTCAATGACCAAAATAAAGTTACATCTGCTAGATTTTATTTCATGCAAACGGATTAAATAAAAGCCTGTTTTGTTATTCTGCAAAACGTTCTGTAACATTTCTGCAAGATAAACAGTGAAGACTGAATATGTGTTGGTATAAAGGAATTTCTGATATTACAAAGTACAATACAGTTTACAATGAAAAATTTTTTTTTTAAATTCTTAACTCTAGTAGGCATCACCATACTTAATCAAAAAGATCATTTACTTAAAGACGTTATCAATTTATTAAAATCGTCTCTTAATTCCCATGTTTATTGGGACACCCTGTATAAAGAAAAGTGAATAGTTAGAAAGATATTAATGTTTAGATTTGAGTTTTCAAAACTATGAGGAGATTATTAAAGCAGTATAAAAGAGACTATACGCATAATTTCTTGCTATTCTCCATTTTAAGAGATATATTTCCAGGATTTACAACGATATCTTTAAATTCTAATTCACAACTCTGAAGTAATTATTATTATTATTATTATATTATTTATTATTTATTATTTTTATTATGTTTTATTTCATGTTATCTTCCACTATAACTTTACGCCAACAGTCCCTTTAAAGGGTCAAATAAAAAGCGTTAAAATCCCACCTGTGAAAATATAGTGGTCGGGTGAATTAGTAGAAATGTTCCTGACAATACAATCAGTATAATGAAGGCTCTAAAAATTAATTTTTTTTCATCACAAATATTGAAATTATTTTACAAAACAAAGCAATCAAATATTCAAATAGGTAATGTTTTCTTGATTTCAATTTTTAAGAATCGTGATTAGCTAAAACTCAAGGAAAGTTAATTGCAGTTGTGTATACTCTGCGTAGATATTGAAACCAGTTCTCTCTGAAATTCGTAATCAAGACTCAGTGTTCGTTTAGTATCCCAGGAGGTTAAAAGCATTAAATTTTGAAAATTTTGATAATTCACATTAATGGTTTCCTATGATCAGAAAACTTCATTAATTTGTTATGTGAAAGATGGATCCCATTTCAGGCTTCGACATCCGTCTTGTGTTTACATTACCGCCCAGATACAGTGCACTGCAGTACAAAAGATGCGTACACCTCTTAAATAACTTTCCTTGCATTATAACCTTGCTAAAACTATTTTTTTGCTTATCATTTTAATTTGATTCTCAATTTAATAACATTATTTAAAACATCATTTAACGCTTTCCAAGAGCTATGAAGTAAAAATTTCATCATTTTCAAATTTTGTAGAAAAAAATAAAGAAAAATTTTCCTGAAAATTGCAAAATGTTCTTTCAAGATAGCTGCAGATAGAACCATAGCGAATCCGGGAACTGAAAATAAAAAATAATTGTAAAAAAATGCGTTTTCAATGATTGGCAGACCAAATAAGTGTCCAAGGATCAAGAACATGGGAATTACGGAAAGAATTTTGATTAGTTTTTAATTTCTGATAGTTAGCCATGGTCTAAAATATATTAAAGCGGGTTCTTTAACAGAACTTTTTTATCTTCAAAATTGACAAGCGGTACTTAAACAATTGTTATTTAATTAATAAATTAAAATCTTGACAAAGGAATTGAGTCTTAGCCAAAAACTTTGATTTGCATTCTTAAGTTGTAATCCTTTTATATTTCATACTTAGATTATTTGATCTAACAGAATTTATAGTTTGAAATATCTAAGGTCTAGGACATCAGGTTGCAAAGGGAATATATACAAGTGTGTGGATAAAACTTAAATCCTTCTAAAATATTCGTTAATTTTAATCAATGCTCGGATAAAGGCTCCTTTCTTTATTTTAAAATAGAAATTACTTAAAATAATATATATTTGAAAATGTGGTAGCTTAAAAAATGTCAATAAAAATGAAATGCTTTCCACCTGAAAAGAAGAAGAGTGCTACAACATCTAAATATTAAATGCAAATTATTCTAGAAATATTTTAGAAAAATACTGAATTCCAATCCAAAAAATGTCCCCCCCCCCCCTCCGTTGAACTAAAACTTAAATCCCCTCGCCGCTCTATTGTGTTGATCATTGAATTTTTCACTCGGAAAAAATGTTACGGATTTTTTCTGAAAACGGGACAGCTCAAAATGGTATAAAGGGGGGGGGAAGGGGGGTAGTGCCTCCCTCTAGATCTGCGTAGCCCCCCTTAGGACTCAGAGCTATCATACTTTTCAAATCTGAAACTGAAGAGTGAAGAACATAAAAAAAATTAGTTCTGTTTTTTTTCTGCTAGTTAAATTTGAAGAAGAGATAAAGTAGTACTTGTAAGGTAATTGGACTGTATGTGTACCTTTAAGTATACATGAAGCCAAATGTTTTGAATTAATTGTTAAAACTTTGCCCCCCCCCTAGGAGGGGGCAAAAAAATTGGCCCCCCTTTAATTTATTTCTGTATACGCCCTCGCCGACAGGTAGTGCAACCAAATAAAGAAATAGATAAAAAGAAAGTTTCAATCAAGAAAAACTAATTCACCCGTTCATAAACTAAATATTGTTCATAAAGATAACATGTCATTATAAAACATTTTAACAGAGAAAAAAGAAACTTGCTATAGGTGAGAGGGTGGGGGGTATGACTTTATCCTCCCCCTTTATCTTACCCTTAAAACTATTCCCTAAGTGTATGGAAAGCAAAATATTTTGGGACTTTTTGTGGGGTACTTACAAAAATCATATTTGAAAAGTCTGAAAAAAATAAATTAACTTTTTTCTTTATATTACATTAATTTTGAAATCTTGCAGTTTTCCTGTTGGAAGTCTGTTAATGGATAGATAGATAGCCAACAGCAGCACGCCTCCCACTATTCCTGAGATTTAAAAAAAAACTTTTTAAAATCTATGATTAACATTGAATATTTTTATGAGAAAAAATGTTAACTCAGGGTCACCATTAAAGATCTCAGATAGTTAACTGATGACAAAAATTGTAAAAAATGTGCACTCTTTCCAAAAAGCTACTTAGACGTGCAAAACATTTTGATTTAACCTTTGTTCTGAGAATGCTATTAAAAATCAACAACGAGCTCTAAGTAATTTAAAAAGGGGTTGTAAGCGTAATTTTAAGTGACCCTTCATGTAATGACTGCAATGTCCAATTCACAACGGTACCTTTGAACCTTCGAAAGAATGCAGTTAGTTAACTTATTTGAACCAGAAGTGCAGTATTATAGAGAAAATTTTTGTATTCATTTAAAAAATTGAGATGTTTTTGTGTAAAATTTTAGGAAGGAATGGTCTGCGTCTTTTCAAAAAAAATTTCAGGAAATCTACGGAAAAAGTTTGTGAACAATCAAACATTACAGAAACTAATTACTTCATAAAATCGTTAATTTTCAATGATAAGAGTTTATTTTATTTTCTTAACGTGTTCCTTCACAACAAGTTAGTCGAATTTTCGTTCGGTTTGTTAGATAATTGTAAGAAACGTTTTTTCCGGGAACCATCCAATCTGGAGATATTTAAAATACGAATTTACGTTCTTGCGTTGAAATTATACACCTTTAAAAGTCTCTTTGTTATCAAATGAATCCTATTTTATTTCTCTTTAATACTGCAAGAAATGCGCAAGTCACTTTTGCAGAGAAACCATATTTAAAAATAATCAGTTTTCCAAAAACAAGAAAATTGATATCTAATTCGTGCTTGATAAGAAAATATAAAGGGAGGGTCATTTAAAATCAAACATACAGTCTCTTTAAACGGTCAATTAATTGTAATTTAAAGTTTCATTCAATGATAGATACGACATTCAAGATATCTTGAGTTTTGTCCCACTTTGAGAAATAAAAGAAAAAACTACCTTGCATTATTATTTTGAGTCTGAGTCCTGAAGGACCAAGAGGGTTGGTTCTTGTCCACACTTTTTAATTAATATATTTGACAAAAAGGAACAAAAATAAATGCTTTTTCAATAGAAATTTCTGGGAAACTGTTTAAAGGGAAACTGTCAGCGTAATTATAATTGACTCTCTATGCAAAGATGGCAATGCCAAATTTACAACGGTAAAATTAAAACATTTGTCTATGTTTTTATTTACTAACTTTTGTGGTTTTTCTGTAAAAGTGACTTGTGCATTTCTTATTTATAAGAAATAATGAAGAGATTATCAGAATTGAATACTTTTCGAGTAAAAACAAAACAAAAATGTTGTATTCCATAATTTTTGATCAGATTAAGGTTTCAAGGGTATCGTTCTGAATCGGGCGTTGCCATCTTACCGGCCATGGAGGGTCATTTGAAATTAAGGTTACAGTCCCTTCAAAATGTTAAATAATAAGAAAAAAGTTGTTTTGTTAAATATTAGTACATTCCTAAAACAGGAACCATCAATATCAATTGCACTAAACACCTAAAATAAAATATAAAATAATGTATCGTCTTTTCGCCTCCTACCAGGGGGGTAGTGCCNACCTAATTTCGTCAACAATTCCTTTAATCTACCTAATTTCGTCAACATTCCCTTTAATCTACCTAATTTCGTCAACAATTCCTTTAATCTACCTAATTTCGTCAACATTCCCTTTAATCTACCTAATTTCGTCAACAATCCCTTTAATCTACCTAATTTCGTCAACAATCCCTTTTAATCTACCTAATTTCGTCAACAATCCCTTTAATCTACCTAATTTCGTCAACATTCCCTTTAATCTACCTAATTTCGTCAACAATTCCTTTAATCTACCTAATTTCGTCAACCCTTTAATCGATCTGCCTAATTTGGTCAACAATACCTTTAATCTACCTGACCTGAGTATAATGAGAGTCCAAGGATTGATCTCTGGAACCAGGTTGATCAGCGCGCTACTAGCTGTATACAGAATACCACCTGGAGTATAACAAACAATTTAATATGAAAACCATAAATATTTTTATTTTCAAAAACAAAACAAAAAAATTGTATTCCAAAATATCTCATATTTTGTTCCATGAAAAGTTTTATTCTTAAGTTTGCTGACTCTTCATCGTAATTTGTAATTTTACTACAAATATATTTTTGCCACCTAAAAGGTGTTAACCTTTGATATTTCAAACTTTGACAGTTAAATCTATGTCGACTTCATAGTTTGGGAAGAGGTCCTACAGTATCAGGTTGCAAAGATACAAGAGTCAGAGAATTAGAATTTGAGGCAAGTGTTTAGCTCTTAAAAAAGCGCCCTGCACGTACTTTTGAAGTTTGATATATTTTATTTTGTCTTCATTATATATTTATATATTTAAACTCAATCCCCCGTCATAAAAACTTAAAATTCACATGTTTGGGAAAGTTCCTTTCAATGAAAATAACTATTTATAACACTGTTATTTTGGTTTGCAGTGGTTTAAAGTTTTTGGAGAGAAAGTATCTCTTTATTGAGAAAGTTCTCGCCTTTTTAGATTTAATTTTGCCCTGATCTTTAGCGAGGGACATAATATAATCTGAAAAGGCGAGAACCTTTGAGATATAGAGAAAATTCAGGTCCAAATAGCAACGACGTCCTGTCAAAATAATAGTGTTAATTTTCTATTTTTTGTTTTACAATTAGCACAGCTATAGGAAACTTAGACCGATTTAAAAAATTTAAAGTAATTATCATCCCTCCTATTTATTCAAGATAAAAACATTATCAAAAACATAACAATTACAGATGAAAAATCCTGTATAAGTTCTCAACCTGATTTGAGCCTCATAAAGCAAATTTATCAATTTAAACTGACATGACATCCCTACCAAAAAACTTTTCATCTTCAAGGGAGTGTTCGCGAAAAATGAAAGGGGGTATAGGCTTAATGAGATAAAAAAGCGCTTTTGATCGCTACTAATCTTGCTTCTATCTGTTGCGTTTATAAGGAGAAAATTGTTAAAGACATCTCATACCGAATAACATGGCGTCCATACAAATTGAGAAAATTGCAACATACGACTTAGACCGTAAAAAAATCAATTTAATTTCAAACAAATCATTCAGATATTACAACCTATAGTCTATCTTTCGCCACATTTGTAAATAGTTGATTTTTAATAATATGTTTTAATTGTTATGACCTGAGAGTTACTTATAAAAACATTTATTCCTTTTTCGAGGATTTTTGGTAATAAAGACGACATTTTCATATTTTGCAGGAATGTTCGAAAACAAGTTGTAAGCTAAATATTATTTTAAAAAACAAAATCAAAACATATTATAAAATATAAACTATATACAAATGTGGCGAAAGATAATCGATGACTATGATATTAATTAATTATTTTTACGGTCTAAGTCGTATGTTCCAATTTGCCCCTTTCATTTTTCGCGAACACTCCCTTTAAACATGAAAAAAAAATTTTATAAAACTTACCAATTAAAGTTAAAAAGTATCCGGTGTAAGTTGTTAACAACAATCTTGGCTTTTTCAATTCTGTTTCTGTTTCAGATATCCTACAACAAACATCATATTATTTATTTTTTAATTCTGTTTCTGTTTCAGATATCCTGCAACAAACATCATATTATTTATTTTTCAATTCTGTTTCTGTTTCAGATATCCTACAACAAACATCATATTATTTATTTTTCAATTCTGTTTCTGTTTCAGATATCCTACAACAAACATCATATTATTTATTTCTGCATTTTCTCCAAAAACAAAACGAAAACTTTGTATATATTCCAAAACCAAGAAATTAATAAAATCTAAGATCTTAAAGGGACTGTAGGAGTAATTGTATGTGACTCTAAGATTCACAACGGTATCATTCAAGTCTAAATCAGATCAATGGAAAATAAAAAAAAAAGTTCCGACAGAAAAGTGTTTTAATCGAGCAAGAAACAGTTTTCAAAAACAGATTAAGTAAAAACTAATTCATACTTGAAAACGCATTTAAATTCACCAAACTTCCTTTTTAATTGTATATTATTGATTAAATAATACCTTTTAACAGTGTGTTCAGGTTCATTAACAATTATATTTTCTGCTCCTTCAACTAAAATATCATTTTGTCAAAAATGTAAATTTGTTTAATGAAATATATTTTTTTAGGAACCACACCCCCCCCCCCCCCTTTAACTAAAAATACATCTTGTAAAAATTGTTAATCATCAAGCTACTAACCGATGTTTCTGTAGGAACCAGTAATATAAAGTAAAAATAACCCTTTTAAACAATAAGCCAACCAATGAACCAATGAGTTGATGAACCAACAAAACATTGAATCAATGAATCAATGAACCAGTGAACCAATGAACCAGTGAACCAATGAACCAATGAATTGTTGAACCAAAAAAAAACATTGAATTAATGAACTAATGAACCAGTGAACCAATGAACCAATGAATAGATAAACCAACAAAACATTGAATTAATGAACCAATGAATTGATGAACCTACTGAACCAGTGAACCAATAAACCATGAATTGATGAACCAACGAACCATGTGAAAATCTGAAAGGGAACCCAACGTGAAATAAATGAAACAATAAAACCAATAGATCATTTAATCACTAAATAAATTAAAAACTGGAATCACCTGAATAAAATGACACTCCATCCCCTTCTGAACAGTCGTAAAATCCCTAAAATATTTGTTTCATGGCTCTCACAAAATAATGTCAAAACAATAAATTTACAGATTTAATTTTTGGAGGATTGAATACTAAAATGTTTTATAACATGTCTTAAAAACTACCCATTGGGTCGACTTGAAGGAACAAACTTGCTTCAACAGATTATACAAACTAATTCCACCAATTGTTTAGTAAGGGAGGTTCATACTGATGTCCGATTGGCAAATCTTTTTTTTCCTGCTAAAAATTGATGATTGTTCGTAAATCTGATTTGTGGATTTATACGAAGATAATAAAGTATATATTGTTAGAATGAAACACTTTTAAATGTTTAAACGACAACATCTTATACCTGATTAATTTGCTCCAACCCATGTTGTTGTCTCGAGATACAACTTCTAAAACTGGCTCCGTGGCTAAGACCAGAAGACTAAAAGTTGGAAAAATTTGTAATAAGTCCCTCCCCCTCCCCCCCCCCATCTTCCTTTCTTCCTCTTGCCCTCCCCCCTTCCATCTATGTAAAAGTGTAATCAATACATTATCATAAAATGAAAATAAAATAAATAATGTTAAAAAAAAACAAAAAAAGTGATATATCACGTTGCATAATATTTTAGGTTTCAATGTGGGGGGAGGGGTGCTTTGAAACAGATATAACAGTCCTAGATCACCCTGTATCCCATTGTATCCCCCTGTATACCATTGTATCCCATTGTATACCATTGTATCCCATTGTATACCATTGTATCCCATTGTATACCATTGTATCCCATTGTATCCCCCTGTATACCATTATATCCCATTGTATCCCCCTGTATACCATTATATCCCATTGTATCCCCCTGTATACCATTATATCCCATTGTATCCCCCTGTATACCAATGTATCCCCCTGTGTACCAATGAATCCCCCTGTATACCATTGTATCCCCCTGTATCCCCCAGTATCCCCCTGTATCTCATTGTATCCCATTGTATCCCATTGTATCCCATTGTATCCCGTTGTATCACATTGTATCTCGTTGTATCCCATTGTATCCCCCTGTATAACATTATATCCCCCTGTATACCAATGTATCCCTCTGTGTACCAATGTATCCCCCTGTATACCATTGTATCCCATTGTATACCATTGTATCCCATTGTATCCCATTGTGTCCCATTGTGTCCCATTGTATCCACTTGTATACCATTCTTTTCCCCTGTATCCCATTGAATCCCCCTGTATACCATGGTATCCCCCTGTATCCAATAGTATCCCCCTGTATACAATTGTATCCCACTGTATCCCACTATATTCCATTGTATCCAACTTTATGCCATTGTATCCCCCTGTAACCTATTGTATCGGCCTGTATCCAATTGTATCCCCCTGTATACCATTGTATTCCACTGTATCCCACTATATTCCATTGTATCCGACTGTATCCCATTGTATCCCCCTGTAACCTATTGTATCAGCCTGTATCCAATTGTATCCCCCTGTATAACATTGTATCCCACTGTATCCCACTGTATTCCCTTGTATACCAGTATATACCTCTGTATCCTGGTATTTAGATAATTGTTTACCTTGAACGTTTTAAAACTCATAAATGATGAATATGAAGTTAAACTTCTAAACGAGTTTCCTCTGGACNAGTAGTTAGGTAGGTAGGTAGGTAGGTAAGTATGTATGTAGGAAGGCAGAATGGTAGTTTCATATATAGGTAGGTATTCTGGGAGGTATGTTGGGAGGTAGGTAGGTAGGTATGGAGGTAGGTAGGTAGGAAAGTACGTAGGTACGTAGGTAGGTAGGTAGGTAGGTAGGTAGGTAGGTAGGTATAAATGTGGGTAGATTGATAGAAATGTAGGTAGATTGCTGGGAATGTAGGTAGATTGGTAGTTAGGTAGGTAGGCAAGTAAGTTGATAGGTAGGTAGGTAAGTAGGTAGGTAGGAAGGTAGGTAGATAAGAAGGCACAAAATTACCCATAAAGGATGAGCCTGAAAAGACGACCCAACACTAAAAAATATGAATATTTGAAACTTGATTTTTGGTTTCTGCATTCAATTGAGTATTTGTATGGTTTTCTAAATGTTAAAGCAAAGAAATAAGCCAGTTTTGGTCTACAAGAAGGAACCTAAAACGCAAGAAAGCTGACTAAATAAATTTAGAACAATCATCCTTTGTTGGTAACCCTGTATGTAGTTGGGTATGTAGCTAGGTAGCTAGGTAGGTAAGTACGTATAGTAGGTAGGTATGTAGAAAGGTAGATAGGTGGGTAGGTATGTGTAGAAAGAATATATGGTACGTACTTTGGTAAGTACGTATAGTAGGTAGGTATGTAGAAAGGTAGATAGGTGGGTAGGTATGGGTAGAAAGACTATATGGTACGTACATTGGTAAGTAAGTATAGTAGGTAGGTATGTAGAAAGGTAGATAGGTGGGTAGGTATGTAGAAAGGTAGATAGGTGGGTAGGTATGGGTAGAAAGAATATATGGTACGTACTTTGGTAAGTTAAGTGTATTAAATGAGTAGGTAAGAAGATAAAGTAATGGGTTATAGGTTTAATTGTAGTTTTAAAAAAGATCGTTTTTCGTTAATTTATTATTTTTTTTTCCGAAAAACGGTCGTTATTTGTTAAAAAAAAGATTGTTGTTAAAAAGAACTATCGTTTTTCGTTTTATGAAACTTCAAAACGAGTGGTTCGTTTTCAAAAATGATAGTTTTTTTCTAAAACGAAACGCTCGTTTTAAGAAAATAATAAAAACGAAATAAGAAACGATCGCATATTTTCGATCGTTTTCAAAACAATTAACAACTCTAGATAAGTACGCATAAGTAAGAAGGTAGTTAGATAGGTAAGAAAATATAGATAGGCAGGTTCAGGTAGTTAAGTAGATAGGTAGGTTGCAAGATCGGTAGGTATGGTAAGTAGGTAGGTTGCTAAGTAGGTTGGTAGGTGGGAAGATATGTAGGTAGGTATGGGGGGGTCCAAAAAATATTCTCTAAGACTGAATTCAAAGTTGGGGCAAAATGTCACAGAAAATAATTAAGTCTAACAAGTTTCGCTCTCGAGGGGTGGGGGGGGGGAATCCAGATTCCCCCCTCCCCCCACCACACCTGTACAAAACCAGAAATTTAAAGTCAGACAATTTCTGTGGAAATAAAATTCAAATTGAGACAGAATTAATTTTTTACTTTAACAACTTATTTCTTATATTTATTTACCTGGTTCCACATTTCCCTCAGAAATTTCATTCATTTTTAAATTCTACAAATCTGTAAAAATAAGAATGATAATTTTGTATTTAACCATATTAAGCAAAACAACAATTGACTTGTACTGAGAATAGTGTACAGAGTGTACTGAGACAAGTGTAGAGTGTACACAACAATACAGAGTGTACTGAGAAAAGTGTACAGAGTGTACACAACAATACAGAGTGTACACAACCATCGATGTTATACATGTAGATTGTATACATGTTCGCCCTGCACAAAGGATGAGACCTTAAAAAGATTTGAGTTTAAACTCTTCAAAATATGACGATCCCCAGTTTAAATTAAGTCTTCCTGCCTTGAATGTAGTCTTTAAATGGCTTATTTAATGATTTTCTAAAGACATAAAGAACTTTATAGTTGCACTGAATCATGAACATGTCAGAAAAAGACAATATAAAATCCGTACAATGTGTATTGAACTGTGCAGGATGATTTGGTATAGACTAGATATATACAGAAGTTCCCAATCAGCTTTCACAGGCTGAGCTAAGTGGACATATAGTTGTACCGCACGACATGCTATATTATTACAAAAGATTATTGACTGCCATCTAACCGCAACTTTTTGCATAAAAAACAATTCAGAGGTTGTTTTTTTACAATTTTTAAAGAAATACTCGAACATTTAAAATAAACAAAAAAATTATGAATTTGATCTATTCTTGAAGATTTTGTACTTTGTGTCCTATAGGATCCTTAAATATCCCTGAATCTAGATGTCTGCCTAATGGTCGTGTACTACAGTTGTCAACAACGGAACCTACTGTAGAAGATATCGCATATTCTAGCCATTAATAGATCGGAGTACTCTCTTATCTCTTGCAGTATATTTAGACTACCCAGAAACTGTATCACTGGCTCACTGCATCACTGGCTCACTGCATCACTGGCTCACTGTATTACTGGTATACTGTGTCACTGGCTTACTGATTTAGTGTTTCAATTGTTTTCTAAACTACTGCCTCGCTGAATCACTGTATCCCCATGGTTTACTGAATCATTGCTCACTGTATCACCATGGTTTACTGAATCACTTGCTCATTTAATCACAGTGTTACTAGTTTACTGAATCGCTGGCTCACTTTATCACTTTATCACCATGATTTAATGAATCACTTGCTCACTGTATCACTGTATTACTGGTTTAATGAATCAATGTTCCCTGTATCACTGTATAACCATGGTTTACTGAATCACTGACTCACTGTATTACTGTAAACTGGTTTAATGAATCAATGTTCACTGTATCACTGTATCACCATGGTTTACTGAATCTCGTATCTTTAAATCACATATCAACACAGTATAACGCCAGATCAATGTCACTGTATGATTGTATAAAATTAGCAAATTTGCAAATATTAAACCACGGCATGAAAAATTTCAAGCCTACATCTGCATTAATGAAACACAACTAACCCAGCTCACTGCCTAGATGATGATGTAACACCTGATTTGGAAAATTTGAAAATGACAAATTCTGTTATTTATTTTTAAATCAAGATCAGGATCAAGATCAGGATCAAGATCAGGATCAAGATCAGGATCAAGATCAGGATCAAGATCAGGATCAAGATCAGGATCAAGATCAGGATCAAGATAAGGATCAAGATCAGGATCAAGGATCAAGGATCAAGGATCAAGGACTAGATGTTGCTTCCACTATAGCTAAATTGAACTAAATGTCATTCAATGATTTAACACTTTAACCGCTTGAGATCATAGATAAAAAATTCGCTGACAAAACAAAACAATAAAATACAAACATAGAAAAAGTATGATGTTTTCAATAAAATTGCCAATTTAATTCCGACTATTTATAATAAAACAATCTATTTTTCAGTGCTCCGTCTGGTTTATTAGTTTTCTATGTTGGGTAAAGAACATCACTGTGAGATCAGTCTAAAGAGTAAAGTCCACACTAACGATTGCGCCTCAGTCAGAATGACAAGCAAAATCAACATTACAAAGTTTTAGAGAGATGAAAAAGTTTGGTTTACAGGGGATGGAGGATATGATTTCAAGTGAACCCTGCTTTACAAAATTGTAACTGTCTGATTCGCGACCGTGAGAAAATACTTTAGTTTGTTTTTGTCTTTATAAGTGTTATTATTTACAGTTTCATTCCGCGCCTTTGCTGCATAAATCCAGAAGTCACTATTACAGAGAAAACACAATTAAAAATTATCCAATTTTGAATAATAAAGCACGGATATCATTTTTGATCATAGTCTGAGTTTGAAAGTATAATACCGTTGTGAATCGAATATGCAACTTTTTAAAAACGTAGACAGTCCCTTTAATAACTCTATTTTATAAAATAAATGTACCCTTCGTCTGAGTAAAAGATATTCTTGGTTTTGATCGAAAAAAATTGATAATATCCAATTATGGTTTCTGGATAAAATTGTCAGAACATCATTATTTTCTAAATAGAAAAGGACGATCACGTTTCACGTTTTAAATTATTTTATCTCTACAATTGAAAAGATGTCCTTGAAAAATCAGCGCAACTGGGGGGAAATTATAGAGGGGGGGGGCAAGGTCCTAAAAGGACTGAAGACGTTATCCATGTGACCCTCCAATTATGAAGACGACATGTCGGATTCACATTGACAAAATATAATAATAACTAGCTGAAGGGTCCGGCGTTGCCCCTGGATAAAAATATTTGAAGAAAAAAAGTTTTCAGAAAAATATCGAATTTTTCATCCATGAGTGTCCACAATAAAATTCAGCCCAATCGGTCAAGTCGTTTGGCCGGTTATACGCAACATATATATATACGAATGTCTTGTTTTATTTTATAGATAACTAGCTGAAATTTTTTTTTAGCCTATAACACCCCCCGGCCACCCATAGCGTCCACAAAAATTTTCAGCGCAATCGGTCCAGCCGTTTGACCGGATATACGCAACAATATACCAATGTCTCGTTTTTATATATAGATAATATAGTAATATATTAATATAAAATTATTTTATTCTTTGATCATTGATCATTTTCATTATGGATCCTCTACAAAAGAGACATTCGGATTCCAGATGCAGAAACATTGATGGGAATTGTCAGAATGAAACAATTTCAAACCTAGAAAAACGACAGTATCTTCCACATTACTGATCAGATAAAGGTTTTTAAGGTACGCGTTGTGAATCGGACATGGCTCTCTTCACTTGAAATTATACAACGATCTTCTTTTAAGTTTGCTTCTTCTGATTTTTGAAAACAGAAAATCATGTTGAAGTACTAAATATCTAACTTACTGAAAACCTGATTAAGAATGTTTAAGACTGCACTATTTATGATTATGATAAAAATTTCTGGGATTCACATTTAAGTTGCATTTATGCACTGCTTGCAAACTAA